GATTTCTGTACTGATTTTTGCAGAAATCACCTAATTCAGAATATTTTTATTTTAGGGGTCCCCAAAATAGACCACAGAGTTCTCCTCTGTGAGCTGTAATTACACTTTTTTATTATTTATCATGCACTGGCACTGTCTAATTTATTAGAGTGTTGCTTGCTGAATATTTTATTTTATGTGCATTCCGAGAAAATAAAATTCTTCTTAAAACAAAGTTGAGTAAAAGGGCATTGTACACCAGAGTTGTGCTTAAAAACTATTTCTACTACATTGAAATGTAGTAGAGATAGATTTGAAATGTAACTTTCAGAAAATTCTGTTTTATAAATCCGATTTAAGGTCACTCAGCTACACGTACAGCTTTATCTGCTGCATTCAGATCTCTCCTTCTTTGAACAGCTCCAGAATTTCAATAAATTATGTATAAAGTCAGAGAAAGGCAGACTTCCATCTGGGGTAACTACTTGCAAAGTCCAAGCTAAGCAGGTTTGAGACAAACTGGTCTTAAACCAGCATTTTACACAGCTGTTGTGCCAAAGGCAATTAGCAGATGCCAGCAAAGAATTTGCCAAGTGGCTGGAAAGAAATCTTTCCAAACATCCACATGATGACTTACAATTCCAAACATATCAGAGTCCCATCTTGCTTGTAAACCTTTCTTGTGCAACAAAGTATTACAGTGTATTCTATTTATAAACTGACAGAAAACTTCTTTTATGTTGCTTCAGACTCTAATTATTAGGACTGTACTAATTTTTAGGTACTTTCCCAGTTTATTTTTAAAGCAATGGCTGAACAGTCACATCCCTTTGCAATTTCTGTGGTTCTCACTTCCATTTCTGGTTTTAAACAAACTGGTTTATGTTTGCATACTCCATGTGTTTTACCTTATAATAATTATACTACAGGACAATTATACTCACAGGTATCCTTTCAGAAGGGAGAATGTCACTTGGCTGAAAACCCCCCAGGAAGTGGATTCCACACCTAGAAATCTCAGTTCTAATGTCAGTAAAAATAATTTAAAAAACATTTTGCATTTTATATAAGCCTAGTAGTATCTTGTATGCACATATTCCAACTACTGAAGATGGAGTTTATGGAAAAGCTTGGTCTAATCAAAATTTCTCCTCTTAGTTCTCATCTCACATCCCACTTTCTGGGATGGCCTTGAGCAATCTCCAAAACACAAGAAATTTGTTGTTTTTATTTAGAGTAGGAGACAAACTTCTAGATTCACAAATTCTTCCTTAACTCAATACTGAGAAAGACCAAAACATCTGTACCAAGAGTTCTTAGCTGCTCTAATTCAATTACAGGACTGAGTACTCGTATGCCCAATTCATTTCTGCAGGCTTTTTGAAAAGCAGTGCATAAGACATATGATGCTTTTTGATTTATTGACTTCATGAAACTGACAGATATGATTGGCTTTGTATCATTCAATCATTCAGTGGAGCAATTTTCTCAGCTTATGAATTACTACAATTTTTATATATTATTTGGTTTAAAAAAGGAATCATTCTTCCTTTACAGTGAAGAGTATTTGATAGCAGGATTCAACTGCATTTCACATTTGGCAAAAACCTCCCCTGTAGCTTTTGGAGATAACTTCATTTAACTGTGAGGGTTTTTTTCTGTTGGAATATCAGTAAGTCTTCAGTAAGTAAATACATGTGTGCCAAGCATATCATTAACTGAACTGATTGAAGATCAGAAAAGCAAGTACTAGATCTAATATCACTTGGGTGCCACTAATGGGTACTTTATAGAGTGAAATATTTCATTTGATCCATTAGTGTTTTGTTGTTATCAATGCCACATGTATGAATCTATTTACAAAATGAATTCAAACTCCTTTAGCTTTTAAGGCACTGCTCAAATGAAAGCAGTCTCTTACAACAGCTGAAACAATTACAAGTGAAAATGAGAGACCATTTTGATGAATATGCATTCCAGCAGTAATCATCTCCCAGACAAGACTTGTCTGTTTCTAAAAATAAATGTTAATAATACAGATGTAAATTTAGGGGAAGTTTATTATTTTGTTCCATTCCTCTGTAAATGTTGACATTTAAAACTTTTACTGCATTTCCTCTTGTTAAAATAGACAGACTGCAGAAGAGAAAATACCATGAGCACTGGAATAATCATGAGTGTATTACTGTCACCAAAATAGTTTCTAAAGTAAGACTAAAAGTAAGTTGAAGACATAATAGAAATACATATTTTAAAAAATAATAAAAATAAATGTGATCAGCTGTAACTTGGTAAAAAGAAGTGGATAACTTTTTCTTGTATAGCAAGATTTAAAAGACTAAAATAAACACATTTTTACAAAGTGCAAAATTTACCTGAGAGAACCAGTGCTTGCTGCACAACAGAAGTGAAACAACACCCAGGTGGCTTCAGAAAGTACTGACATTTTACAGTGGGAATCCCAACATTTAAAATAACTCTGGAGACACTTGCACTACTTTCAGCATGTGGTGTGTTAAAGTACAGCCTACCTACAAACAGGGCTGGCAGACAGGCTCCTCATGGGGCAGACAAGGTGCTGAGTGGCATCACTGAGGTGTTCTAGCGTTTAGTGGTTGAGGTTTTGTAGGTGCCAATGGAAGAGTACAAACAGCAACATCTGTGTCTATTTCACTGTCAGCTCAGTGTTACTGCCATTCCCCAAGCATGCATGCGAACTTTCATTAGGAGAGCAGAGACTCGACAGGAAACTGGACCCACCAGTCAAATGTATGCTCTTAGGTAACCGACCATAGTAATTGCTTCTGCAAAATGTGAGAGGACTTGAAGTACTTTCTTGTTAATTTGTTGCCATTACCCTACCCTTACAATCCACCCTACTCCTATTACAGATTTTGCAATAGTATTTTCTTAATGCCTCAATTATTGTAGATGCATTTACTCAGCTATGATCTCAGTTTTGCTTTTGAAGTTTTCCAATTTGTTAGAAAAGGAAAGCTCATTTAAACACTCATGGTCACCTACAACAAAGTACCCCATGTCCTATAAACTTAGGGATTTGTACTTCAGTGCTCAGAGAAGCCTTTTCTTTGCTAATGCATTTTAAGTTCTCCTTTCTGGCTTTGCTAACATGTGAGCTCACACTGCAACGTTCTCTCTCTTCACTGGGGGCACGTGGAGCTGCCCGTTTGTGTGTAAGAAAGCTGAGAAGCAGTTATCTCCCAAACCGTTATTTTTTCACTGCGGTTGGCACGAAGTCAGCACGAGAGGGAACTCTGCCAAGCTCTTGCATCCCACAGAAGAGATTAAATCAAGTGCAGAGGCAAGACTGATGTGCCAAGCTGAGGACAGAAAACCAAAAGGCTGTGGGACACTTGAATCCAGCAGGGAGGGCACAATAATGATATGATGGACACCAAGCTTAACCTTCCAGACAAACTGCCCTGATAGCAGTTTGAGCAAGTTGGAGCAAGTTCAGACAGCTGGCTGGGAGAAAGGAAGGAAGCAGAACTAACAGATCAGGAATTGAGGGGTGTATTGAATGGCCAGCAGCAACAGGTGTGCTTTACTCACATCTCAAATGGGCAGGGCAGCCGTGAGTCACAGGTACAGACACTTACAGTATGTGGTTTCCTGGGTGGCAGATATTTTGTCAGGGTGTTGCCAGAAGCAGCTGATGAAGACATCCGCAGTTACTGTGGGAAAAGCACATACACGCAGCATAAGTCGTTTTTCCATGCTGAGAAACAATGCCTATTTTTGTAGTATTAATATGGTTTTAAAATATTTCTTTTATTATTATAGCTGACTCATTTTTGAATGCTTTGGATTGCTACATGTCTCATACAACAGCTGTGGCCATAATTCTTGGCCTTTTTATGACCAGACCAGGGTGAAGGTGCTGCCACTTGTCTAAGAATCAAAATATCCGCTCTTCTCTGCAACTCGGATTTTTTGGATGGAAAACTCCTTTCTTTTCATTTCATTTCTTCACTAGCTGCGTGAAGTAAAGGAATTTCCAAAGCCAAAATCCCCTGAGGTTTACTAATGGAGCATTTCTATGCCTACCAAGCTGGGGGGACACAGAACTAGCTGATCCTTAGTTTTGGGACATCTACCTTTAACTCTGCTCATCTTTTTACACCAACTACTTCACTCACTGCATTCCCAGTGCTTTCCTGCATCGTAAAGATACTTTTATATCTAAATGTTTTCAGGTTAGTCTCCAAGTATTGTATCCCAAAGTCACAAAAAACGTCCCTAGAACTTTCAGCTTCAGGGCCCAGAATCTCAAAATAAGGTCAAATTATTTTACATTTTAATATCCTCATTCCTGCTGAGTCACGCTGGGTTTGAGCTTCAGTTATTTACTTTGGCCTATGTACCCGGAAAATTTCTTGGGGTTTTGTTTGTTTATTTTTTAATATAGACGAGCACCTGCACCGCGTTGCGACATTGAAGGGCAGACGCTGTTGAAAACATTTCTGATTGGGATACATCGCCAGCACACTCACCGGCTGTCATCCTGCACTGACCTCACGACTTTCTGATCTCGAACCCAAGTTTTCTACATTAAAGCGCTTTTGGAGGAGTTTTCAAACAGGCGCTCGGGAAGGCGGCACCGCTGAGGCGAATCCAGGTGGGGCTGAGCTCCTGCCCCTCCTTCCCTGCCTGCCTGCCTGTCGCGCCGGCCGGGGGCCATGTGACAGCGCGACTTCTGCCTTCAAGCCGCCGAAGGGGAAGGGGAAGGGGCCACACTTTCCCCACTGCTCCGGCTGCCACTGAGGCCGCCGCGGCCCCGCGGAAGAGGCACCGCCCGTGCCCCGCCACAGGTGCAGCCGGCGCCCGGAGCGACAGCGCCGGCGCTCCCTGAGGTACGGACAGGGCGCCCCGCCCGCCGCTCGCCCCCCGCGCCGGGGCGGGGCCGGCCCGGGGCAGGACAGGCCGGCGCAGCCCCCCCGCCCCGTGGGCTGCGCCCCCCGCCCGCCGCGGAGCCGCCCCGGCCGCGATGCAGCCGCCCCGGGGGCAGCCGGGCGGCCCGGCGGGGCCGGGGGCGCGGCGAACGGGCTCCTCCGCCCGCGGGCCATAAAGGGCCGGGCACGGGCGGCGCGGCACTGCGGTACCGGGCGGCCCGCGGGTGGATGCGGCAGCGGGGAGCGGCGGCAGCTGGCGGGAGGGCTCCTCCCCCGCCGCCGCCTCCTCTGCCGGTGGCTCCGGGCAGCGTCTCTCCGGCCGGCGGCGGCCCGGCCCTGCCCAGCATGGCTCTCCCCGGGGCGCTCGGTAAGTGCCGCGCCGGGCTGGCCCGGGGCGCTGGCGGTGACCTTGGGCCGGAGCCGTGCGGGGCTCCTGCGGCGGCAGCGCCCGCGGGCCCGGCCCCACCTGCTCGCGGCGCTGGGATGCGGCGCTGCCCGCGGGGCATCCGCGGAGCTCGGAGGCGGCTCTGGCATGTGCTTGGTATAGGTTCAAGGCTGTTAAATGCCTGATCGATAATTGCTTTTTAAGTAATCATTCCATCTATTAATAATTTTTTTACTGCAGCATGTTTCAAGCTTTCTTTTCTTCTGTAAAGGTGCAGACCTAAAGAGCAACCAACCTTTCTATTAGATCGAGATATTTAGGAAAAGAGCATTTACTGCATGGCATTCATACCATTCCCCATCCCATTAAATTGTCTAGTTGTTGCTCACCTTGGGCGAAGGACAGCAGTTCAATAGAAGGATACTGGATACAAAAGCCTCTTCCAATTCAGGATGGCACAGCTCGCACAAGTATTGCTTGAGGTGCCTCATGACTATTTTAGGTTTATTCGGCTCATTTTGGTGCCATGAGCTAGCAGTGATGTGGGTGAATGTACATTTCAAACTATTCTGTGTCTTAGCATCTTATGCTTGAGTGGAGAACATGAGCTTGGGTTCTGTAAGAAAGAAAAAAACTTTGTGTCAGTAGAGCATTGTACTTACATCTATACTTTCTATCTCTTCACTACCTTATTGTAAGGATTTAAAACACAGTGTGGTTTCTTAGGCAGCGTGTTTCTTACTGCATTTCTGTTTGTGATCACAATTCTCTGGGAAAAAGTTCATTTAAACTAGGAAAATGTTCAGCATTTTCTGCTCAGTTGAAAACACATTATTATTTCACATTGTACTAGTATTGTTATCTTACTGTAGTTGGGTAAGGATAAAGGGAGTTTTTCCCTGGCTGAAGCAGCCCAAAAGGCTCTTGCTGCTGGCAGCTGCATGTGTGGCAGGCTCTGCTGCTGACAACTGTGTTCAGTGAGGTCAGGAGACAAACTCCTATGACTTCCTTGGTGGTTGATGTTGAGAAACCAAACCTAAGTTTGGATGCTACTAAGATATGGTAGTGCATTGTCACTGAATTATTCAGCTAAAAATATATGTATTTTTAAATTTCCTATGTGGTTATACTTGATTTTACAAAGACTTTACAAAGACAAATACTAATTGCAAAACAAATACTCTCCTGTGCAGAAAACAACACAGTCAGATCCACAGCTCTTTAAAAACAGAGATGCTTTTCTTTGGAGATGTGAATGGGTTCTTATAAAATAAGAATGCAAAGTAATGTAGGGGAACACTAAATTGCTGTGTTATGGTCCAATTTAATTCTTGCCACCTTTTCATACTACATTTGCTTTTAGAATAAAAGCAAAAATGTTCTCAAAGCAACTGTGAAAACAGGTGGACATTAATTAGAGTCTTTTAGGCTGAAACCAACAGGATCACATATCAAAAGGATCACATATCAACATGTGAAACCTGCAGCATGCCTCCAGAAAAATTGTAATGGGGGCCCCGATAAGTTGTGCCTGGAGAGATAAAAAACTGCCACGCTCCATGCTTCCAGGGTATGTCATTATTTAAATGAATGCTATCTCACAAAATACATTTGCATTTTTCTAACCAAAAAATGGTTAGAAATTCTGAAATGCCAATTTTGAACCCAGACTTCACATTCTGGCAGTGCTTGGATCCATTTGCTGTGACATGTTCGCAGCTATTTTTAACTTATGTAATAAGAATTTAATCTTATTTGTTATAAACTCCATCATACTGAAGGCATTCAGAAAGCTTTATAGTACACAACAAATAATGCTGGTCTGTAGCTTATCAGCACTATGTTTTTTCCTCTCTGGAATGCTTCCATTTGTGCTAAATGCACATTCTGGATTGTATGAAAATGGAATAAAAGTAAAGCCAGGAAACTACAGAAGAAACAATAAAGATGGCATTTTAGTAGTGATGCTAGTATAAAACGGAAATATTTTATGATGAAAGCCTAGCTACTTAAAATTTTAAAACATAAAACATATTCTTTTTGCAAAGTAGTATTTAAATGCCAAGTAGAAATGGAAGTCCATGACCTATCTGCTTCCCACATGCATTCAAAAACGTGATCTGACCTACTACAAATGGAAAAAGGAGTCACCAAGTTAACCATACTACCTTTGTTCCTGTTGTGCAACTATTCCACTTCCCAGCAGTTCTGTGACTTTCTGATTTGTGCAAGGCCTGGGGTGAGGTGGAAATGTACAACCTTTTCTACCTTGCCTGTTGGCTTGAAGTCACTGAGCAAGGAAGAAGGTAAGCAACTGAGTGAATGTGATTTCCAGGTTCGGTGCAAAGACACACAGCTGAGTATCCATTGTATCACAAAAAATTGTCTGTCTGACTCTGCAAGTAAGTGGAATCTCCTGGTAAATCTCTACATAAACTGCTTAGGAATTTTTGTGGATATACCACAAGGTTCCTGATGCACAAATTAGCATGGCTCCAAAAGTAGAGCTGCTTTGTGGTTCTTGTGTACTGCATGCTAGTTTAAATTCTGCAGAGCTGTTCTACTTTCTTCTGATTTTGCTCCAAGCTCTGAATTTTGATAGGCATACCATGGAAAAACCCCCAATCTCTTGCACATCTTCCTCATCACTCAAGCTGTAGCTCTAACTTCCTCACCTGTGCTCCTCTTCAGGCGAGATGCCCCGGCAGTTTCCCAAGCTGAACATTTCCGAGGTGGACGAGCAGGTGCGGCTCCTGGCAGAGAAGGTGTTTGCCAAAGTCCTGCGAGAAGAGGACAGCAAGGATGCCTTGTCACTCTTCACCGTGCCTGAAGACTGCCCTATTGGGCAGAAGGAGGCCAAGGAGAGGGAGCTGCAGAAGGAGCTGGCAGAACAGCAGTCTGTGGAAACAGCTAAAAGGTTTGTTCTGTAGTTGCTTTCTTAGTGGAAAATAGTTTTTGAAATGAGTTTGAGTTAGTATTGAAATACCTGGCAAACAGCATTCTGCCTCTTACTACTCCAGGAGAAAGGTCAGCAGCAGGCACCAGGACCACCCCTGGGGTGTCCTTCTGTCCTGTGAAGGAGGTATCAGATGGGCCCCAGGGAGCTTGGAGTGGTCAGGTTGTCTCAGCGCTGTTCCCAGCAATAGCACAGATATTGCTCATGCAAATTTAATAAACAGCATAGCTGGGTAGAAATGAACAAAACCCTAAGAGTCTTTAATGTAAGAAGAGTCAGAAAAAGAAACACTGCCTCCTCTTTTTCTAGTTTCATTAAGAGAAACAGCAAATTTTAACACTGATCATGATGCTTCCTTTAGTCTCTGCAAAAATAGATGAAAGCAAAGAATTTATATTTAAGATCAAGGGGTAAGGTGAAAACTGGTATTGGCATAATGAGGTTATTTGAGGTTTTACTCACAGAGATAAAATCTAACCACTGTCAGCCACAAAAGTGCACATTAAACAAAAAAAAAATTGCATTCTACCTTTAGTTACCCATGGCTGTAATGAAGGCAAGCTTGCTTTAGTTTGTGAGTTTGGGTTTTTTTTTTTATTCTGTAAGAGAGGCAGCCTTCCCCTGATGTCAGCCTGTTCCAGTGTCTTGCTTCACAGGACTGCTGGGCTGTTTCTGGAGTCACATGAGCTCAGCAGCAGCCTGACACCAAATGGGCTGGACGTGTACAGACTCTTCAAAAAGCAGGCAGGCAAGAAAGCATTTGAAAGTGATAGCTACACACGTGTACCTGGTTAGCTGCAGAAAGACAGTTGGGCAACACTTGGAATCATGTTTCTGGAACAGAAGGGAGAAGAGTCAATTTAGTTAAATTAAGGTATGACTCACTGATGATACAAGCTGAGACTTTGGGTTTGGAATTGTGCAAGTGGATTTCCCAGTTGGCATGTTCATAGACATAAACAGGCACAGAAAGGAAAACCAGATGTTTCCAGTCAAACAAATGTTTGGTATATATTTCCTCCTGAAGTAGTGTGTTTAGTTTTTAATTTGGAAAATTTGTCTCACAGGAACAAACTCAGGTTTTGTACAGGTTTAACTGTAGGAAGGGGTATTATAGGTATTTTGTTTACATGTAGGAACAGAACAAGTGTTCATCCCTGTCCTGCAGGACTGAAGGGACAGTGACACAAGTACAGCTTGTGCTGTTTCCAGTTTCAGTTGATCAAACACTGCCTTTCAAAACTGATGCTGATTTCCAAGGTGGCTACAAGTACTTTAGAGGATGAAATTTGGATGTTAATTGTACTAGCACTGCATGTTCTTATTCTTAAGAATACCACAGAAGTAATATGAAGCTTTCAGAGAATGTTCCAGTGTTCCTTTTTCTTTGTTACTGATTCTTACTAACATTTTAAGGTTTTGGTATCTAACTTGGAAAGGTAGGGACTATTTCAGTGCAAAAGAAATTGTTATCACAGGTAGTTTATAACATACTATTTATATATTATATGACTATTTAAAATACATATGAGCACATTTAAACTGAGTAAGGAAATTGAATTCCATCCTCAGAGATATTCCAAAGCTCCACTTGAGGTATTACAATTACTTCATTGGAAAACACAGCATTTGTTTTTAGCTGGTTTATCTGAAGTGCACATCTATCACAGCTTTCATGAGAAAAGGCAGCATTTTTAAATTTATGTGAAGGGAGGAATGGGCTTGTGTATCAAAGCCATGCTGTGATATCACTCTGATAACCACATCAGCCTTCTGCTCAAGTATCATCAAAGGAATAACTAGGAATAACTAGGTGCTCCTCCTTTTCCTTACAACTTGAACTGAATGACTGTATGTGAAATTTTGTTGCCTAGTTTTGTCTGACAACTAGCTTTAGGTCTTGCAAGTTTTGGGAAGAATAGGAAGTGTGTGTAACAGCATGATAACTTAGAACGATTTCCATATGTTACATTTACTTGTTTCTGTCTGATCCTTCATGAATTCTGATGCTGTCAGTCTGTAAGAATTGGCCCTTATTAAAGTGAGCACAGTGATCACCTTTTCCTTCTGCACAGTGACTTCTGCTGAAACTGAAGTTGTGAGAAATGAAAAAAAATCTTAGGGTATCTTAGAATGATTGTAAATAAATGGTGGCATATTGGACTCATGTAGAGGGTAAGTGCATTTGTGTGTGATGTTGATCATGTGAAATGTCATTACAGAGAAGCTGAAAGCACAAGTACTTTCTGATCAGTGTTTTTTCTATGGTATGAAAGAAACAGCATTTTTGTTGTATTTTTCATTAGTAAAATTTCCTAGGGGGTGATTTCTTTGCTGTAATCAGTTTTCCAGTGTATTAAGTGTTTTATACCATGGCTTATTTTATGTTTTATACCATGAATTCTTAGGAAGAAAAGTTTCAAGATGATTAGATCCCAGTCTTTGTCATTACAAATTCCACCTCAGGAATGGAAAGCACCACCGGCCAAACCTGTCCTGTCTCCTGCAACGCCAGTTCTTCCAAGTGCTTTTGTGCCAGTCCAAGTGCCATATGATGTACCAGAATTCCAGAGAGTTTCAATTAGTGGGGACTACTGTGCAGGGGTAAGAAACTATTGTTTTCCCACTTTCTATATCTAGAGGGTGTAAAAAAGGTCCTATATATGTACATCAAGTGTAAAATGCCAATATGATGGCTCTCTGCAATAAAATCTAAATTGCTTTATGAATACAGGGATTTGTTAGACAGTTAGAAGTTAAGGTCAGGTTGTTTGATACTGTTTTTAATAATAAATTGGATCAAAACATAATCAGCTGTCCAATAAATAGGTAATATATGGTAGGATAAAAACATTTTTCTGTGTTTTGTATATTGTGTTTGGATTCTGTACTGTCACTGGCTTACTAACTCCTTGGGCAAGATCCTTATGGTCAAGCCCCACACAGTTCTATGCTAGAACTGCTATTTTTTTCCAGTATTTATCCAGGTTTTCCTTCCAGGTTACAGTTGATGACTATGAACAAGCTGCCAAGAGCCTGGTGAAAGCTCTGCTCATCCGAGAGAAGTACTCACGCCTTGCCTACCATCGCTTCCCGAGAACAACATCTCAGTACCTGTGCAGCATGAGGGATCAAAAATGGAAGGTTGAAGATGAGGTGTACCCAGGTGAATACCCATTTTAAAATATTTAATTACATTCTAAAAAATTCAAACATTATTTTAAAATACAGAATTAAACCCATGCAATACTGTAGTAAAGGAAAGTTGTATTTTTGTGATGATCTCTTCTGACTGTCTTTGTAATTTATTGTGTTATTGAGTGGAGAATCGCTAACAGGCCTAAGTTATAAATCCTGTATCTAATTTGGAACTTTGAAGCTGTCAAAACCTAAAAGCCAAGACTAGACTCTCATTGATTACTTTATTTCCTAAGCAAATAGGATGTTAAGTAGCATACTTATGCTCCCTCAGGAAAAAGCTTGTATGGCTGTGGCTTAAAGTGAAGTCATTCCTCCTCATCTTGGCATATGGAACTAAAAGGGTTGATGAGCTCATCTACATCATAAATTGAAGCATGATACAGACATGCCAGTTAGCAAGCCCTGAGTCAGGAATGTCACAGGGCGGCTACACTTGCCAGGTGAAGACTGGAAGCTGTAGAGTCATATTTGTTTGGCATTCTGCCTGGGTAAATAAACTGATCTCTCAACGAGGCTTATTAAGTTGAACATATTCCCCCACTATGTGTGTCACAAATTATTTTTGTCTCTTAGGTGGGTTGTGTCTTGAAAGCTTTGCTTGTGCATTAAACTGTTTGCACTGCTCATTTCTGGATTAGGCTGTGAGGAGCAACCTTTGGTCTGTACAGATGGGTCACTGTAGATGTGTCCATGGTGCTGACAACTTATTTTCAGTGTTGAAGTGATATTTTAAATCAATTACTGGCTTAGTGGTTGAAAGAGGGTGACTAAATATGTTTTCAAGTGTTTGTTTTCCAGAAAGAGTGTAAAGAGGACAGTAAACTGAATATTCAAGACAGGAAAGATATTTTGGAACAGCTGCCAGGGAGATATTTCCAAGTTATTATTAGGTTAATAACTTTCTTACAGTTATGATTTTAAACTTACAACACAAAAAATGAAATCTTGTTACACAATGTCTTAATTAGCAGAAGTTTGAGCTAGATAGTTATGAATATTAGAGATAAGGATGGTATCAGTTTATAGCACACATTCAGGTGATCTAGATGAATAAAAGGACCGGTAATTACTTTTCTGTGGTGGCTTAACTGAACAGGTAAAAGAAGAAACTCCTTAAGACTGAGCCAAAGAATATAGTTCAGTTGATATAAATGTAGTCAGGACACTTTGCTTTAATAAGATGTTGTAAAAGAAGTGATGATTGTCACTCCTGTTATGAACAATGTTTGAGTGTTCACACTAGCTAAATCTCCCAGAAGTGTGTGTGAACTTTTTAAAGGCTTTACAAAACTGTACTGAACAAATCCCAACTGTGCTTCTGGTACTTTGTGATTTTATTTATGATCAGAAGGCCAGGAGATAAACTGGGTTTGTGTTGTACAATTTTTGGCTTCTATGCTTCTTGATGCTATTAAAAAATTATTAAAAAAACCTCAAACAAAACACTCACCCGAGAAAACCACGTATAAACAAACCAACCCCCACAAACTACAAAACTCCAATCAAAACACAACAAACCCAACTGATTCTATGCTTAAATACGAACTTCCAAAATTGCTACAGTGAGTCAGAATGTGAAAAGAAAATAAGAAATGTGGTCTGAAGGCAACAACTACTTTATTGTTCAAAAATCTCAACTGTACTTCAACCATCCTAATTTAAATACTTCTGCCAACTCATTTTCAAACTCATTCCAACACACATTAATAAAGAATAGTATTAAATCTGTATGCATTGGTTCAGAGAACTCTAATAACATATAACCTTTGAATTAAGGTAGGCCTCTTTAGAGAGGGGCTGCAACTAAAGCCCATCAGAAAAAAGCTTTGTTGTAACAGCAGATTTTTATAGTAACTGAATGTGATTTTAATGAAAATACTGAGATCTGTTAGAAATTAAGCTTCACAGAAGCAGGAAGTTCTTTTTGTAGTTATTTTGCCTTTTGTGTAAGTTATTTCTTCTAACTGGAATGTAAATTTGCTTTCAGATTTCCATTCACCCCCAGAAGAAAATGAAGATCCTTATAATCTGGATGATGCTCCAGACAATTTGGATTATGTTATCAAGCTGAAAGGTGGCATTCCCTTTGTTTATGACAGCAAAGAGATGATGGAGCTCAATGAGCCTCGGAGTTTGCCATATCCTGACCTGCAGACCTACACCCTTGACCTGAGCCACGTTCTTGCTCTAATTGCAGATGGCCCAACGTATGTTCCTCTTTTGTTACTCTGCCCCTTCAGGCTGCTGCTTACCTGTGGCTTAGTACTTCTCACTTCTGTGACATTTAATTCCTCAGCATACCCATTCTATAGTAATGCTTTGTTTTGCCTTTCTCAAGCATTAATGCACAATGAAAAATCTTAAAAAGGAAAAAAATACAGTGCCACCTATGGCTACCTTTCATTTCTTTGGTTTCTTAGCATCAACCATGGCAAAAAAAGGTTTAACAGAAAAACATCAAGAAACTGGTCAAGTGTTTCCATTCAAGTCAAATCTGACCCAAACTTCTTGAAGCATGGGAACTGAAACTTGAATTATTTTTTTTAAAATTTAATTTTGTTTTGGCCTATGCTGAACCTGAGGTTTTTAAACAGTTGTCCCAAATTCCTTCATGTCTGTTCTGCTCTGGCTGCTTGAAGAGAAACCCTGCATATGTAGAGCATACACATCAGCAACATAAATATTCAGTCTGATTTGTTCCAGATGTTAATTAACTGCTCATATGCTGCAAAACTGACCTATGTATGCACAATCAAAATAAGTCCAAAATTTCCCAAAAGTGCCAAATTCCTGTGAAGTCTCTAAAAACTAGAAATGTCACTGACTACAGCTGTACTATAGTTGTTATGCTCATGACAAAGCAATGTCCTTGCCTAGTGCATGACGAAAGCATGTGCATCCAGTTTTAAGTTTACTTCCTAGCTGAGGATTGGAAACGGCACCATCTCTCATGGCCTCAACACCAGGAAAGGAAAAGAATCCACTCTAGGATGGAACTAAGCAGGAACCTGAACTGTTCTGAGCTATTTGCCCTGTGTGCCAGCACTGCATTGCTGATCCTTTGCCTGGGAGAGATCATCACTGACACTGTGGCCAGTTAGCCCCTGCCTGGTGCATTCTTTCCCCTGTCTGTCAGTCTGTCTGCCTCGTGCAGTGACAGTGGCAGAACAAGCCTGGCCCATTCCCTAAGCCTTTTCTCAGGAGCCAGCTCCTGTGCTTCTGCCAGCCTTATCAGCTCCAAATCCGTGCCAGGCTTTGGTTACAGAGCAGTGGGCAAATACATGCCAGTTCCAGGGTGTTGTATTCCCAGACAGACAATGAAGATAAAAGGATGAGGAGAAAAACCAGAAACAAGAGTCATGCTGAAGGCCCTTCTTCAGTTGGCACTGAAGCCTTAGACCTCAGAGTTTTAACAGCAAGCCCTAAGTAAGAGGGGCTGCAGTAGGACAAGTTAGAACACTCAGCATTGTGGTGAATGTAGGTCAGTCACCTGCTCCTTTCACTAATTCAGAGTAAGCTTTTGCAGGCTTGTCCCCACTCTCTAATAAATGTGCACACCCCAAAAGAAAAAGGTCTTTCCCATAATCCTGTTGCAGAAGCTCTTCTTTTGGTATTGTTTAGCTGTTTGCAGCAAGTCCTTTCCTGTCATTTATGCCCATCACATGTGGGGCTGCTCAGAGATCAGGAACCAGTGTTCTTTAATCTTTGCTGCTGGTAAAGTGATGAAATCTCACCCCTACTCCTCAGGCTTGTGCTCTTTTGGATAACAGTATGAAATAACAGACTTTCTGCATGGGCAAACAGGTCTTGATTAGTACTGGATTCTGTAAGACTGGGTTCGAAACAGGCTTGCAAAACCATAATGGGATTTGTGTTCTATTGAGGAGAAATTGGCAACAATAATGCAGGAAAAAGAAGGCTATTACATTAACAGTGCTACCAAAATATTGTGGAGTCAATAAGAATTGACAGATGGTAACGAGAAAACCCATGTCATTGGTTAAAAATAGAAGAAGAAACATGACAGAAGATGAAAGTGGAGATGGAACTCTGAGTAGGCAAGTAGGACCAAAAAAGCATATTTTCTATAAAGAGCACAAGAAATTATTTTGGAAAAAAGTATTTCTACACAACATATATGTTCTCAAGGCATGAAAAATGAAAGCATATTGGATCTTATCTTGGCTTCTCACATTAAATTGAAAAAGCAAATAAATTTGGAGGATTAAAAAAAATTCATAATGAGTAAGGCTGGATGACAAGTTGTTTCTGTTATATATGAGAAGATTGTTCTGTTGGAGGTACCATTTTAGAGAATTTGCAATTGGCATCCATTTGATTATAGGTTTCATGCTTTGGTTATTATTACTAAAAGGACTGCAGTTTATGCACAGGTATAGTGATGAGTACTTGGACAGGTTGAAGGACATAACATGGTTATGTAGAGTTCTGTTAGAGACTTCACTAATAACTTAGGTCTGAAATTTGCTTACATTTTTGTTAACCAGTAGGATAAAAAGAATGGATCTGTCTTGGACCTCATAAAATACCCCAACTTTGTTTTTACTGTGGAAACTCTGATGTTCTTTTTGAATTTGAAATACAACTAGTTTTAAGTTGCAGTTCATTTTTGTGTTTTCTTTTACAGAAAAACATATTGTCATCGGAGGCTTAACTTTTTAGAATCTAAATTTAGCTTACACGAGATGTTAAATGAGATGTCGGAATTTAAAGAACTGAAGAGTAATCCCCATCGAGACTTTTATAATGTGAGAAAGGTAAGTGTGACAAGCATTAAAGGCATGACACTGGTTTTAGTAGGAGTTCCAGCAGTTTTGCTTTTCTTATGGGAGGTGTAGATGACATGCACGAAGTAGTGTGTGCACACCACTCAACTGAATTAAGTTATTTTAAGAATGTTAATGTTTCTCTACATGGGAGCTCTCCAGGAAAATGAACTTGAATGTGCGTGGGTTAATTGGATTATGCTAAACTAATTTGTTTACTTATTCAGAATCAAAGGGGCTTAATTGTGTGTAGATTGCTTTAAAAGAGTGAAACAGAGTTAAGCAAATGAAGCTCACTTGGATTATGAATAAAAATATCCTTATGGAGGTTTAATTAATTTTAATGAACTCCAAGACATTCAAGTGCATTTTTCTGCTTTCATGTAGGTACGTCCTACTAGACTGTAGTAGGAACAGCTGTATAGATTTTAGATGATAATTTCATTTCATATTGAAAATAGATGTTTAAATACATGTCAAAAGACCTCCCACAGAAACTAAACTGAGGGTTCATGCTGCCATCAGTATCTGGTAAAAAAAGTCTCTGATATATTAAGTAAAAAGATTATCTGAGTTGTAGTCTTGCCTCCCTCTGAGATACACTGGGCTATAATTAGGAGACAGGTAGGGGAATCAAGGAGCTGATTTAATTTCCTGACATATTTCCTGACACCCAAGGGAGCTGCATTCCCTTCAAAGCATGGAAGCAACAGTGTTAGGCTGCTTCCCTTTCCTAAAGTGGAGAGGAAGTAACTGGAGTTACTGCTCCATTTTGATAGGTGAGATTTCTTCACAATTGTTGCTGGTGGTTTTAACCACTTTGGGTCCATTTTGCATTGTTTCTCTACACAACTGGAAGAGCTAATTCTCTATTTTGCAACTTCAGGGTTTACTAATCCTTCTTGTTATGTTTTGGTTGGCACTAAAGTTCATCAAAAAGTCCTCTTGGCTTTTCCCTATAATGCCCAGTGTGTTTGTGGTAATAAACTCTCCCAGAGTCTATCACAAGTGTGGAAGCAGATGAGTTGTCAGGTAAGTTCCAATGGATTTCACCCTTCTGACTGTTAAATGTATGGATGGGAGATCTGTCAGCTAATTCACTCAGGTGGCAGAGACTCAGCTCCCAGCCTGACAGTTTTCTTGCATAACCCTGGAAAGACATTTGCTACGTGCCACATTGAGAGAAAACACTTCAGAAGCTGACAGAGACTTTAATAATAAAATACGTGGTGATTGAGACATGCTGAGGTGTGGATTAGGTGACTACCACAATCAGTTTGATTAGTGAGAAGCTTGTAATTAACAGGATTGTACTTGCTAAGTTCAGCTTTTGATCTAGAAGCAAATGTTCAATGTCTCTGGGCATATCTTAATTATTTTTTAATTACCTGCTGTTGACTAAGCCACTCTACAAAAGGATTCATATTGCTCAAAAGCCCAAAATGTGTGTTGCTTTCCCTCTGGCAATGAGCACATTGCAGAGAGCAGGAACCAGCCTGCTCTGCTGTGCCAGAGACCATGCCTACTGCCAGGTACTGCTTGAGAAATTCCTGTTGCACACAGTTCATCTTGCCTAAAGTATTTTTGTGAAGCAAGCTCACAAGTAGTACTTTTCTGGAAAGTAAACTGCATTGTAGACACAATTCTTGTGAGCCCCCAGATGATCCTTCTTTTTTCCCCTGTGTCTTGCTAACCCCAATAATGTTTGGAACTGTAACTTCCTTGGAGTGCTTCCTTGTTAATAACAGTATCAGCAGTGAAACATTTGAAAGCCACACTTCTCAGCTTATGTTTTCAAGATGTCTCTCTGTTAAGTCAATCCTAAGTGCTTACTGCTCACAAGGAAAGGAAGGAACAGGATTCACCTTCCCAAAGGCTGTTGGTGAAGTTGTGTATCACATCCCTCAGACACAAGTGTGGAGATCCTGGTACAATCTGCTTATATGAAAGAGCCAAAGTAATGGATGGAAAATGCCAGAATTAGAACAGATATGAATGGAGTGGCAAGGTCAGTCAGTGAACATGTACTGCTGCATTTAGAAAGGTGCAGTAGAAGGCTGGCCATGATCAATTGCTAGCATGACAACCAAATATTACTGGTTTTCCCCTGCCTCCTGCCCCCTTCCTCACTTTTTTCCTGATTTAATAGGAGTTTTCCTCCAGTAAGATCATCTATTCTTAAAACCCAAGATAAGGCTCATCTTAAATAAGGGACATGCATGTTTATATCTTGCATATTGAAATTAACTGGAATGCAGCCCAAGATATGTTTTGCAGTTTTGCAAACTGGGCCTGGAAAATTGCCCTTTACTAAGGACACAGGTATTCCTGTAGACAGACAAGAACCCACAGGTGGTGAGACAGTGTGGCTGGCTGCCCTTGGCTCTCCACAGGAGGTGAACAGCTGTCTGTGAGGAAAACACTGACTTTAGAGGGGCCTCTTGAGTCTGCCATCAGCAGGATTCCTCACGTCCTCCAGCTGATGCACAGCAAAGTGCAGGCAACACACATTTCCCACATAGCACTGCCTGCATGAAGAATGAAATGAAGGAACAAGAGTTTAGCTCTATGGTACAAACTCAGAACTGGGTCTGTGTTTGTATGTGAGGTTTGTTTGAGAAGGGCTTCCTGTAGACCTCTGTGCCCAACAGCCTCAGATAATTCAGAGCAGACACTTTTTTTTTTTTTTTTTTTTTTTTTTTTTTTTTTTTTTTTTTTTTTTTGGTGAAGCCAAGAGATTTTTTTACCTAACATTATTTGCTACCTTTGTAATGGATATCCATGTACTGAATTGGCAGGTGTCCTTCACTGCAAATAGCTTTGATACAGTTGCTAAAGATGAAAAAATCCCAGCCTAAGCCTCTTTGGATATTCTTTCTTTCTATAGCCACTATTTCAGTGTGTCAGCAAACCAGACCTGAGGATATGTCCTAGCAGTGACTTTTACACATCACATTCCTGCCTGCAGGCTCACTAGTGCAGGTGCCCAATCTTGTGTGGGTAGCTGTGCATGGGAGAATGCAGTTTCTGCATTCACAGCCCTGCTGAATGCTCTACTGCAACAGCTGCTGTGACATCCATTGGATGAGGGCATTGCAACTGAATTTTTATTTTTTTAATTATTGGTTAGACAAAGAGGAAGTAAATTCTAGCTGCTTTTTATGACCACAGAGTTGAAATACCACTAGTGGTACTTGCAAGAAGGAAAGTTAGAGTGGGGTTAAATGCTACTGAATCCTATAGATCTCAAAAAATAATGAATTAAATTAGCAGATGTCTGCTTTTTAACCATTTGATTACAAGCCTTGTGAGTGAACAGTGAACCTGTACCTCAACTTCTCTGAGCTTTGATTCATTCAGTTTGCTTTTTTTCATTTCTTTTGTTTCCCCCAGTAGCTACTTAACTGACTCAGGTGATGAAATAGTTTCATCATATAAACCAAAATGACAGTGAATGTAAAGACTTAGGGGTTAGCATCAGATCCAAAGGGAATGTCCCTTCAGCATGACATGGAATGGAGCCTTGCCACTGTTAGCTGGCAGCAAAGCTGGCTGTTGTGCTTTCAGGGCTCTGAGTGCTGCTTCTCCCCTTCTGCCCTGCAGAGATGCTGAGACAAATTCTTGTCCCTACGCTCAGTCTTGCAAGTGAGCACAAAATATGATCAGGTGTAAAGGCATCAATGATTAGAATGCAAAAATTCTGTTGAGACCGTAGAGAAAGCTTTTCCTCTCTCCTTTCTTTTAGTAATTAAAAGAACAGAACAAGAAATTTTCTCTTCACAGCAGTGTATTTTTGTATTTGTGTGAATACAAACACTTGGGTTGGATTCTGCAGCCAGACAAGAAGCTGGATATGCAGGGATCCTCTTCTCATCTCTCCTGGTTTCTGGGTTGCTCTGCATGGCATAAATATGAATTAGACAAGCTCCCAAGGAGCTCTGCACAGCTCTAGGGACTATTTCTGCTGCCAGGAGCATTCCTGCACTACCCAAGGACAGAGTATTTTGTGCCTCTGCCTCTCATGCCCGTTAAAGAACTGCAAGGAGAAAATCAATCCCACTGTATAAAGCTTTGCATCCTGTCAGAAAAGCTGATGGAGTATGAATGTATTGACGAGCACAGTATTTAGCAGTGGGATGAGGAATGATTTCCCTTCAAATCAGCACTGAAGTAAAGCCTGCAGAGGATTCAGTGTCCAGTTCATGCAGCCCATAGCTGTTGGGTTAGAAATATTTACAAATGAAATTGTATGTGTTTAGAAAATGCGGCAGTTTACAGCCTGTGGATGCTGCTAATCCATGCCCTGGAGAAGTTCAGGGTTATTAAAAGGGCTGGCCTTGGCATTTGTTTTTGCTGTATTTATCACTTATCACTCTGAATCTAGCTCATATGCCCAATTCAGTGCAGCACTGTCTGTGATATGCACAGATAAGCATCCATAAAACAGATCTGAGATGGAGGTTTTGTGGAGATCTGAGTGACAGTGGAAGGAAAGAGAAGGAATGCAGGAAGAAAAGGGAGGAGGCAGAGTGGCTGAGGGAGGCAGGTGCTGGTTAGATGTGGAGGGCAAGGAGAACTCCCTCAAGCTGTAAGTTGTACACAGTAGGAATCTGCAGAGAAAGAAAGCCTGGCTTCATTACATGGAGAATTGCTGAGTGAAGGGAATTCTACCATCCTTTAAGTGCAAGGAAGCTGATGTCCGCCATCACTTGAATGATGGAATTACAAGAATTTAACCTTTATGTAGACAACTGTTTCCATTTGTTACAAGGGTGAATTCACTGAAGGTATAATACTGTGTTCCAAGACAGGCTTCTGTCAGTCATTCTCTTTTTCTTTCCATTGAAGATTAATGTGACCTTGAGAGAAAGGTTTTCTGCTGGGGGAGGGGACAATAAGCAGTGCAACAGGAAATCTGGTTAAGAGAATGCAGCCGGGTTTTTTCCACTAAGGAGAAACTGGGCTGGAATGGCACTAAAATGAATTTGAAAATGGAAGGAGAATGTTTGCAAATAGAAACAAATAAACCTTGTAGTGGGGCTGTGTTACTCATGGTCCAGAAAAGCATCAGCTTATTTTATGTATTGTATGAGGAACAAAGTAGTAACGTCTTAAACTGGGAGTGGTTTTGTCTTTTTTGGGGGGGAGGAAGGAGGCAAAGGGGGTATTTGTCAGCCTTGTATGAATTCAGTCTGTTCAAATTGTTTTAGTAGAAGCCTTTCATAATAAATAGCAATAAAATTAGTAACAATATTTTAGCATTATAACATTTCACATAATAATAACAACGATAATGACAATAACCTACCTAACCAAATCAGCCCACTTAAGCTCTGCCTAAGGATTCTGTATTCAGATACTTCACTTAGGTAGGATTGCACCCTGCATGGTAAAAATGTCCAAGAGCATACACACTAACTATGTGCTAGGGTAGTTCAAAGCTCAAGTCCTTAAAACCTTCCAAAAAGTTGCATTTATGCTAAAAATACAATAGAGAAGAAAAGCTTATGACTTTAGACTTGAGTCTTCTATGACTTTTTATTACTGAAGTTGCTGCTTTCTTAAAGGTCAAATTATACTGGGTAGTAAAAGAAGGTAGCTAAAGTAGTGAGTATTCTCTGGAAAAAGCATGAAGGAGATTCCAGAAAGGTCTCAACTTTTGGCAGATATGTATGTTTAGGTTGAAGGAGGAGGAAGAGGTAAAAAAAAAAAAAAAGTATACATATAAAGGCAGATCTTTGTTCTCAGAATAAACCTACTGTGGTTAGCTCAGCTCTAGGGCTGTGTGTGATGTGTTTGTGGGGACTGGAGAAGATGTCACAGGAGCTCACTGAACAGCAAAGGCACACTCCAGAGAATTATTTCTCAACAGGAAGCAGGATTTTAAAAGCAATGTGATCTTTGCACACAAGCAAACAAAAGAAACAAAAAGCCTCCTTGCTTTCCATCCTTGTCCTCCTAACAGCAGTGAATTCATGCTGATTTACATAAGGAGGAAGTGCTGTGTCTTGTTTGTTCTGACTTTTTTCAAGACTCATTAATTCCAGTAGCTGAGCCACTACTGGAACCAATGCATTCTGAAATTCAGTAAACTACACTTTTTCAGGGTCCCTGCACCTGTATTCTCTGTTTATGATTTGCTTTTCATTAGCATTTAAAGCCTGGTAACTGCTGTTCACTGTACAAGTTGACCAAGCCTAGTAGTATTTCACTGCTCCAGGAAGAGTAGAGTTTACAGTAAACAACATTAGTGCCTAACCCAGAGAAGGTTTATTAACCTGAGTAAGCACATGTATAAAATGCACTTGGGCTCAAATATCTATACAGGTACTCTGAGGAGAGTGAGAATACATTGTGTGGAGGTGTGTTTACTGTTTATACACATCATTGTTTCCTGTGTGTTAATAATGTACTTTTTGTTCTGTACTTTGAGACAGCAATATGTTTCTTGCTTTTTCATTTAGCTTTAATGTGTCTGGTATATTTGAATTAGACAGTGATTAACAATTAAATGTTTAGGATTCAGTTTTATGGCCTGATCTTTATTTATGCTACTGACATTCATAGGGCGAAGCTGCAACAACTTGTGTATATATAACATGCAAATAAAATGACTCCAGGTGGCAAGTGAAGCAGTGGCATTCCTGTGGCCTGGATGTCATGGCATAAACCCAGGTTTACACTGCAGGAGGGTGGCTTATTCATGTGCTCTGTGGTGTGTTTCCTGCTGATCCTTAAAAGCAGATAAGGATGTTGATTAGTTCTGTTGGCAGAATGTGAAACTGCAGAGTCACTGCACAAAGGGGAATGTATTGGGCTCACTTTTTTACTGTCCATGTTTGCAGTTTCCTGGACAGAGGAATCCTGCATGAGAGTCCTTTCAGACATTTAGGTATAGTGGCTCCTTACAGCTGGCTTATCAGAGTATTTGGTTTATTTGAGAAGTTCTTTTGGTGTTACTAAGGACTTACACAGGGAACACTTACATGACAACCAACCCCCAGATCTTGTGAGTTGTTTCTTTGGTTTGTGTTCCAATAGAGGCTGCTCAGGGAGCAGTGCAAGCTTCTGAGCAAAAGCAAAGAAGACCTGTAGAAATCATTTGTTTCTTGTCAATACCTTATTTTTCAACAAAACCTGAAGGAGTACTCTCAGCCCTTCTGTGAATTTGCACTTCCCTTAGTGTGTGAAGAGATGTCTAAGAAAAAAAGATCTGAACAGTCTGCCAGCATTATGAGTTGCTCTATTATAATTAAACTTGGAAAAAATGGTGACAAAAATCTCAGATGAATATTCTTCAGTATTAGTGACCTAAGGTGTTTCATATGGTTGAAATATCATTGAAAAAATGAATTCTGCTTTTGGAAACAGCTGAGAATTCCAAGTCCCTTCAGTCAGTGAGGATAGTTGTAACCACAGTGTATAATTAGAGAGGCATTGTTGATTCATTAATGAAGTAAAAGGATACTAAGGGGTCAGAGTGTCCTTTAAGGAAGTATCAAGTTTAATCTGAACCCAGTGTCAGTGATCAGCACTTAGAATGTATCTTGTTGAAAATGTTCCTATTTAAATAGGAAACTACTAATTGAGGGCTACTTTACTTACAGTTCTCCTTACTGACTAATTCAACCAAAATCAAAATCTCAGGGTTCTGAAACATTTTGATTTGCTTAGGCACTAAACCATTTGTTGCTTAAGGAATATTTTAGAAGGCTTTACTGTTGTCAGTGACATAGATACTTTGCTAATTAAGTCTATGTAGATGGATGATAAGCATAAATAACCTTTTGATTTCAGGTTGACACTCATATCCATGCTGCTGCCTGCATGAACCAGAAGCACTTACTGAGGTTTATTAAGCACACCTATCAAACAGAGCCCGACAGGATTGTTGCAGAGAAAAAAGGCAAGAAGATGACTTTAAAGCAAGTCTTCGAAAGCCTTCACATGGACCCCTATGACCTCACTGTAGACTCTTTAGATGTCCATGCAGTAAGTCTCGTGAAATGACAAAACAAATGGGAAAAAGCTAAGTTTTCCAAGTGTAAAATTCTAGTTACTAGAATGTTTGCATGATAACTTACTAAATCAGAATTTGACTTCATGCATTACAGTGCATGTTTGAAAGAAGTTATCACAGGATTTTTCTTTTCTGTGCCTTTTTTAATGCTGGGCAATTTGATTTATGAACTATTGTGTGTTCTTAGAACTATGGTTATTTAGGTTTTTTTCCTCCTCCAGGGACGTCAAACATTCCATCGATTTGACAAATTCAATTCCAAGTACAATCCAGTTGGTGCCAGTGAGCTGAGGGACTTGTATCTGAAGACTGAGAACTATATTGGTGGTGAATATTTTGCTCGTATGGTCAAGGTAAATAAGTTTCAAGCTTTTCCAGCTGTAGAGAAATGAAGGTTTGTAATAGATTTGTCATAATTGCATACAGACCTAACACAATGGTTAAGTGATTCCAAGTATTGGGCTTGCTCCAGCAATTCCTCAGGGGAAGACCTCTGCTAAGCCAGCTCCTGTTGCTTTCTGAACAGTTTTATGAGGTAGAAACGTACACATAAGCTGTGTATGAGTTCAAAGCTGAGTTGTGGGTAGTTTTAAACTAATGGAGAGAAGCTGAGGGTCAATTCACTGGTTTAGTATTTTGTTAGGATTTAGTTGGCTACTGGTAGTTGCTAGGGAAGGAGGAGTAGGAAAGTGCCTCTGCATAAATCTGCATCTGCACATGCATGCAAGAGGCTTCAAATTAATTTCTTAGAAAAAAAAAATAGTAATTTTTGTGATGTAGCAGATTGTCAGCTCTTCTTGAATATACAGAAGTATTGTCTAAAATTAATTGCTGTAAAACTGCTTGCTACCATAGATTGTGGGTCAGATTCTCCATTGTTCTGTGTATTTTATGTAGATGATTGCTCTAGTTTAAATAGTCTAATTCTGATTTATCTCTCTTAAAAGTAGGTTTGACAGAGGTGTTAGTAAGGACTGCAGAAGAACATTGTCCTTTAAAAGAAGGTGTTAGAGTTATTCCCAGTTATATGTACAGTTAAGTTATATTCACATGGTATTTGAGCTAGCTTGCCAGTAGAGTATTTAGATGCCTAAAATAAAACAATAGATTGAAAGACAAGAGATTCCCTTTATCTTTAAAGGATGCCAATATAGTTATGTCTGCTCTGAGGAAAATGCAATGATACATATATTTCTAGCTGTAAATGATCTCAGTGTCCATATTAAAGCAAATATATTTATTACTTACTAGGAAGTAGCCCGTGAACTAGAAGAAAGTAAGTACCAGTACACAGAACCCCGCTTATCCATTTATGGACGGTCTCCAGATGAATGGCTGAACTTGGCAAAATGGTTCATTAAGCATAAAGTTTATTCCCCTAATATGCGCTGGATAATTCAGGTTCCCAGAATCTAGTAAGTAATCAGGAGCTCTTGGTAATCTTAATAGTTTGAAATCATACCACTGACTTAATTTCTGATAATATTTAGATGGCTTATTAGCTGTCCTGTAGTTCTATTTATAAGCAATAGCTTGGGAGATTTATTTTTGACCATTGGTGCAGTTTTCCTGACAGTCTGGGGGTGGAAGACAGGAGATGGGGATTGAATCCACTCTTTATGAAGCATTTCAAAACTACTGTGAATTATTTGTAGGTCTGAAGACATTGAAACCAAAAATTACAACTGGGTGAAATCAAGCTGCATTCCAAGGCCAATTAAAATACAATTTAGTAATAAGAATAAATCAACTCTTGAATTCCATGAAGGAGTAGAAAATGCCCTGTCAAATTGTTATCGTCAAGTTTAGTGACTAAATGACAGTGAACTTGGAAACAACCCAGACTGATGATTTCCAAACTTAAATCCTTGTCAGATCTTTTCAGTTTTTAAGCTTCCTTTGGGACTTTATTTCTTTGTTTCCAATAATGTGTGTTGTAATACAGTCTCCCCTGATAATTTTGTCAGACTTAATAGCTGAGCTTCTTGTTTTGAAATGTCACAGTTGGGGTATGAGTAGAGAAGGAGCTGTCACAGTCACATATATCCCCCAGAGCGTGCTTTTCACTGGGGAGAAAGTTTTTCTCCTTCAATTTTTCTTACATAGCAATTTCTGACATGCATGGCACAGTCGGCACTTGGAATAAGCCACGCACCTAGTGGCACATGGAAGTACTATCCCTTTTATCTGAAAGGCTCACTAGAGCACAGCATTCTGCTTTCATTTGGAGTAGTTACAGCTTTAGGAAACAGAATCCTCCACGAGAGGTAGCTCGTTATCTCCCCTGGTAGTAACTGGATGTCTGTGAAGGACAGGGTCACTGCTCTAAGGCAGCATCTGCCCCTGCATGCTGTCTCTATTTTTGGAGCACTTGAGAGCTTCAGTAGAGCCTGGATGAAGCAGAGTGCCAGGCAGTGCAGGAAACAGAGCACAGAGACAATCTGCCCTAACATAAACTTTGAATTTCTGAATCCTGGTGGAACTGAAGCTCTGGAATGTACACAAATAACAGAAAATACAAAAGTGAAGGACAATACAAGCTTATTAAAGAATGTGTCTATTTTTTCTCCTTCAGTGACATATTTAGGTCCAAAAATATTCTGCCTAGTTTTGGGAAGATGTTGGAGAACATCTTTGTACCTTTATTTGAAGCAACAATCAATCCCAAAGATCACAAAGAATTGCACCTATTCCTCAAATATGTAAGTACGTTTGGATTTTCTTTCTCATATGAAATGGATCCTCTTCTGCTCTTTTTCTGTTCCCATACACTAAAAAAGTTTCCTTCTCCACAGATTGCTTGTGTTATTATTGATGCAAAGCCCTGACACATAATTTAGTACAAGTCTGTGTGAGGTCCCATTGTCGGATAACCTGTTTATTTCCTCAGAAACAGCTCAGCATTTTTTTGTTCTTTCATTCATGACCAAAGATGTTTACATGCTCTTGTGCATCATCATCCAGGATGGGCACTTTGAGCTGTTTCTGAACTGGTCTCCAAGAAGGAGGCAGCTGGAAGGAAGCTTTTTGTAGACTGTGATGGATCTCAGGAGAGAAGTGGGATGCAGCTGCTGGGACAAGGTTAACACAGACATTTCTGAGTGTGCTTCAGATCACAGCTCTGAGCTTTGCTGGGAACCTCTTGCTTTCAGCTGCTTATCAAAGACAGCAGATGAGTTCAAAGGATTCTAGTCTGGATCTTAGGGAGTTTGGCAGCTCTGTAAACCCCCACAGAAGCCTGAAGGCTTTTGTGCACCTGGGCTTCCTGTTTGTTTCAGGAGAAAGAAAATGGGTAAAACTTTGACAAAACATGTTATTCCTGCTGTCTGCATGGTATGGTAGGATGCAAAGCAGCAGGACTGCTAGGATAGGGATGAAAATGAAGGAGGAGGAACCGGATGCTCGTTCAAACAAGTCCTGAAGCAAGAGTAAGTGGCACTGAAGTTTGCTTCTTGAAGCCCCTTATTTCTGTGAATTCCTTCTCCCACCAGGTGACTGGCTTTGACAGTGTTGATGATGAATCCAAACACAGTGGCCATATGTTCTCTGACAAGAGCCTTAACCCTGACCTCTGGACCAGTGAGAAGAATCCCCCATATAGCTATTATTTGTATTATATGTATGTCAACATCATGTTGCTAAACAACCTTAGAAGGTAAGTAGACATTTTTGTATTTTACAAGCTCCCAGAAAATCAGTATCTTTCTCTCAGAATTTCAGTGTCTGGATTACAGATCTTCTGAAGCAAGGGTTATTTTGAATCACTTAGAGTTGAGTACTTGAGATATTTTGAAAATACTAATGATAGAATTAATTCAAACAAAGAATTCAGAAGGTGTAGAGGCATCAGATTAATATCTTGGTTTGATATTTGTGTGTTTTGGGGTTTTTAACTCCTTAAAGCTGCATATACCAAACGAAACAAAAGAAACCCCACAAAACCCACTCAGTGTCCTTTGCTTGGCTTTGCAGCGGAGTCCCAAATACAATGCACCTGCCTCTTGGTGCCTGGCTATTTCCTGGTAATTTAAGAGACACAAAGTAATATTGTGGCACACTGGCTTAGGGGCTGCTGCATTCAGAGACAGACCAAGTAGGACACAGTTACAAACTGCACATCCAGCTAACTTCCTTTAGCAGGCTTCTTGACTCAACTCAGTTTAATACTTTTGAGACCAATGTCTGGGCAAGTAATGCAGGGAGTTACGTGACATCAGCCTGTCAGAGCAGATTTTGGCATCAGGCTCAGGAAAGCCTGAAATTCAATGTGAGGTTATATTGCTATATTTGCAGCTGACTGACTCATTGACCTGCACAGCTCCAGCCAAGGCAGTGAGGTTATCCACTAGTGTGAGAGTGTCATCACTTACCCTGAAAGGATTTGGTTCACCTAATTTCGTTATTTAGATTATTTTAGTTATTTAGAAAACATTTTGGATTTTCTTATAGAAGGTGCACAGATTTGTCATTTTACAGTTTTATCCAAGTTAGCATTCAAAATGTTATTTCTTCTCTCCCACTGCTACTTCAAGCATTTTTTAATCATCCTATTTGATCAAAACTCATAATGCAAACACCCACCTCAAATTACCTCATATGTGCAACAATCAGGTGTAGCTGTTTTAATTCTATAATGGAAAGGACACACAGCAGGTAGCTGCAGGAAAGTCATCCCTTTCTCCTGACTTCCTTTCCATTCTCTGTTGTTTACATGCTTTTTCTGTTCCAAAGAGAGATTCTGCCAGAACTAATGCATTTCTTTTTTACCTCAAGATTATTTTGACTTACTGTATTAAAATGCCCCCAGATAATCATTAAATACTCCTTACAGCTGAGATACTGACAGAACTCACCAATGAGTCACTAACTGTTCATCCTGTTAATCTAAGTGCTTGAGTCAACACAGCCCTGACAAGACTGTTCTATATCTTTGGTAATATCAGCAAGGATGGATTACATCCTCACATCAGGAGCAATGTTACTAACTTCCACCCTAGAATTGCCTTATATTCTAACACTCCTTGTTGAAATTGTGTTTTGAACATCTCCAAATACTTGTGGGACATTTGTCTGCACTGAGTAACAGGGTCCATTATAACCTCAAACCCAGCATCACTTTCAATGCAGGTGATAATTCAGTAATTCTAGAAATTACAGTGGATGTCTGGTGTAATAACTAACATTCCTAGATCACCTCTGTTTCTGAAAGCTACACTAAACCTGGTGAGATGGCAGGTTCTGATCACACTAGATACTGTTAGCTAACTCTTAGCAATGTGCCTCCCCTTCTTCCCTCATTTTGAACCAGGAATTCTGCAGCCACAGCTTGCATGGGTTTACTGAATTTTCCATCTGTCAGTTCACTCCACTGAAATCCATTCAGTAGCTGTTCAGCTACTGTGTACAGTGGGTAGACAGTTGCTAAATGAGATGTAACTGGGGAAGGCAAGAAGACACAAATATGTCTGGTAGTAGAAGGAGCTTGGATAGAGGGACCTGCCCTTTTGAGCAGCCCACCACAGGTGGGCCTGGGTAGATGTCACATCAAACTGTACGAGAATATGTAACCTAATTTTCTTCTTTTTAAATCTACATATTACTGGTAGTTATATACCAAATAGATAAAGAACAGTGCTTCCTTTTAAGTGAAACTTGCTTTTAATCACTTCAGGGAAAGAGGCATGTGCACCTTCCTGTTTCGGCCTCACTGTGGAGAAGCTGGGTCTATCACACACCTTGTTTCTGCCTTTCTGACAGCAGACAACATCTCTCATGGATTGCTCCTGAAGAAGGTATTGCTCCTAAACTAATCACTGTGTGCTCAGACATCCATCACTGGTTCAAACAGAGGGCACCAAATGGACATTTTTCATTAGTTCACTTTCTTAGCAAGGCACAAGTAACTCTTCAGTTTGGTCAGAAACTCCAGCCAGACCCCCCCCAACACCAGAACACGTGGACCTGCTGGAGGGAGTCCAGAGGAGGCCACGAAGATGTTCAGAGGGCTGGAGCACCTTTCCTGTGAGGAAAGGCTGAGAGCATTGGGGTTGTGCAGCCTGGAAAAGTGAAGGCTCCAGGGAGACCTTCCAGTAGCTAAATGGGGGTTACAAGAGAGCTGGAGAGGGATTTTTTGCAAGGGCAGGTAGTGACAGGACAAGGGGGAGTTGAAAGAGATAGGTTTAGATGAGATATTAGGAAGAAATTCTTTACTGTGAGGATGATGAGGCCCTGGCACAGGTTGCCCAGAAGCTGTGGATGCCCCATCCTGGAAGTGTTCAAAACCAGGTTGGGTGAGGCTTTGAGCCACCTGGTCTAGTGGGAGGTGTCTCTTCCCATTGCTGAGGGTTGGAACCAGGCGATCTCTAAGGTCCTTTACAAACCAAACAATTTCAAGATTCAGTGAAATAAATAAGCTCATCTGGACTTCCTTACAAACCAAACTATTTCATGATTTAATGAAATAAATAAGCTCAACTGAACTTCCTGTTCTTAAGCTACAAAAAGACAGCTTTGTCTTCACAGGGAAGGATCAACTGTTCAGATATGTCAAAGACTTGGCAGCACCCATTTTTAGTTACTCCAAGCAGAGTTAAAATTAAATGAACAAAATTTAAAACTTTAGACTTGCTACTGCTCCCTGGTTTAGTCCCAGAAGAAGTTAAGGAAAGCTCTCATTTTTTCTCTAAGGCGACAAAGGTCATTTTCTCTGATTGGCATTTCTGTACTTCAGGGTTCTTTCAGAAGTTCTTTCAGGATTTGATTATTTTGATCAAGAAATTCATCATAGCTGTTTGACACAACAATATTCTAGATAGAACAAATGTTTTCTGACAGAACAAATGCTGTAATTCCTGGCACATTAGTTAATGAAAACCATCACTCAACCCATCCTCAGGGCACTGTTTCATAATTAAAATAATTGGTCAGTGGGTGGCAGACTTGTACTGAGTTTACTGTAATTTTTCAGGAGTTCCCTTGTAAGTGAGTTTTTTTCTGGTTAATGCTGGAAAATTCTCTGTATTCTTCAACATAACCAAGAACAAAGAAAAAATATACCTAAAATCATGTCTGATACTATGCTCAAGAGTAATAATTCATAAAATTAGACCCAGACAGAATAGCACTAAAGCAGTGTGTGACCAAAGCATTCTCCTCTTCCCTCTGTCTTGCATGCCCTGGTGTGATAAGATGGCATAGCAGGTACTAATAATAGTAACATTAATAAAGGCACTTGTGAGGTTCATAGGTTGGCTAAGGCAAAACAGTTATAAAGATGACATGATCACAGATTATTTATATTATGTACAACAGCAACACATGACTTCTCGTAACTTAAAACTTCTTTTGCTCCTAAAATTTATCTATTGGACTGGAGCTTTGGAAGTAAAAAATTGCTTAGCAGTTCTTCCCCATTTATCTTCTGTGACTTTCAGGTTTTGGGGGAAGGTATGCAACTGATATCAAATGCAATGTCCATAATGGTCATATATATACTTACTAATCTACAGTAATATTAGTCATTGTATTTATAAACAGACTATATTTAAGAACATAAATTATTTTTATAAAGATCAGTAAGATATAAAATTCAGACTTTTAAATATTTCCTGGAGAAATCATGGTCAACCTAATTTTTTTGATCTTAAGTCTTCCCCCTGTATTGCTGTTTGCATTTTATCCAAGGGAAATCCTTCTCTTTTTCATTATCGCATAGTACCATTAAATGCTGACTGTGTTTTGTTTTTCAGAGTCCTGTCCTCCAGTATCTGTATTATCTTGCACAAATACCCATTGCTATGTCCCCACTTAGTAACAACAGCCTGTTCCTGGAGTACTCCAAAAATCCGCTACGGGAATTTCTCCATAAGGGCCTGCACGTCTCCCTCTCCACAGATGATCCTATGCAGTTTCATTACACAAAGGTAGGAATTGTGAAAAGCACCAGCTTTGAATTTGGCAACAGCACCACAAGGGTCCAGAACGACCTGAAAGCTGTTTTATTTCATTGCTTAGGACATAGTGTCATGTCTTTCAGTCACTTCATTCATTCTCCCTCCTCATTCTCTGTCTACTACTCACTGTTAGGCTTCAGAAGGAAATGTCTGATTTCCTAATTATGTTTCTTTTGTACTCTTGCCTCTCCAGTGTTGGCTGTTGAAGTATAAAATGAAGGATGAGGCTGAAGGGAGGTTTGAGCCTTCATAAACAATCCTCTAGAGTGCCAGGAAAGTCCAGTTTCCTTACTCTAATAAGTCTGGGGAAGTACATTACAAAAACACGATGTGGAATCTCAAGATGACCTAAGAGCTGCTTGCTCAGTGAGCTGGAACAGATTCCTGCCCTTGGGTGGCCTGGCAGGACAGGAGTGCCTGGTCACTGGCTGCGATGCCCTGGTTTGTGGCTGGCACCGATTTGAGCCATGCTGTGCCCAGAGGGGCCCGGCCGTGTCCGTCGCTCAGCTCCGTGTCCCAGGACAAGCCGAGCCCCGCTAGCCTTGGCCGGGGCTGGCTGCCGGCCCGGGACACGGAGCTGCTGCTGGCCGGGACACGGCTGCAGTCACACGGAGCCTGCACGGCCCTGGGCAGGGCCAGCCCGCCGGGGCCACACCCGCCCGCCCCGCGGGGCAGGGCCGGAGCGAGAAATTGCCCTGCTACCTGTCCATGTGCAAAATCACTCAGGCTTTACCACTGGGTGCTCCAGGGGGTTTGTGTACCCTGGGGGCTCCTTTGGAATTGCCTAAGAAATGCCTCCAAGGATCTGGACTGCAGGCTGCAATTTCTTAGACTAAGCTAACTAGATACCCAGTGGCTGTTAATTATTAACCAGTAGTCCTTGGGAAATTTGAAATGAACAATTCTTTTCATAGTAGTTGTGATTTTAAAGTTTCAAACTTGTAACTTTTCAGAGCTGTCTAAAGAGCATGTATAAAATCCTTACTACTAGTAATGAGTACGTATCCCCATTTATATCTTATTTACATATAATTTAATCTCAAATGTATTTTGGTGCTGCAGGAAGCTCTCATGGAAGAATATGCTATTGCAGCTCAGGTGTGGAAACTAAGCACGTGTGACTTGTGTGAAATAGCAAGAAACAGCGTTCTACAGAGTGGATTGTCAGATAAGGTAAGTATGGCTGGAAAACCTCTCCTGTGAATATTAAGGCAAGCAGGAACCCAGAAGTCAATAGTCTGAGCACTGAATAGCAGGTGCTGAGTGATGTATTTGGGCTCATTTCTGTCGTCTTTTCCATAAATAGTCACAAACTATCTGCTATGCAGTCTTACATTACAAGTAAAGTATTAATATTACTTTTCCCCATTAGCTTTGTTTTGGAATTCTTAAAATACGTAGAGACCAGATGTCTGTTTATCCTCAGTTCTCCTTCCAGTTACAAACTTTTAATTATTTGGGTGATATCCTTCTGCCAGTGATTTTCTGCATAATGTCTTAGCATTAAGTAAAAACAAACTGCCTGTCACAAGTAAGACATGGTTTTTTACTTAAAAGGGAGTACTACAGAAAATATTCTGGTTTAGATAGGCAGTCAGATTAGATTAAATTCCCTTTTGGCTTTAAAATTCCATACAGCCAAGGCTTTCTCTAGGACTTTAGAGCATTCTTTCTTCTGTGTCACTTTTGAACATTTCTCTGAAGGAACTGGTATTTGAAGGGGCTTCATGAGTATATTCTGTTGCTTCCAATATTTCCTGCTGACAACTACTCATTTTCCTCTTGTGTGACATTTAACCAACAGAAGAGACCTAAGCCTCTTTTCAACCTCTCACATGCAAGATGTGGCAGTGAAGGCTGAACACTAACACAGAGGGTTTTAGCAAGCCAGACTGAGTGCACTTCTCAGTGATTATATGGATAAACTTTGGCCTTAAAATCTCCTAAACTGGTTAAGACTCTGAGGAAGAGTTCAACGGCCAGCTGGTTGAAACTGCTCTTTTCACTTGTGCTGGACTCATTCAGCTAACACTTATTTCTGCAATAAGTCAAAGCAGTTGAACTGACTTCTTCCTTTTGACTTTTAATCCCATTCACAGGAAAAGCAGAAATTCTTAGGGGTGAATTATTGCAAGGAAGGGCCTGAGGGAAATGACATTCGAAAGACAAATGTCGCCCAGATCCGGATGGCCTTCAGGTACGAGACTCTGTGCAATGAACTCAGCTTCCTGGCTGATGCCATGAGAACAGAAGATATCTCTAGTCTGTCCAAGTAGTTACAAACCCAGAGAAAGCAGAATATGTTCCTCTTAAGCAGGATAAGATGCTAATTAACCTCAAATCACCTGTCTTTGATGCTACAGAGACATAACTGAACAGTACAGAGACAAAGGGAGTATCTGTGGAAGGTAAACAGCGTTTGCCACCACCCGTTACCGCGTTATTCTTGTTGCAAAGATTTCGGTTTCTACGAACATTAGGCTTTTTAAGATTGCTGTAAATATTAAATGCAAACTCAGAATCATGTACTATTTGTTTCATACTGTCTTAACTGTGCCCTGCTGTGTAGCCTGGGAAACCAGAAAGAGTATCTGTAGAGCAGCTGTGCTGTGCACCTGAGGATCCCACAGATGCTGACAGCACGTACCCACCTGAGTTGGTTCTGCAAGTCTCAATACCAGTCATGGCTTTTAACACTTTTAAGTTTAACCTTTTTTTTAATTAGCAGTTTTTATGGGGTGCAGAATTTTGAGGCTGCCCTTTCATTCTGGAAGGTGTTCTGATACAGTTTTTAATTCAATGTTTCAGCAGTTACATTGTAAAACAAGAAAAAGCAACATCAGGTAATCTTGTTCAATGACTAATTAATTGCTGTTATGTATAATGTCAGTGAAGAACAGCAGATGAATGCTTTTTAATCTAGCAAATGGAAAACATTGTGTCAAATCACTATTATAGATTGTAATGAATCCAATTACATCAAGAAAATTTTGCCTTGAAAGTTGAGAAGACTTTTTTATTGCTTTGTAATGGGAATATGTGGATATGCCCATTCAAATTACTTAGAAATTTATGCAGATAATTCTGGTTGCATGTAAAGAGAAATTTTTTACTTGAAAAAGGGAAGTGTTCTTATGAATCAGTGGTAGAAATGCCAGACCTGGTTCTGGTCCTACTTCTGACATATTTTTACACATTTGTTTTAGTCTGTATTTTAGTCAACTACAGCTGAATGGGAAGTCAAGCTGTCTATTTATACAGAAGCCAGCCCACTTGAAATCTGTCATTTCAAATCATGGTATGTTATGTTAAACTATCTGTTTATGAGGAAGTGGTTAGTAAAATACAGCTACTGGAGTATTTATCACTTTCAGTCTTTTTTTGGTTTCATCATCTTTATGACACAGTACTTCAGAAAGGATTAAAGGTGATAACATGATGGCAGCTATGTATTGTAGAAGCTGCACACAGTTTCACACCAAAAAAGACTCGAGGCTGAGGGGAAGCAGAGGGTGTGCATGCCTGTGGGTCCAGTGGAGCAACTCAGTTCAAAGGCCTGCAGTCCCTGAGGCAGGATCTGAGCCCAGGGTTAGACCCCTGGCTGTCTAATATCCTGCACAGGGACACTGGGCTTCTTCAAACAGGCATTCAGCATTAATGCATAAAATCCAGTAACTGATACTGGCCCATCAAGGTTCACCTGCCTTTGAACCCTGCATGTTGTGCTCAGCCAGATGTCTTGTGCCACTTGTATTTCCTAGGCCAGGCCCCTCTCCTGTGCAAGGAAATGGCACTAAAGTAGGGGAAGGATGAAATCCTTATCACCTCCTATAGCTGTGCAGCCTTGCAAGAACACCCCAAGAGAGAGATAAACCTAAAGGTGTCAGGAAGCAGCCTGGAATTAAGGCTGCTCTGAGGGAGTCCAAGGCACAAGAGGGAGACCTCTGGCCATCCACTTACCATCACAGCCAATGTCATGCAGAGGGAGCTGCAGTGATTGCAGAGGCTTTTCATCCAAAACCAGGGCTGCAGACAGGTGGTGGGAATTTGACTTCTGCTCTTCAGTGCCCCAGCCTCATGTCTGCAATGTGCCACATTTTGTATTCCTTGTACCCCTAAAAATCATGTGAAACCACACTATGCTGTCCAGCTGTATGAGAGTAAAATTGTCCCAAGTTCTCAGTCAGCAGCCCCTGTCAGCCTCACTGTTGGGAACTTTAGCAGCTCATAGAATGCAGTCTCAGGATTGGTGTCATATGTTTAGGATGAAGTCTGAGAAAATGGTTTAAGCTGTTCAGCTGCATCAAATGCAAATGTCTTGTTTTTTAAACAGTACAACTTCCTAATAAACTGTTATCAACATAACATTATTTGGAAAAAATATCTGCATCCAGGCTAAATAAGCAACATGCTTGGTATGAAGGATTTCAATTTTAAGTATTTCCAGATAAACATTGCTTTACTTGGGTAGTTTCACCTATTAGTGCTGCTTTTGTTGTCACTATATGTTTTTTTAGTTTCCTTAAAATTACACCAAATTTGTGTATATATTTAATACCTTTTCAGCTTTCCTTACCTCAGGTTCTAATAGGTCTGTAGCTGTTATTGAAAAAAAAAACCAACTGGATTTGCATATTCAGTGAATGGACAGTAACTGTGATTCTGACAATAACCACAGTAACACATAAGTGATCATGACCACAAATTTTGCTTTCTGTGCTTTCTTGTGTGCTGCTTTTAAGGGGAAATTGGGCTTATAGCATTATATTTGGGAAATATAAACAGACATCCTTTCAAGCTTCCACTACTACATTTCTCCTGGTCATCCTTTAATTGGGCAAATATTACTGATTGCCAAGTTCAGTTCGTAAGCTTTGCCTTGGTTTGTTCTTTTAAGGTTGCACTTTTGTACTAATGTGAGGCTGTTCAGAGTAACCTTGAGGGCTCAGGCTGTGGCTGGAATGAAAAGACAGATGTAAGCACAAGTCACTGCTGTACACACAGACACCAGTGCAGGACAGGGCAGTGACTGATCCCCCCAGCTGTGCTGAGGTCAAACCCAGTTAGAACACAGCTGGTTTGACTCAGGGGCTGGAAGAACATCACTGCAGGTGGCAACTGGGTAAGTAGTGCTGCAGGATGGAAGAACATCCTACTTACTTGCTTCATTAGGAGAGAGGCTCAAACATTATTCAAGGCTTCCTTAAATCTGTTGGTTCATAAGCATTTTATACTTTCAACCTGAAATGGTTAATTGTGGTTATTTGATGTTTACAACCTGAACAATTCTTTCTGTTCTGTTACTTTAGCAAACTTAAAGCATTTGCTCTGCTACTGGAGAATACTTTTTTTTTCACAGCCCAGAGCCACCTTATTGTCTCATATCATTGTTCTTTATGTGTGGCTAAACATTTCTGTTCTCTTTGCCTAGTTAAAATCCAAGTCTGAAAAGGTGTCTGTAAAAACTGCTTTTTCTTTCTGTGCCTGAGTTACATGATGTTTGTCTTTTGCCTCTTGTGGAAGCATTAAACATTACACTAATGAATTAATTGTAAAAGAATATGGTTATGGATTTTGTGTGTATATCTCTCAAAAAAAATGTAGCTCCTCCCAGTCTCCACAGTTAAGGAGAACTAAAACCATTGCAATTAAATTGACTAAACCTAAATAAAGCAGGAAAACTGAAACCAAAAATCCAAACAGTGGAGATAGGGAAGACAGTGGGCACTATTTAGGAGAAGAGGCTAAAGGTTTATCTGGCTTAAAACAATTCAGTATTAATGCAAAACAACCACTGAGACCTGGCATAAAGTTCTGAAAGTGAAATTGCATTGGTGCCCCCCCTGCTTCCGTGCCCATCCAAGCTGGGCCCCAGGGCAGGGCAGCTCTTGCTGATCCTCGAGCCTCATGTGGATATTGAGCTGAGAGTCAAGGCACCCAGCCTGGGAGCAGGAAAGCAGCCCTGACCCTCAGGGCAGAGCAGTTCAAGGTTCTGTGATTCTGTGAGCACACACAACAGATTTATCTGACAAAACCCAACTAAGAAGCCAACAAGTGACAGATTTAAATAAATAGTATCAAGACAGATATCCTGCTACAGTCACCATGACTTTTGAGGAAAAGCATAACACAAACCACTTCAGTAAGAAAGGGAGTCAAAATTTTTAGATTAAGATTAGAACATCATCCCTTTCTGTACACAAACTTTAGTTCTTTACACGAGCAGCACGGTGAAGCACAGGAGTACAGGTTCATCTGTAACTGAGAAATGTGCATGTAGGGGGATACAACATAAGTAAATAAAGGTAGTATAGAAAGTAATCTTATCCCCTCAAGTGTTGCAGCTGACCAATTATTAAGGATTAGGAGCAGGCCTGATTTTAACAGGCTACACCTGTAGCCAATCAGAAGAGTGTTATAAAAGAGTGGATTGGTTGGTTGAGGGGACTGGAGTCAGTTGGCTGCTGTGAGGACAAGGAAGAGTCAGTGCCTGGAGGAGCTGCCTACAAGAAACATCAAGGAGGTGTGAAACTCTAGCAATATGGAACCCTTGCAATGTAATGACAACAGAACTCTTGCACTATATGACAACATGTGCATTTCTCCCCCACACCTCTCAAAGCACCACTGTTAAGCAGCACAGTCTGTACAATACTGAGACACCAACACCACTGTTTTATTAGTCATTCACCATGACTGACAGGTCTCACATAAAACGTTTTTGAAGGTCTGTTAAAATGGGTCAGAACCACATCAGCATGGAAGCACAGATTGTTGTATCAAACTCCTACCTTCTTCCACATACAAATTTCAGAGGTGCAGGTTTCCAAATACTTTAGGTTTACTTTGTGAAAACACCTAGCATTTTTAAATAGCACTTTGAACTAAAGAAGAGTGCTCATTTAATCACCTATTGGATTGTATTCTTCATTCCAGCAGACACACAGTGCAAGGTTCTATCCCAGGTCACAAAACTGGTAATTCCTTCTAATATTAAACCTACAAATCCCATGCCCAGTGTTTACTATTTGGATTTTGATGGGTTAGTGAGGTAAGTACAGATCTGCTAATGAACATCTTAGCAGCTCAGACACAAAAGCAGAATGTGCTGTCCTATCCCTCATGGCTGGCTCAGAGCAAAACGTCACCTGGTGATCACACATTGCGGTCACTGGAAAGCACACAGCCCCATCCAGGCTAATTCCAGTGACACATCCCAGCAGGAAAAGTTTTCAGTCCTTAAAGAATATTGCTATATGATAAATTCTATGCCTTGGAATCAAGCATTGGAAGAAATGACAGTGAACAAAAATTGAAATGACTGATGTTTAAGACATACTCATAAAGCAAAATTCTGTTCACCCATTTAAAACAGGTGGGAATAAAACCTCTGGCAAGTTATCATCAGGGATGATTCAACAACAGAAGCCCAAAGAAAATAATTACTGTCATATTACTTCCATTCCAGAGTGTGTGTGAACACAAAATCAAAGCATTGTCTATATGCAGTGTAAGGATTAAGGCCAGGTAGGTTAACATACAGCTCCTACTTTCATCAAACATCCTTAGGGCTCCCTGAGGGGGCTGTTCTTCCAGGATCTAGCTGGATGCAAAGCACAAAGAACCATGGCCAGTATGTTCTTTCCAAAAATAAAGTATTTGGCACATACAGCTCTACAGGGGTGGGACTGAATGGCTCAGTTCAAACCTGTAACACAGAGATCTCAGTGGTTGGCCTGGTTTCCAGAACTGGAAAGAGTATGGATTAAAAACCTTTCTAATTATGTATAGAATTTTCTTTAAAGGAAAGATAAGGAAGGTAAATACACCATTTCCCATGAAAAAAAAGAACCATGCCCATCACACTGATATGGTGCCTAAACTTGAAACCTAGTAAATATAAAGCTTTGCTAATTGCTCTGGTACACCTACCTCCTTGCTGTGCCTGTCAACTGGTCATTTTATCCATTCTAATTTCCTGATCTGTTAATGAATTCTGCTCCCATTTCTGCCTTGGCTTCGAAAGATCCAAACAGATAAGCCAAGTAACTAGACAGAGGAAAGAGTTATATTAATTACATATTTTAATTCTTACATAAAACAAGGAAAAATTAAGAAAAAACTACTCCAAACTTTAGCATTCTTAAACTTCAAAATACCATCAGAAACATGATGAAATTACTTGGGGTAAAAGTGTATCACACTTCTCTGAAAATAAAAATTCTTTCCCCAAACAAACATGCTCCTCAATATTGTCCTGTAAGAATTAGAGTTGTTTAATTTTTCCCATAATCTCAGAATGTTCCAATTCATTTGTGTCCCTAGAAGAGGTCAAATCAGAGCCAGTTTCTTTTTTTGCAGAGCTGCATTGAGGTACCTTGTTGATACAACCCTTCAAAGTTTGAGAGCTCTGACTCACAGTGCCACACTTTTAACCACACCACCCGTACAATGCAATTGTATTTGGATCAAAACTCATTTTTCACAATTCTCTTGTACTAAAGCCAAGAGATTCCTTAAGCTTAAAAGAACTCTAACATTTCTTCCAAAGTAACTTTATTGCACAATTCATACACAAAGTTTAATATAGTGGAATGTTCTTAGCTGTTAATACCATCTCTAATGTTTAAGTTACAATTTCACATTAAACCTGTAAGAAATGTTCACTTAACACAAGAAAGTTAATTTATTCTAATGCCCCCCACCAACAGCTCTTTGTAGTAATTCACATTTTCAAGGTCTAGCTTCTGGAACTCATTGCCATGTCTATACCAATGGATTGATTCCTTTTCCAAAACTGTTTGCTAAGTGTTGCACTTCAGACTAAGTAATGCCAACCAGTACCAAATTATTAGGTTTTCAGTGTTAAAGTATCTATTTCTCCATATAACATACAGTACATATATTTTACAAGGCACACATTACAGTATCTACATCACAGCAGTGTGAATTACAGCAACTTAATTTAAAAAAGCTGTACAGAATACAAAGTTTACTTTTTCACTATTTAAATTATTTTGCATTAGTTTATATTGTAATTGTCATTATGCTGCAATTAACAACTTGTTTGCATCATTATAAAATTACATTTTAAGAAGTTCATGTAAGTTCTCAGCAGAAAGTCAACTTATAAAATCTCAGTTCAGAAGTATAATTCTTGAAGTACTTGAAAAATAAAGTTAGCTTGAGTCTTTCATTTAGATGCTCTTTCTGTTCCAGTGATATAAAAAGTTTAAAAAATTCAAAGATTATCTGAAAGTTCTGAACATGGACTAATGCAACCTCAAAAAGCAAAAAGAAACCAAACTGGTGCATTATTAGGAATATCTGCACATGTTTTAGTGGGAAATCCTGGGCCAGTAACGATTTCCAGCCCCAACAACAACCGCCTTTATGCAACCAAACACTCCATACATTTACTGAAGAATATCTCATTGCTATCAATGGCTTAAGAAAGGGGGGAAAAAAAGAGTTCTCAGCTATATACACTCCTAAAAGGATTTTTCCATAGCTAAATACAGATTTACACACTAAGCCATACTGGATCTCAGGTGACAGAAACATGAAGGGTATGTTGCTTCTCTGTCTTAAAACCTATGATAAATCTGACAATGGTGTCACAAACCAAGCTCAAACAGGTGCCATACTCTGTGCACATTCTTTAACAAATTGATGTAATTAAGTTACTTTGTAGCCAATTAAGAAAAATAACCTAAATGTGCATATCTACATGTGCACATGCCTTTTAGTTCAGAACCTGTGACAAAAGGACTTAAGCCTTATGGCATCATGGAATTTTAACAGGTATGGTAAGGAAAAATGCAGTCTCACAGTAAGCAAGATTTATGCTGTTATTCCTTCAAATGCTACACTTGAATATTTTAACTTGAGGTTACTGAGTGAGAAAAAGTAGTATTTGTTAATATACATACATATATATAAAATTAATTCTCTACAGTAGCCATTTATTTCCATAATACTATTTATGCACAAGAGGCTTAAGATGGGTTTCCTGAATACGAATAATTTTAGACTGTCTAAACTCAGCTCTTAAAGATTTTATTCTGCTAAACACAAAATACTGTTGCACTCCAGTTGAGATACCCCTTTTCCAAGCTGTCATATGTGCATCTTCCTCCAAGACACATTATTGTTGAAGAAGTTTCCCTCTGCTACATAAAAGCATATTGCACTTGTAGATATTAAGTAGAGCACCCTTACTTAGATTATCACTTGTAACTCTTCATATACCTTTTAACTCTGATCTCATCACTTCAAAAACTCAAGAGGAGCAGATAAAGCCACAGCATCAGACTAAACTACACCTTAAGTGCTAATTCAAATAAAGGCATTCTCTTCAGATATGCCCAATGTTTAGAAATAATTTTAGCTGTTCTTTATCAAAAACTACTGAAGCTGATTTACTGCTTTTAGGATTGTGTACGAAACTGTTTAATGTTTCCAAGCTAATAAGACTATGCTAAACATGTATTTAAAAAAATATTCTGAGATAAGTCTTGTTAGAAGAATAAGGGGAATTGCACAAGTACATTTACAGACCTGCCTACACTCTCAAAAACAGATTTAAAATAATTAATACTAAAAGTCATAACAGATCAGATTAAGTATCTGTAAACACTAAGAGCAGCAATAACTTCCTACTGAAGAACAGGCAGTGGGACTCCTTCAAGTTTCAACAGTAAAATTTCAAATTAATAACCACTAGTGCTAACTCATCATCTTTATTCACATTAGTTGTGAATAAGGGACTGCTTTGAAGGGTAGGAACTGTGAGGTCAAGCCATCTGCCACGGTTCATCTCTGTAGCAGTACACTGTGATGCTCAAACAGCAGTTTGCAGTTGTAGTTGTGCTGTTACAAGTTGCTTCATTGAGTAGTTGAACTGCTAATTAATATCAAACGTTGTTAAAGTAAACTGTGTTAATGATCCAAGAGTTTGCTGAAAGAACAGTTCAATAACGAGGACTGCATACACAGAGACTTGCTCAGATCCCCTGTGCTTGAGGAGAGCAGCGCAGACTCACAGCAGCCAAGAGGAGAAGGGAAGGACAGACTGTGCAAGAACGGCAAGGAGGGGTGAAACCAGACGCCGGGGAAAACAAAAGCTTCAAGTGGTTCTGCCACGATCAGCCTGTGGGCAGGGTCAGGGTCTGTGGGGCTGCCCAGCCTCATCCACCATGTTAAGGATGTAAGTGGCAATGTCATCTTCTGTAGGGGCCTCTGACACCACCCAGGAGTCTCCTGCCCCAGTCACCTGCCGGCGGCACACGGGACAGTTTCTGTGGCGGTCACTCCTGTTAGGAAGGCACAGAAATGAGTGCTTTTCACTGATGGTCTTTTGCTGGCCAGAAAAAGCCACAAGAGCCCCCAAAAGGACAAACAAAACCCAAACAAAAACCAGCCCAGTGAGAACTTCAAGAATGATCACATCAACTGGATTAAGCCACCTATTAAGCCACCTTTTTGTGTTTAAAAACTTCTTTCTTTGTGAGGAAGATTTCTGAATGCAGCTCCATTCTTTGAGTGAAAATTTGGAATCATGTTCCTCCTAATCCTTTGCTCAGGTCAGACAGGATCATCTGGCTACCTGGCCAGAAAGCTTAAATGGAAATTCACTGTCTAAATTAATTCTTCCTATCTTCAGGAATTCAGCTGAGGTCCTTAGAAACCAATCTCCATAGGCTTCCAAGATAAAGAGAAGAAGGAGCCTTTTCCAGGGTCATGCAGCCCACAGATGTTTAGAACTGGTCCCCTGGAGTCCCAACTCCCTCCACCATCTCAGGAGTCTCCAACACTTATGTTTGAGCTGGGAGCCTCCATTATGCCTTAATTAAGAGGAGATCAACCTTAACAATTGCAGACCAAGAAAAAAAAGCATGGTGCAGCTGGAACTTAGTGAGGAGTTCAGCTGATTCATCAGCCAAAGCAGTGTATAATCCACTCTCCAGCAGAGTCACTAAACTAAGCCCTGTCCTGCTGATAGATGTTAGGACATTTTCCCAGAAGAGAGAAATGACTTGCTGTATTCTGAGATCCAGTGATTTTTACTATGTTTTTTTCCTTGTGGAAGCCTGGTGTTTGTTACAAGAGTAACTTCCCTGGTAAGTCTTTCAAAAAGCCACAAAACAAATTCTTATGCACAAATTACGTGTAAACCCATTTGCATTAACTAGCCAAAAGACCCTTTTTGAACAGAGCAGGTCTGTGTCCCCTAATGCCAGACTGCCTGGACACTTCCCTAATCCCTGAAGGCCTGTATGGTCAGACAAGAGCTGTATTCCTCCACAAAGAAATTCTTCTCTCCCACTTTTCCAAGAACTGGTGTATCAGAGATGCAGAAGCTGAAAAGGTGTTCAATTTACTGTGAAGCTGAACACTGTAAGCTACACATTATATACATTGTTATAAATTTGAAGGTGCTGCCATGGAGAAGAACTATCTTCCTGGAAGAGTCTGATATAGTTAAATGAGTAAATTGTATGCCATTTATCTGAAGTGAAAGCATAACATATGGAAAAAAACCTCCCTGATAGTTATTTCCCAAGTAAGTGACAGACAGTCCAACTTGCCTTCATATTCGCACAGTCTTAACAAGCCTTAAATGAGATTTGTGAAGCATAACATGCCAGCATTGCATATACCATCTTCTCAAATTTCTGAGCAAGACTGTAACAATTCAATTTTAGAAGAATAAAAAGATGTAAGAAATTACAAAAACAAATGCTGAACAGCATTTTCACATCTCTTTTTTACAAAATTTCCTGCCTTCTTTCTGCTTCAGTCTGCTTTTACTCAATTTTAAATTATTTGGCAACCACAGAATCTGTCAAATCAAACTGAAACATGCATACTATAAAATAATTAATATCCTTTCATCTATATTACCATTTATCAATGCATTTCTGGCAGAAGCTGTGAGCACATGGCAGGATTAGATCAGCACGCCCATCCATGCAGATGCAACATTCCTCTTCATCTGTCAGCTGTTTAACCCTGCAGAAGAGAAGACACAGTTTTCTTCCAGATGTTTGATATTTATGCCCCAGTAACTACACCAGTTATTACATTTTTCATAATAATTAGTGATGGCCAGAAAGAAACACCCGTGCTTTTAATTTGTGAATGGGCTACTTATGTCACCCCAGCCTATGTCAGCAGTGAACTTAACTAAGCCAGAATGTGCATTTATTTTTTGTGTCAGGTTTTTGTGTTAGTATTTGTGTCAGGTGCTTTTGGTGTTGTCAAGGGTTCTGTAAATTCCTTTTCATATCAACAAGGAAGTGTGAGAGTTGTAACTGTTTCATATCACATGACTGGGCAGAAGAACAGAAACACTGTTTACATTAAAGGCAGGAGAAGAACCTGCCTTCCTGTCACTGCACCTTAGGCTGAACTAATTCATAACGAACTTTCCCAAATTTCTGTGTGCTGGTTTATATCCTAGACAAAAACATGCATGTCAAGAGGATGACTACCAGAATGCAGCTTCACTCATTTCAGATGGCACCAAAATGCCAGGAGCTAAACTACTCACTAGATTGAAAAGGCTGATTTTAGCTTGCAATATGCTCCATATGAGTGCTCCTCAATATAGGACTCTCAAGATGACTGTTACCACAGCTTTTCCAGTTAAACTCCCAGGTGTTTCTGTTGGTGGGGAAGCTTAAAAATTATACCCAAGATAGATGTTGACATTTTATATCTTTTTCCCAAATATGAGATATCTTTATCTAATGTTCTTATCAGGAGTATCTCAAATACTGGCACCATCAAGACTTCTCAAGGGCAAAAAGGTGCAGAGCATCCTCAGCTTTCACTGGCCTAACCAGACATGTAAAGTTTGCAATTTTATAGTCACAGCTCACTTCCAAAACAACCAAGGAAGTGTTCTAAAATGCCTGGGTTTTCCAAAAAACCTAATTTGGGAATCCCTGTTCTGACCTGAGGGACAGAGATAGCATTCTAGAAAAAAAATGTCATTTTAGGAGTTAGTCTGCCTTAATGACTATTGACCAGACAATTTTTGCTTAGGTATCTAAGGGAGCTTGTCAAATACAGATTCATTTTTGACCTGTACAGAATAGCCAGCTACTAAACAGCAGTCAGCATGCCTTTGTTTTCTCTTTCAGTAAGTCCTTGGGGTTTCCTTTCCAATTTGCTTTTGGAGAAATACTTTAAAATGACAGATATTTTTTTTACAGATGGCAGTTTGCATACAATGAGTACAACAATTTCCACGAAGCTTGCTTAACTCTGTTCTTTAGACCTGTTCCCTTCTCGTTTTTCTCCCCCATACAATTCTCAGTACTAACCTTTAATAGCACTTGAATTTTTGAGATTTGCTGGTGTCTATACAAGCAATTATACAAGGCCTATTTAAAAAGCTTCTGCAAAGTCAGCTTTAGTCACAGTACTAAGTTCCTGAAGAAACAGTAAAATAAAGGAGTGACAGACAAAGGAAATGCTTATCTCTTTGTTATCAGAATGTATAAACCACTTAGGCATATTTTGAATGCTCTGAATAGGAAGTGGATGTTGTAGAGATATGGGGCATTATTCTAGGGGAAAAAGTTAAGAAGAATTGAACAGATAACACTTGCTATTTTTAGATAGTGAGGGCTAACTTTGCAGAGCTGAAAAATATCTGAAGATGAGAAGAACTTAGGCAAATGGGTGGTTATCACAGAAAAATATACAGAAGATTTTATTGGTGCAGAATACTTGAAGGTGCTTCAGCTTATATTTTCCTTAGTAACTTGAAAAACTTGGCTGAGACACAAGCTCACCAAACTTCATCATATTAGCAAAGTATACTCTGTTTTTATTTGTGACTGATACTGCCTCCAGTAATGAAGTTTACAAACAAGAAGGATGCTCATCTCCTCTGTCTCCAAGTCTGAAAAACTGAAAAAAACTCACATAGGAAATTTTTTATTTTCCTCATTGACTTTAGCGATTTATAAAGTTGTTTTGCCAAAGTACCTGGGGTCTATATTGTTTGTCTGTTTGAAGCAAAAGACCATCTCCAGAAAAATGTGTGTTCTGGTATAACCTTGAGAAAGCAATTTTCCTATTCTTTCTCAAACATGTTCACAATTTACAGGAAACTAAATGAAATTAAAATAATACCTTCTGCAATCCAATGACAGAAAAACCAGAGGGCTCTGTGGAGTGACAACACAGGTGACCCCTTTTTCCTTTCAACAGCTGAAGAGTGACACTCAAGCTGTTTCATGAAAATACCTGGCTGCCAGCTCTTCACTGGTGAACACAGAGAACTCTACCATTTACTACCTTTTCCTGTAAAACCTAGCTCTACCTCACTTTAAACTGAGTTAGGACCATGAACTTTTTCAGGAAAAGTAAGGAATTACTGGTAGCAGCAACACTTCCACACAGGGAAAGGGTGACAAGCTTCTTGCTTTTACATTCAGTTTGAACTCAAGTTATTGCAGGTGTTGACCTCAGTCTTTTGTTTTTCCTCTGGTTAACAAAGCAGAAGGTCAGCATGAGTGAGACAATTCACATTTTTTCAGTCTTGCAAGTTAAATTATTACCATAATGGATGGGTTTCTAGTGGCAACAGATGGGAACTTCCACATGCCAAATGTAAGAGGAAGAGAAAGTTTAAGTGGAACAATAACAAAATCTGTTTAAACAAACACTGTCAAACCCCCTGGATTTGTAGCTGCAGCTGATTCCGTTTCCTCCTGTTCCCTTATTCAGGACATTCAGCATGTACTATGTTTCTGCTGGAACTGATCTCTAAACTGAAGCTAAGGTATGGTAGCACCATATTTCAGGATTTTACCCAAGTGCACTGCAGCTCCCTTGGTGCAAGGGAAGGTGTCTGTTCCTGTTTGTGATGGCACAAAGCTCTGCAGCTATTAAGAACAAGCAGGTGTTTGCAGTTCAGGTTTGAAGCACAACTCCCAAAATGCTTATGCTGTAACTGTGTATCAAAATACCTTCCCATCCACAAGCTGGCCTGACACGAAGACAGAGACCTCCAACTCTCAGCAGCTTCTTCAGAAGTATCACTCTGTGCAAGAACTCCTGCTGCTTGATTGGTGATGTCTTTATAAAGTTGAGTGAACTGATATAAGTTCAAGATTCTGGAAGCTTCCACGATGCCACTTGTTTTATTTATCTTAAGATATGAGAATTGTTTACAATTACTTATCAGGTTTTAACTTGGCATTGCTCAGAATGTTTGCACAGCACTGCAGTTCTCATGTAAGGCAGCAGTCTCCTTCCTAAGTGTCCTTCACCACATTAACAAGCTGCAATCTGCCTCAGCAAGAGTCAGGACTGCCCACAGCTGCAGCCTGAGGAACACCACAGGCAGCACCACAATTTTAGGGCGAGGCAATTGCCATCACTGCTCAAATGGATTCAGGTGTGAGTAGGGACCTAACACCCAAAGAAATGGGCTGAACTTAGAACCAAGCACAGGAAAATCAGTCATTTAATATCTGAACTTAAAATTGCCTACAGTGATGGCTGCCTTAACAAAAACTAGGAGTAAACAGAAAAGTAACAACTGTTGGTTTCAAACAGAGTTTGAGGGTTGCCTTGTTTAACCACATATTAAGATTGTTCAGGGGACTCAGGATCATTAAAGGACTTTACCTTTAAGGATAGGCTAGAGAGGGGAAAATCTCCTCATTAGACAGAGCAAATTTCGTAAGTTTTTGTCATAAATTAAAACATTTAATCTTTAGATTGGTTTTCTAAGGGATCAGACTATGTACAGGCACATTAGCTCAACTGATAATGCCTGAAAACCTGATTAATTTCTACTACTAATTTCAAAATCTACAGTTGGCAGTTTGTTGTACCATTCGATTACTTGACCTCACAAATCACCTGCATTTGTAACTAAAGGGCTGTAAATGCTCCACTGCAAGGCATCACTCCTTTAAACTTAGTTATGTTTTTGTTGCCATGCTTTTTGCAGAAACTTAGCATTTAGACTTACTTTATCTCCAACAACATCTTTGAATGCATCATCTATATCAAAACACATGTAGCAGGTGTTGGATTTTACAAGTAAAACTGACAGTCCTCAAATCTGTGCATACAACCTGCCCATCAAATTAAAATGTTCACACTTACTTTGGTACATATTATCCTAACGATCACCTTCCAGAAAGCAGAAGAATCAGACCCAGGCTGCACTTCAAATAACAGATGTTTGTCTTGTCCAGAAGCCAATTTTGCAGTACTGAAACAAAGCAACATCAGTTTAAAGCCATGTGCTGGACCTGCAAAGATCAGCAGCCTCAGCCAAGTGCAATTATTTATGGTTCACCTGTCTCCTCTCTATCCCTAAAAGAGATTTCAGCAATACTGCCCAGGGACAGCAAATTATAAAATATGACTTTCTTAGGATGTCATTGAATACACAATCCATTTCACTTTAAACTGCACAGGAAACTTCAGAAAATGTTGTGCAAGTCTTCTGATCCAGCACCAGCAAGCAGGTGTACTTTATAGACATTTAAATTCACATATACTCTCACTGTTTATTACACTAATCACACCATCTCTTCTCCAATCTGAAACGTTATTTCCTCAACAGGTATGTAAAAAAAAAAGCCTGTGAGTACCAGCATATGCTGATGAGGTGACTTTTTGTTAGTATACATTAATAATGAGGTAGTCAGTGAACGTGTCAGGTGACCTAAGACTTGTTTCTTTAATGGAGCACAGACACAACATTCTATTCCACAAGAATCAGAGTATATTCAGGCTTAAGTAAACACTGGAAAGAAAGAAACTACTTGAAAAACAGTAATTTAGAGTGAATTATACTAATATATGCTTGGAGTCTCAGGCAAAACATCAGGTTATGTTCTTCAAAATCTATTTATGTGTCTACCCAGAAGACAGCTGTGTGTTTTTCAAGGTCATTCAGGAAAGTATGACCCTCTCCCAGATAATTTCTAAACTGAATACAAATTCACATTTTAGTTAAACAGCCAGCATTACAAAGCCCTTATTCAGTGTGTGTGTGTTTCTACTTCATTTTATCACTCTCACAGTATACCATAAATACAGGCTAAAAATGACAACGCTGCTTTTTTGCTCATTTCCTTTTACTGTCATTGTACTGGTCTAGCAAAAGGCAGGCAATGAAAAATCAGACAAAAAAGCAGCCTTTTGTTTGGGATTATCTAGGTCACTGGTTTGGGACAGTAAGAAACATCTCATCCTTAATGAGGAGCAGCCTGGCATGTCTGCAGAGGTGGCAGGGATGGCCACCAACAGTTCTGTCTCAGGTGCCACCCTCCTCATGTAGATCTGCTGTCCCTAGCAGGCTCCTGCTTCTCCTTCCTACCCAAACTGACAAGCAGAGAGGAAGCAGCATTGCCTCTTCAGCTAGAAGGGAGAACAATAAGGGACACAGGTGACACTAACAAAAAGATGACCCTAAACCACCTTTTGTGAACTTTTAAGAGAGAGCAACACTTGCTGGAAGAAGAGTACTGTGAATTAAGGAGGAGAAAAGGCTTTGGTTTCGAAGTGTAATTACAACCATTATAAAAACAGAAAGAAATGAAAGATAATTTGAGAAAACCATTGGGCCAGTTCTGGCTTACCAGCACACAATAATATATTGCACACAAGGTCTTTGTAAAACACAAAAAAAAAAAAAAAGAAAAAGAAGCAAAGTAAGGCTTACATATCATTGAGTTCAGCTACTCTTCCCAGAAACTCTTCATAGGTTAGGAAACCACTTTCTTGAACCAAAGAGGCATGCTTTGCTACTTTTTCTGGCAACTTGTTAATTACAGTTTGTGTGTGGTTTGAAATCTGTTGACCCATGGTGAAGCTCTTCACCTCAGTTTTGCAGAGAGAAGTTCTCATTCACTTGTAGAGTCTCTGCCAAAAATATTTGAGAGTTACATTTGTGTGTTTGTGAATGGCTACTCCCTCACTTTCTTTTAGCCTACAGTAATTATTCCACAAGTAACACAAGTAACTGAATAGTTAGATCAGAAACAGCGCAGAACACTTCAAAGAGTCTGGAATGTGGCATTATAATCTTACTAAAAATGTACTATTTTGCTTACAGCAATACTTATATTAAATTGAGATACCTTTCCACACAGATTCGGCTCCAACACACACATATATAAATACATTCAATGGAATGGGAAAAAAATCTTAAGATGACAATGGTAATTTATGACAATCTTTGTTTATTCTAAATATTTGTGCGCGTGAATATCAGAATGCTTGAAAGTAAGCACATCAATGGCTCTTTATACTTAGACATCACATTAGGAATCAGCTTTCTTACATCAAACTTACATTGGCAGATCAAAAGAACTCCCACAGCATTCTGAAACTGGTAAGCCAGGGAATCTATGTCAGTATAAACCAATTTAGAGACCTCCCTATCCACACAAAACACCCAACTTTAGGCTGTATTACAGAACTGACTTGCTCAAATGTCTTCAACTCCAACTTACTTCATCTTTCCTTCACACCCAAATCTTTTTCCCCAAAAGTCTGCCGAAGGATTAATGCCATGCCCTCTGAGTATTTATCTACTTACTCCCCTTGATCCCCCTGCATTTGACTTCCCCCAAAATGCCTCTTTGCAGAGTTCATTGTTCGTCAAGCAAACCAGTTGTGTCAGGCCCTTTTAAGACTTCTATAGATGGAGGTGTGTGAGGGCAAGGGAACTGCAGGACATCCACCTAAATTCACACACGGAGCAGTCTGACATGAGCTGCGTTACCAACTCCGGAAGGGAGACACCACAGAGAAAGCAGCACTTTGTCCTGCGGGCAGCTGCAGCAGCACTTGGGCTTAACCCCGCCCAAAACAAAATTTACAGCTGTTGAGATCTCACCACGGTACGAGGAAAACACAGCACACCAAGCGAGCATACTGAAGTACCATGCAATTTCACCACAGTAAGCTTCCAATTTATGGCCGGAATTGTGACTAAATTCTGTTCCCACACATGCTCCCCCTCCAGCCACTTTTCTCCTTCCCGGTAAGGCTCCAGCCGCCTCCTGCCCCGCTCTCCGGGGAGTGTTTGGTGAGCACACGCCCAGGCCCACACGTAAGCAGCACAGCCGGTCACCCTGCGGACACCTCCTGCCGGACCTGCCGCCCTTGTGCTCCCTCCCCCGAGCTTCTCAGGGAGCACCGTGCCTCCTGCGGCCTGCCGAGCTCAGCACCTAAATCCCAGCACTGAAAAGTTTGGGGAGAAACACCTGCGAGGGCGTTTGCACATCTGGATATCGGGAAAAGTTTCACCCCGAGGGTGGTCGAGCACTGAACAGGCTCTCCAGGCAAGTGGTCACAGCAGCGACTCTGAGAGAGTTCAAGAAGCGTTTGAAGAACACTCTCAGGCACATGGGGGTGACTCTTGGGGTGTCCTGTGCAGGGCCAGGAGTTGGACTTTGACCCCCGTGAGTCCCTTCCAACAAAGCACTCCATGAAATGTTCCCTATTGTCACCCTTCCAAGACCTCACACACCCCGCGTCACCCGCAGACCCCCGAGGCGCCCCCAGCGGCGCGGACGGGCCTGGGCACGGCCCCTCACGGCTCAGGCGCGCCCCGCCCGCCCTCCCCCGGTGCCGGCCCTCAGCGCCGGGCGCGGGACGGGCCGCGCTCAGCCCGGCTGCGTCACGGCCGCCCCGCCCGCTCCCCCCGCCCGGCCCTGCCCGCACCCGCCGGCTTCCCCCGGGCCGGGCCTTGCGCTCGGCGCCGAGGGGCGGCGGGGGGCGGGTCCCCGCTCACCGCATCCCCGGCACATCCCGCGGAGGAGCCGCCACCGCCCCACGGGCACCGCAGCGCCGCGGCCGCTCCCCCGCGCCGCGCAGGCGCGCGCTCGGCGGCGGCGCGCGGGGGTGACGCAAGCGCGCGGCTCGCGCCGCTGTTGCCGGGACACGGTGGACGCGAGGCCGGGAGCGGGGCCCGGGCGGCTCTGCCCTCGCCGCCGCTCTCACGGCGGGGCCCGGGCGGCTCTGCCCTCACCGCCCCTCTCACGGCGGGGCCCGGGCGGCTCTGCCCTCTCCGCCGCTCTCACGGCGGCCCCTGCGCCCCTCACAGCCCTCGGCCTCCTTCCCTCTGTCCCGGTCCCGGCTGTAAGGCCACTGCACCCAGGGCAGCCGGCGGTGGCGTTGTCGCCTAGGGGAGTGGGCCCCGCCAGAACATCCATGGATAGGGTCGATTAGGTTGGAAAAGGTCTGAGATCTTCGAGTCCAACCGAACAGCACCGTGCCACTTAGACCATGGCACTGAGTGCCCGTCCAGTCGTTCCTTAAACACCTCCAGGGACGGTGACTCCAGCACGGCCCTGGGCAGCCCATTTCAATGTGTAATCAACCCTTCTGTGAAGAAATTCCTGCTACTGTCGAACCTGAACCTCCCCTGGCACAGCCTACGTCCTCTCATCCTGTCGCTGCTTTCGTGGGAGAAGAGACCAACCCTCTCCTGGTCACAGCCTCCTTTCAGGCAGTTGTAGGGAGTGATAAGGGCAGCCCCGAGCCTCCTGTTCCCCAGGCTAAACAGACCCAGCTCCCTCATAATAATTTTGCTCCCGACCTTTCTCCAGCTCCATTGCCCTTCTCTGGTCTCGTTCCAGTCCCTCACTGTCCTTGCTAATGTGTCCAGAACAGGTCACAGCACTCAATGTGTGGCCTCACCAGTGCGCAGTGAAGGGGGACAATCCCTGCCCTGCTGGCAACACTATTATCCATTCTGACACACAGCAGAAGTGCTGTATAGAGCTGGTTTGTGTAAGAAAAACTGTAATAGCTGGGCTGACAAAAACAGGATCACTTTTCACCTTGCTGCACCCTCAGCAGATGCACACTCAGTGCTGCACTGTCCTGGATTCACAGTGCCTTCACTCTTAACTGTGAGCTCTATTAAATAGTGATTTCAATGATGCTTAATGGAGTCTGAGTGCCTGGCTCAGTGGGATCATCCCAGGCCACAGCTGCTGGTGCAAATCCCGGGCTGCAGGGAGGATGTGGGCGGTGGATGTGAGTGGCAAAGGTCAATGCTCGCTGACCTTTTCACAAAAAAACCCAACACCCATAAACGACAACAAGCCATTGAGAAACAGACATCCTAGAACATCCTATGGGTCATGCACATCCTGATGCTGTAATATTTAATTCTACTTTTTTTTTTCTTAATTTTAAGAGGAGAAAAGGAGTAGTACTTCCCTTTCCTGCCTGCTTCTGTTCACACATGGACACATGTACTTCCCACGCCAAAGGCATCCCTATATTCCAGGCAGGGATTGGGCTGGACTGGAAACCTTGCTGTGTTTCCTGCAGGCCAAGCACCCCTTTTGCCTAAGGTCAGCAAACATCTGTAGCCTCAGTGTGGGAATCTGAGTGGTGTTACCATCAAGTGACAAGAACAGACTGTGCTCTCCTGCTCAGTGGGATGAGTTCTTAGTCCAAGGTGCTTGAGCAGCTCTGGCACATCAAGGAGCTTCAGAACTGTTGAGAACATCTCATTCAAAAAAAAAAAGCACAACACTTGAGAAAAATCAGAAACATAACGAAGAATTTCTCTTAAGTTTCTGCTACCTCTAGTTAAGGGTTTGGTGTTTGACACTCTTGGTCTAGATGCTTGAATAAATGTTTCCTGTTTGCCTTGTAGTGGGTGCATCCCTTGCAATTCCATTGAACAATGAGCAGGAATGTTTTGTACTTTCCAATGGCAATGTGACTGAGTTGTGCTAACTACATAGAGACAACATCAAATAGAGAACTTGTTGATTAGTACTTAGAGCTGCCTTAATTCCATACAGAGCAGTGTAATAGCTCCTTTAGCCCTTGTGGTGTTGGCAAAAATTGTGTAGTGAAATGGAAAGGCAGATCAAACCATCTGCATTGGTCAGGTAGCAGTAGCAAGGTCAGGATGAATGCTGAATTTTTAAGGTACATGATAAAATAAGACACTTAAAGATTAAGACAATGTCTTATTAAAACAGGGTACATTTTTTTAGCAAGTAAACACTTCAGGGAAAAAGTGCCCTTATTTAGCTCTAAAACAGAAGCAACATTGTAATTATCTCTTGGCTGTAGGGAAAAAAATAGAGAAACAGGAAATTTCTAATCTCTAAAACATGGAAAAGAGAGGGAGAAGGAAGATTTTAAAAATTTCCCAAACTACCTGGAATCCACTACGTTTGCCTGTGTCCTCAGGCCCATTTGCTACTCTGGCACCTTCATGACTGGTGGCTGTGGCTCCTTCTGATGGCCTTACTTGTGCTGGCTACTCCTCACAGAGCACGTCCATTCAGGACACAAGGTGTTACTGTGATGTTTGGCAAGTAATTCCTCTGAATTACTGAACTGGGAAAGCTGTGTCTAGTGCTGTCCTCTGTTGCACATTTTTCTGCTAAAATTCTGCTTATGGACATCTGAAATGAGCAGTTTTTAGAGCTGCACTGAATCACTTGGAGCCATAAAATATTTCTGAACTATCGGAAAAAAAAAAAAGGCAAAAAGAGAAAACAAAAAACAACCCAGGGAATCTCTTAAGTATAATGCTAGAAATACACTATAAGTCATTACTAGTGGAATGTAAACAACTGGAAATTTTAAAATTTATGTAAATGAAAAATATCCAAGTTCATAGCATCCTACACTGTTGAAAACACAATATATGTGACCAGTTCTATTGCTAGTTTGCTATTTTAAAAATTATTATTATTATTATCTAAGACTATGTTTCTCAAGCTGCCTGATGAAGGAAAAAAACTTCCTTTGGCATAACAACTTCATTCAAACATAAAGATAAGTTATCTAAATTCTTTATCCAGGAAAACATTTGATAAACTGCTAGCATTGTTACAACAACTAATTACTTCTGTAACATTATGGTTATATAAATTCTTTTTACCATGAGACACTTTTCATGAGAATAGATTGTCCAGACAAACATGTCCACCATAGTTTATTTTTTAGGGGGTACTGTAGACATCCCATATCACCTGAGACCTTTATTATGAAAGCCACACATAAATACACAAAAAAGATCTCCAGTATAAGTCTTGTTCAATGATTTTTTGTCTCCCTCTGTCAAATGTCTCATGTAGAAGAATGATAATGGTTTCAATAAATAAAACAGTAACTTATGATACAATGAAGGTATCCAAGTTATTCATTGCTGTGTGTATATACACATACACACATCAGCATCTTTGTACCCTTCTTTGGGCATTTGAATGACAGTGGGTTAATCTTTTGAGGTTTTACTCCCTTGTAAACAGAACTGTTTCTTCTGCTTGTAAACAGACATTTTTTTAAAGCAACATACAACTACTGAATGGAAATAAGCTAATCTACATGAGGAAGAACTACAGTGCCAGTTTTTATTTTAGTCATTAAGCTAGCAGACATCCTCCAGCCAGACATAAAAACCTTTTTGTTATATATTGATCTAAATGCAAATAGTTAATGTAGTGCATGTTGTTAATAGCATATTCCTAATTGCCTCTTTATTAAAGATGAAAAATGAGCTATAATATGAATTTATAGAATTTATTTCAAGTAAATAGGATACCATGTTCTTCTGCAAGAATATTTGTTGCCAAAGATGTAATCATTAAAAAACAAGGTTTCATATGTTAAAGATGGAGAAAATATGAGTATTTACAATCACTTATGTTTAAAAGCACTCCTAAGTTCTGTGTGCTTTACTTTATACTTCCATCAAGAACTGTACATTCTTTCCTTTAAACTTCTGCTTCTAGACATTTTACTGTGGCCTCAGGCTTAGTTTTACATTCTTCTACCTTATTTCCATTATTCTGTGTTTCCTTCTCAGGTGTTTGGTCATTTGATTTTGTCTCTTTGAGAGCAGTAGTTACAACTGTTTCTTTTTGCTGCTTCTTGTTTAAAAATGGTAAGGTTTTCTTGTACCTTTAAAGAGAAAAAAAGATAGTAAAGCAGAAATACTGGCATAGTTTGGTAGTATCACTCAAACAGCTAGAATTAAATTACCATACTCAAGCAGAAGTCTCTCAGAGGATCGTGGCATGCTAGATCATTGTACTTTTTCCAGCAGTGTGCTTTCTAAAGAAATATTTTGGTATTTTTTTAAAACACAGACAGGGCATATCCAGGATTTGTGGTACACAATGATAAAGCTATCTGGGCCAGGGTGTGAGAACTGCACACTTTTTAGTAGCATTTAATAATGCACTGTGTTGAAGGTCTTTAAGTTTGACAAATGAGTTCAACATTTTTTTTTTTCTGAGCAAAATCCTAGTGCAATAATAAAAACTTTAACCTTGAGTGTGACATAGAAAAAAAAGAATTATAAAACTGGTTTATGTATGAACTGATGCACATTTCAGCGTTGCTATTTTGAAACACTTGGAAATGTTTCACACTAGGCATGACTGACCAATTAAAACCAGGCAATATTTTTTTGTGTTCCTTTTCTAAAGCAGGGAGTGGCAACAACAAACTTATCTGCATAAAAACAGGGTTTAAGATTTTTTAAATTTGTGCAACACTATTATGTCATCACAACTTCTCTGTTCCTTAGTATATATTTTAAATATTCAGTGATTGCTCTCTAGGAATTAATTCACTCCAAGAGAAGAAAAAAAAAGGCAACTTACTTTTTGATATAACAGACTGCTAGAACAACAGAAATAATGAAGAAGATGATTGCCAGTACAAGAAGTGCAGTGGGGATACCTGGAGATAAAAGTGATACAAGCACAGGGTTTTTATTTATGTACTTAAAGCTGATGTCCTGAAGGCTTAAGAGCAAAAATCTGGATTCTTCTAAACCCAGCCTCTTATAAGAGTACATACACATGAACTGAGTAATAGAATATTAGGAAGATCAAAAGGTGAATTACTCCTGCTCATTTCTTTCAGTATAGCCTAAAACTGGTGTTTAGGCCACCCCTGACAGATATTTGTCTAATCTGCTCATTGGAGGGTTTTTACAACCTGCTTGGAGAAGACATTCTTGTTATTAACTCTCCTTACAGTTAGCATGCCTTTCCTCAGGTTTGGTCTGTTTCTCCACTGCTGTGTATTAGGATTGCTTACTCACACCTCGTATCTTGAGAGCAATTCTCCTTCAAACTTTCTTGGCTTCTTTTGGTTTTAAGAGCCTGGTGAGTTTTCCATTACACTGAGAGTGTTTGCCAAGATTTTTTCTGAATTTTTTTTACCTCAAATCATATAAACCAGAAAGAGCTTACACAATTTCACATTAAATTTATCATAAAGTATAAAATCAGATATTAGTTGTTCTTAAAAACTATTTTAAAATCCTCTGCTGTATAAGCCTTGCTCTGCAAAACCAAAACACTCCTATTCTGCCTCCAGGTTCAGCTATATCAAAATGGATGGTGGAGCAGCAAACAAAAACAGCAGTGAACAGTTTGACTACTGACTTCTACATAAATAGCTGTTTTCATCAAATAACTACCACATAAGGCCTTTACCTCCAAAAACAACAGCATCATTCTTAAAGGCCAGGTGGGGAGTGAGCTTGGGAGAGTAGGTGAGGGAGTGCTCCTCTGGCACTGCTGTGGTGGTGGGCCCCTCTGTTGGTGAGAGCGTTTCAGTTACGCACACCACACGAAATCTCTTTCTCAGCAATTGTCCTGCCTCAGTCACTGTCCCAGCAGACACTGCTGTGATGTTCTCAGTCAAATCAGAGGCTGAATATGCAGTTAAATCTCTTGATGCAGTTGATAAAGGAGGTGTAGTTGGGTCTGGTTGACAGGAATTAATCTGGACATCTGCAGCAGGGAAAAATACATAAAAGTTGTGTTGGATGCCAGTTTTGTACTTACTGCACACACATTTATTGAAATTGTTCCTCAGTCTTTCCCTTCTGGAAATTTTTATTTTTTTGTTCATAAAAGCTTTACCCAAACCAGGCAAATATATCCTATTTCAAGTATGTGGTTACAACCTAGATTTTACAGCTTTTATCATTACTCACATAGTTACACACTCCTTTGAGCAACCATGGTACTCATTTTATGATTTCAAACCAATGACTCTATCCCTCATGAAAACTACTCAGAGTACTATTGCACTTAAAACCCAACAGTATAACTTCCCACAGAGCAGGGAGCAGCTTAACTGCAGATCCAATATGCAAAAATATTTCAATTATATTATATATATGTTCAAAATATACGCATGTACTGTTGATACTTGGAAAATTAACTTGATTTCCTGTAAAAAAATGTAGCCCATAAAAGTTCCAAATAAATCAGGCACCAATGTGAGATAATAAAAAAAATTGATTGTAAGTGGGGAGGAGAAGATGGGAAGTAAAAAACCAGGTTTGAAGAAAAATAAGTAATTTCTAGAAATTAAATAAATTAATAGAAGTGGATGCTGTCTATATAAAAATGTAGGTGCAAGTGAAGTTTTATATGGAATTGGAAGAGCTGAGCTCTGAATCAGGCTCCTGTCAAAATGTGAAAATTCTACTTTGCTAGTGAAATTCTATATTATGTAAAGCTATAAAAAAATCACTAAAGTAATATTCATGTTAACATAAATAACAGGGAAAAGAGGTATGTGCTGTTTGCCAAGTGGATCCCCATGGGGAGCCTGATGACGCAGTCACCTTTACAGAATGAAATGCCAAAGGGCAGGGGCTTGACACTTTTTCCACTATGGTTTTTCAAGAGCTTTTGGCAAGTTTTTTGGCACAAGAAAATTGACAAAATGAGCTTCTGACAAATATTTTGGAATGGAAAGAAATGCCTAGAACAGGCAAAAGTTTGGAAATTAAGATAAAGGACTGCAGCATTATCCCAATGTGAAATATACATTAAATGGTTTTCTAACCATTGAGCAAGCTTAACTTTCTTCACACACTCTTACAGTATATATGTATTTATTTTCTTTTAAATAAAGCAAAACAAAGCAAATCATTTGGAGTTACTTGCTTCCTCTGTAACATTACCCAATCTACCCAACACTTTCAATGCAGGATAACACATTTCATGCTGTGAATCACCATGTGCCTTAGGCCTTCTCTCTACACCTTTATCCTCAGTCTCTTTGGAGCCTCCACTTTTCACAGGATCTCAGGTCCTTACATCTTTGCATTTCCATCTTTCTCCTGCTTTCCAACCCTTGTTCACACAGTGTTCCTGAAAACTTTCAGGATTTTTACACATCTTCTTGCTCTTGTTATCTAAAACTCACTGGCAAAGTCTAGGAATGGATTATAAATAATGAAATGATCCTTTATTTGGGTACTTATTGGGATATTTGTTATGTAATAACCACAGATACGAGACACAAGTAGGAACACAACATCTTTAGTTACTTATTTTTAGTTAATACCACAGAAGCCATTAGGAAACAATATTGATCTCTTGTGCTGAGATCTAACTTAGACCAAGGTCTACTGTTGGACTTCAGTCTGTAAATAGCCAGTGAGGGGAAGGGCAGGTCTTTTCACACCTAGGGTGATGCAAATGAAAAAGAGATGTTGGATTTTATTGATTAGGAATCTAATTAATTTTATGGTCTCTTGGCAGCTCTGGCTTATAATTTAATTTGACTTAATGGACAGACCTCCCTTTATAAAAAAAATTTCCAATTTTCCTGAAGTACCCCACTCAGCGTTTTTGCAAGAGTAGACACACCACACACAGATACCCTGGTTAAAGATTCAATCACTGTCTTTTAAACTATCATGCCCAAATAATCAAAACATATTAAAAGCATTGTGTCAACATTATGTAATGGTAAAAACAACTCTTCCTCAAGAGCTTTAATGGCAGCACCACATTATTAATTGGGATTAACTGTATTTACCTTTTGCATTTCTTGGAAGTTTCTGAGCTAAGGACAGCTTGACCATGTTTAAGACTGGGGGAAAGGGTCAACAAATTATAGGAATTACTCACTTTTATGATTTTTTTCATGCAGATTTTAAAAATCTAATATAATCCAAAACACAGACAATGCAGTTGTTATGCTTATATACCTGAGGAATTGAAGCAGTAGAGATGAAATTTTTGTTCCTTGCCAGCATTCCATTGTGCTATTCCAGTTTTTCCCTGACCACATTTCTGGTTGGATGTTATCCGAGGAATAACAGCAAATCCTTCTTTCACCCATCCAAAGCTACAACAAAAAGGATCAGTGCTTTTAGTATGAGATTTGTCACCAGCCTCAGCTGTGTGTGAAGGTGCTCACTAAAGGTAGTGGGCCACTAACTGATGGCACCTACTTGCATGTTTCAAAGCCATGTTTCAAAGCCTCTTCCACTTGTATTTTACTTGCCAGCTCTAGGTTGAATTGATTACATCCATGACTTGCTTCTGAGAAATTCACTTTCTGATCAAGATAAAGTCCTATACCCTTGATCCTGCAAGGTGAATTAATGGAACCTGTAATTAAGCCATAAAATAGTCAAGGTTAGTATTTGAATATAAACATTTATTCCTCATAAAGAATTTAAGATCAACTGAATTGAACATTTTTTAAAGTTTCTAGCTTGAGGATAGCTGAAAACTAATCTCTAGCATAAAAGACATTTTAAAAATAGAATATATTTTTTAAACACAGTAGTCTGAGATTTCAAGTGGTTTGACAGTCATTAGACTAGATATAGCCCTTTTTCTTTCTTTTCTTTTTAAAAATAAATTAAAGCTAGCTGTTACACCAAGGCATTCATACTGTTATTACACCCTTGTTATTGAGATAGTAAGGTATATAACAGAAAAGGAGATACGCATAATTTCTCATGGAATTAATATACCAATAAGAAAATAAAAAATATTTTATCATTTCTGATATTCTTTATTCCTCTTAAACTCTTTTTTCTTTTTTTCCTAGCTTTGCATGATGCTTCCATCCCCCAGCCATTGTCAAGTGTTCTATTTACTGTGTTTGGCAGGAAGCAGGAAAAGAGGAGACAGGCCAGGTGAATTTAACACTTTTCCAGGCAGTTCATCCAGCTTTTTAATTAGCCACAGCTGGCACGCTTTTCGTGACACCTGCACCAGCAAGTGCCAAGCTCAGGTTACACCTGCTCTTCTTTCTCATCTGTGTTAAGGGCATAGGACAAAGTTCAGGATTTGGCACAAATAAGGAAAAAGGGTATTGCTATTTTGCTTTCTTATTTTAGTGGGAGCATTTACTAGGAAAAAAAAGATTCTTTTGGAGTCACATGCAATAATTGCCCTGTCAAATGAAACATTTCAGCATTTCATTACAGACATGCCAGATAACCACCAGCCACAGGTGTTACTTCCTTGCTCAATGTTTGTCAGACTGTACTCACTAGATGTGTACACTAATGTGTGTTTCATAAAATCTGTGCTTCTGAGTACAGGCACTCCATGAACTCTCAAGGCAGGATGAAGTGATGCTTCCAAATCCACCCCACGACTTCTTAACAAGACAAATTAAGCTGAATTTTATGAATGAAAACATAGAACTGGCAGCTAAGCTACTCTTGTGATGAGAAGGGGATAAAGGTCACTAAGCTTGTGTGGAGTGCTAAGAAACCAGACAGGCTTTTAGCTCCTGTTCCCTCTGGATGTGGTGGGGCTGGAAATGGCTTTTGGAAAATGATGCCTCTCTGCTGTCCTTACATTTAGTTTAAATATTTAGAAGAGCAATCTTTGAATCAGATGGCTTTATCTCAGCAGAGAGGGAAAGCCATTGAAGCCTTGAGGAGTCCCTCAGACAAACTGTGGCTGCATCCAGCCCTGAGCTGAACATAAGTCAAGCCCAGACACATTGCAGGGGGATGCAGAGAAGCCCTGGTGCTCAATGAAGGTGTGTGTGCTGTTAGCAAGGACTTCAAGTCTACCTTCTTCAGTCTATTATTTTTCTACTACTTCAGATTTGAGCCAACCCAACTTTTAAAAACGTAACGTTGAGAAAGGAAGCTTCTAAATGACCAACTTCACAAATTTCAAATAAAGCTGAGCAGTTAACTGAAAGGAATTTAATGAAATCTTAGAAAATTACATAGATACTTGTGAACTGCTACACTCATTAGTCATTCAATTACAGGACAAATATTGTCACATGTGTATTGCAGGATAGATACACAGCATATTACAGAAATTCATTGCCAGAAACTTAGGTTGCAAATTATAAGAAAAGTGACTCTAGGTTATGGACCAAAGTTGTGTCTTAAAATTCGCTAGGCCTTTTACAACAAAACAGTGATTTATTGATACATTTTGTAAAAGTTATGAATTTCACACTATGAAGAAGGAATCCAAAAAGAGAACAGTAGCCTCCTCAAGTCTCTTCATAGCTCATTAAATAACCTCTGTACTCTGTTCTAAAGATGACTGAGTTTGTACAGAAGGCAGACTAATCCTTTAGAAGTACATTATCCTTTTTGGTCCATGAGCTGAACATAGCTGTACTTTAAGCTCTGCTCTATTTAGGTAACCTAGTACTGGCACATTCTGCTCAGTATTTTGGTCTTGGGATAAAAATTTAGTTTATTGAAATAAGTGAGAAGACCTAGACAGAAGAATGTCACAGCAAGACAAAGCTGCCATAGAACAGGAAGAAAATTGTTCAATTTTTCTAAGCTGTGGATGTTGGCCTTGATGTGCATTAGTTCCCTTTTTATTTTTTTGGGGGGGGGGGGGGGGGGGGAAGCTGTTGTTTTTCTCTTTGCCTTGTCTCTAACCTTCAGCCTGATTTATTAGAGTTCCCTTTGGCTGCTGGTGTCAGGGAGCAGCAAGCGTGAGGCTGCTCCACAAGGAAGGGGGCCAGGAGCAGAGGGTGACAGGCACAGCCCCACAGCAGCACCACAGTGGGGATGGTGGCAGGTTTCATTGCCACCCAGAGAGCAAGACAACGAGTCAGACATCCACAAAGTCCCTTTGGGAACAGCAGGAGATGGTTCTACACATGCCTGAAGTCTGTCCTGGAGACAAGGTTACCTACAGCCTAAATCCATAGCCCATATGTGAAGCCCAGACAGTGAATCACTACAGGAGGGGACAGGGCATGCCACAAAACAGCTCCAAGGCACAGCTGGAGATCAGCCCTGAGCTCAACTGGAGCTCTTGGAGCCATGAGGGTGCATGAGAAGGTGTCCCAAGGAAGGGTAGTTCTTCAAGCTTTCATTTTCCCCATTGTACAGTGTTGGTTTTGCTGGAGGACACCACTGTTGTTAGGTACTCCAGTCCTGTGGAATTTCAACAGGAGTTGAGCATCTAATTCATTCAGTCCAGAAGTCTTTCAGTAGGTGAGAAAATCAATTGACTGCAATTACTGAAAATGTTTTTTAACATAAATAGAACAAGCATTAAATCCTTGAAAAAAACAGCAAAGCATCTGGAGGCTTCTGGTGTGCATTAAGCTTCTGCAGATATCCCAGCATCTACTGCAGTAAGGGTGGATTCTGTCAAGTTAATAATGGAATTTGAAAGAGAACTGGTGTCATGTTTTGCTCTGGTATTTAAAATGATACAAAGTAAAGTTACATTTCAATAGATCTGAGCTTAATCCTAAATACCATACCAGATCTTTAAAATAAGCAGTTTTGTGGCATTTAGATTCAAAGGGGCTTCAGCATTTTCAACAATTGAATTAGATCAACAATGCAAGTTTCCCTATATCCCAGTTTTTGTTGCACTGTATTCTCAAAACCCTGTGGCTTCCTCTGCCAGAAACACATTTACACATGCTCCTTCCCCACATTTTTGTTTGTAAATCCAGCTACTTTTTTCAAGACTTTAAAAAGTGGAACTTTACATACCTGTTACAAAGTAATTTTGAGCCAGGAATGTCATAACCCAGATGAAAGACACTGCTGAGGTAACTCCAAGATAATTTGCCATTGCCACCAGCTTGGAAAACTCAGAAAAGTAGGAAATTCAAGGTAGTTTGTCTCCTGTGCTAAGGAAAGTTAAGGTATTGGATGCTGTCAGATGATGAGATGACTTCTGGAAAGCAACTCCAGCTGTCACTGCAGTGCTTCATAGAAGGAATGGCAGAGGCAGCGTGGTGGCTGTCCCACTGCAGGGCGAGGTCACGGAGCGGAAATCCCTCATCACCCTTTCCACTGGCTTTCATGTGGGACTGCTGGAAAATGTCACTGCTGCTGATTCACAAGCACGGCTGAGGAAGGGAGATAAGGCTGTTACACTGCTAAGTCAGTAAACACTTTGAAAGAAGGTTTTCTTTTGCTGTTTTTTCCTGTTTTACTGATGAACAGATCATTATTCATGTTGTCTATTCATCTGGTAAATAAAACAAATTCTTTCATATCACAATATGCCACACAAGATTTTTCTTTTTTATTGGAACTGGATGGGCATCCATTCCCCATTGTCCTATTTGTCTTGATGGAGTAGTTTTACTTTTTTTTTTCCTTAGAGTTCCAATGCAAAGTAGTTCCCATAGCACAGAGGTAATATGAAACTTATTTTTTAAGAGATTTGCAGATACACTACTGTAAATGGGATTCCTTTTGAGACCATAGGTACAGAGATTGCAGCCAATGCTATCACTGCTGCCTTTTGTAACATTCCAACAAACAGTGATTCCCTTGGATTGATTCAAAACACAGATGGTCCTCACAGCTAATTTAAAAAACTTTCAAGAAGTCTTAGCAGATTTTTTTTCAGAGGTTCCAATAAACACAGACCAGGAATGGAGTTCAAGGGATGGGCTAATTCCTTTAGTGTCAGTCATGTCTCTGCTGTATCGACGTTATTCCTGACAGATGTTTGTCTAACCTGCTCTCAAAGATTTCCAGTGACACATGCCTAACATTTCTTCTAATGCTCTTGTTCAGTGCCTCACTGTTCTTTACAGTTCAAAGGTGTTCCCTACACTAACTTGACTTAGCTATTCCCTGTACAAACCTATCACTTCTTTTCCTGCTGGCAATGGACATGGAAGATAGTTGCAAAACATAAGGGAGTAAACTGTTTTATGTTTTTAAAGAGTTATGCCTCTGCTCCCAGTTTTCTTTCAGCTAAGAAACCCCTGCTGCCTCACTCCCTTGCTCCATGTGATACCTTGCCAATGTCAAGACTAATTAATAAATTGCTTTACAGTTCAGAATGGTGTCAGTCTTTTTGTTTTTGCAACAGTATGATTTTCTTACATGATGTTCAACTTGTGATTCAGCAAACTTTTAGATGTCCAGTGTCTCCAGGCTGTTTTCAGAGTCCTATAAACACAAGTGTAACAGTGTAAAGCTACCTCTTTAAACTGTGGTTTGCATTTAGAAAGCCCCCAGTCAATATATGGGATAGCATTAACTTTTAATGGGGCATAGGCACATCTCCTGCAGCAGCATCTAACAGGGTTATTAGATGGTGCTCTGTAACACAGACAGGGCCCAAAGAGAATGCTGGGGGGCAGCGAGATCATGTCTCCATTAGCAATGATGAAATGAAAATTAGGTTGTGCTTGGGTTGTGGTTTGGAACTGAATTTGGTAAAACTCAAATGAGATCTTTAGACCAAGTTCTAGCTCCAATTTCTGTTCCCTCCCTTATTGTGCTGTACTCACCTGCTTCTACGAAGCCATGGCAAAGTCAGATACTGTAATCAGACTTAGCTTTCACTTGAAGAAGGCTGTAAGAGGATTCACTGGCATTTACAAGGTAGAAGCAGAACCTAATTATTAGTTATTCTGTAGCTCTCATGGACTGTGGCTGTAAAATACTGAGAATATTAAACTAAATCTTTCCATTGAAAACACTTACCTTGAACTGCTCAGTATTTCCTACCATGAAAACTAATAAATAGCTGGGTTTCTGACATTTTAAAATTGCAGGCTACTTGTCCTGCCAGATCTTAACATTTTGTACCATATCAAAGTTGACAAAGTTCCTTTAGTCAAACTCTTGATGTTTAGTAGGATTTTTAGCTGAAAAAATGAGATAAAAACCATTGCAACACCAAACAATACGAGGTCCTTCACAAGGTCTTCCAGATTAGGAGAGCAAGAACAGAATTTTAGAATGACGAAGCAAGACTGAAATAACTTGGGTTGTTGTGTGTTTCTTCCTTTTTATAGTTCAGCTGCTCCAAACCTGCGTGGAAGATCACTTATCTGGACTGTAACAGTACAAAAGGTCTTTAACCTTTTGGTGTGTCTTCATAATCAGTGTGGTAAAAAAAAGCAGACCTATGCTGAATGATTAATTAGTCTTTGACCTAAATACTTATTGTAACCTATATGAAAATTCCCGACATTTTATGTCAGCATGTTTTAAAACACTGATGAGGATGGCTAAACAGAAAAATTTTGATAAAGCAGAACACATGTAACTGTTCTCTACAATAATTTCAAAAGGAGCCTTGAAACCTGAACAACAGTAGAGGAAACAAAAAAATTGTTCATTTAGAAAATACAAATATCAGGGTCTGTCCATGGAAACAGTAATTCTTTTCCAGGTTGTTGATGTCCCAGAGTTTGTCCCTGGGGGGACCATCAGAGACTCAGAACTTTAGGATTGACTCCTACCCACTGTCAGGCAAGTCTGCTCCCCACTAGACTTCCCAGGCCTCCCAAGTCCACGAAGCAAATAAAGACACCTGACCTTTCACCCAGAATCCTTGGGTTACAATTTCCCTTGTGGCTCCCATGTTCAGCCTCCTCTGGGACACGTGGCCTCCCTCTGAAGCAGGAGTTAAACTCTCCCCAGGATATTTCAGCTTTCTCTCTCAGCTGGTTTCTAGGGCATGGCAGGGATGATGGTCCTGCTTCCAAACACTTTCTCCATTTACACAGGACTTCGTTCTCCTCTTCTGTACCATTTTCCTGAAGAACTGGAAGACTAAGAGCAAGATCCTTGGAACATGTAACAGTGTAGACAAGGCAGGACTTATTTCATGAGGGCACAGCCATCAATATGCAGACAGAGCACCCCAAATCTTTAAGGTAAAAACACAGAGGACTTTGAAACCATAATTTTATTTCAAAACTCAAGTATGTGATACTATACAGTACAATACCAGCACACTTGTGCAAAATCTTACAATATTACAAATTTAAATATGATACACAAAAATAGTGCCCTTTTGAAATTCCTTTTGCTAGAAACATTTGTGCTGTGCAGGAGAAACCATAAATGTGTCTTGTTAAAGCATAAAAATAAATATTGCACCTCAAGAAAACTATTTCAGTGTTAATAGCATAAATAATAGGTCTGTTTCTTGTTATCTGATGTGATCTTGGAACACAGAAGAGGTTGTTCGGCTTTTTTTTCCAGATGAAGCAAACTAATATCCAACAGATAAAATTATAGAATAGTTTTTGAGCTTAATCTAAACAAAAGGTGTTTAATTAAATAACTGAAAAATATAAGCAAAGCTATTTAGTGTGCTGCTAGTCATTGTGGTTTGTTATTTTTAGTGGACAGTTTGTTCAAAGTAGTTATAAAAAGAACTTTTTTTAAAGTAAACTTTATCTTCATTTTTGCACCCCCATTAAAATCTGTTGCCTCTTTCAGTTCATTTGTGGCTAAATTATACTTACCTCAGACATGCAAGTAGTTCAGCTCAAATTAGTACAACTACTTATGGGAATTATCCCTTTGCACTAATTCCACAAAAAGCCAGTGGGCTGAATTTTGAGAGGATGGAGACCTCATTCACCCCCTGACCGAAAAGACCTTTTCACATGCTTAACACTAAGCAACTAGAGAGTCCTGTTGATATCAACAACTTCCCATGTGTATTTAAAATAAGTTGTTGGACTCAATCAACAGTGCAGATGTAAATAAAACCAAATTAATTCAATTACAGGCACTGTTAATTATTTTTCTTCAGGACAGCCCAACATTTTCACAACCACAAAAATATGTGCCATATTTTTGGCATAGAAAAATCTGAATAGTTAGGAGAATTTACTGTCAATTTTATTGCCTTATTAAGTTACCAATGTTATTTGTAAAGAATATTAAGTTAAAGAAGTTGATTTTAATAAAGTATTTAAGAAACAGCTGACAAGTTTCTTCAAATACTGAAAGTACATGAAAGGTCACAGTAGTTCTTCACAGTCAGAAATTCTAACTGAACCAGATTCCAAGTAATTTGCAAGAAACCTTCTCCTTATTCTTTACCAATTGCAATTTTAGACCAAATCACACTTCCCCGTTATCCTTTTTGAACTTCCTTAAGCACACTACTCCTCAATATATATACTTTAAATAAAAAAAAGCTTCTAATTGTTTATAGACTCCCTTCCCCACCCTTCAAAAATGTGGTAGTGGTCTGCTTTTTTTTTTTCTTCCCCTATGTAAATATCTTCTAAGAAACACATGGCCAACAAAAATTCACCAGCAGGATATTCGTTATTAGTACCAGGTATGTGAACTAAATTTCTGACTGAGTTAGAAACCTATTTTCTTTGACAGTTAGCTTAAAGTTCAGTGTTTCCACCAAAAGAAGACAGGACAATATTGACTGTATCAGAACTGAAATTACAGTACGTCACAACACTCTTATCCTTCTGATGGAAAACAGACCTATTTCTCAACCAGAAAATGCCAGGAGGATGCAGGACAGGAGTGCAATTGAGGGTCACACTGGATTTGCCATTGTGGCCATAGCTATGGAGAGACAAACATGGTTCACCTTCCCTCAGAAGTGGTGCTCAGCAGGTACAAATGGCACACCTCCACAGACACACATTTTGGTCTCAGCCCTAAGTGCTGGGTTTTGTACAGGTAATGCCTTCACCATTTTCAAATTGCTTGTCAAAAAAATTCAGGCTTTCATATTCTTGTGTAAGAAGTCACAACTCCCAAATAGGCAGAACTGGCAAAAAAATGAGTTCAGCTTTGGAAGTATATCAGATCAGTTTTGGTCTTGGCATCAGATTCTGAAGATTAACTACTGAAAACACGCAGTGAGCTCTCCTAAGGCCTCACTGCTACCATGGCCTGATTGATGCCGGCACTGGTTGGGTTCTGGCTGCTCTCAGAGCCCTGTTCCTGCTGCAGATCTCCAAGAATGCCTATTCCAGTGTTAGCAGGAGGGCAGAGTCCACTTGGTGTGGTCACTTCCATACAGAGGTTTGAAGGGATTTGTTTTCTTCAATCAAGAATTGAAGATTGCTTCCCATGTCCAAGACTGCAGTGTTTTGGGCTTGGGTAGCACATGGACCCTTCCAGGCAGCTACCACTTTTGGCTGTAACCAGTACTGACTCTGAGTGGCATACATTCATTTTTGGAAACTTTTATATAGCAGAAGTTTCCAGGCTTATTGGATGATATCAGCTGTGCCACCTAGACCCCATTTTAGGTTCTGTTGAGTATCCCATTTAAAAAAAAGTGGTGGTCCCATTCTTAAAACAAATCATAAAACACATTTATGCATGTACTTAGCATTCCATTTAAATATTCATATAGATAATTCCTCTTATAAAATGACTTTAGCAGCAAGGCATTTGGTCTTAGAATATAATTATATTCTCCCATGGAAGTGCTTCTATTTCTACCCAATAGTCATGAATAAGGAAATTAATTAGCCTCTTAAAACCCCAAGGACTTAAATGCACTTAGTTCTTCAACAATCAACAGTAAATTCAGGAAATGCAAAGTAAAGCATTAACAGCAAATGCGGGTTTTATGATGGTCTTCAAAATGTCAATGTCCTGTGCAAATCATTCTTTTAAATGTCTTGCAGATTGCTGATTACTGCCACAACCTTACCACGATTCAACACTACTTTATTTCTATGAGTCCTTGACAATAAGAGGACAGACAGGATTATTGATCAGATTGGCATCTTAGCAAGGAATGCTGACCATGGATCCCAAACCTGGAGGTGTAGAGTAACTCACTTGCCTAAGGGATCAGTGGAACAGCCACAGGGATGACTAAGCACTACCTTTAAACACTGTGCTCTACTACACAAACTCGCTCAGGGACCACAAGGGCGTGGCCGTCCCTCTGTTATTCCGTGTGTTGCTGCTGTCGGAATCCTGAGTTCCACCAGGAATACTGCTGGGTCGCAGAGCAGCTGGCCTTCCCTTCAGGTGCCTCTGACTTTTCATCACAGGAGTTGTAGGAATGGTAGATTCCCAACACCACAGCAAAAATGACTATTGCAGCCACCACAAGCCACACCACATTCCAGTGTTTGCACAGTTTGGGGTACAGGATATATAAATAATTAACGATGACTTCAAGTCTGCTGTAAAATGAAAAGAAAACTATTATATATTAATCAAATGCAATATTTTTATCTTGAGCTTTTCAGTTTGGAAGGTGCCATAGGTGGCACCATCTTTTTTCTTTATACAAACACCTTGTCAGAGAAGAATCAAATTGTAGACTTCTTTTATGGAGAGCTGTACACTCAGATTTTTCAACTCCAACTATTCCATATGAGTAATACTTGTGAGACAGCTGGAGATTGTCAACTTGACTCCTATTTCTCCCACCTGTCAGCTGGCAAATCTCAGAGCTTGGTATCATGCAAAATTCTGCACCATTCATACCTTGATCAACTAAATTAAACACTGGAATATGTGGTAAACATTTCTTTCCAAGAGTGTCGTGACTAACGAGGTGGTTGCTCTCTGAAGGCAGCTGAAATCTCACATCAACAGATGTTTATAGCTATAATGGTTATGGAATGGAAATGAAGTCTTCTGGATTAGGTAAGGATCCCTGCCTTAACCTGGGATTGGACATAGTACTGGCTTTGGCCAGCATTCAATGTCTCTGTAATGTACAGACAGAAAGCACTGGGTGCCGATGGATGCAGTGTCACTCCAGTGACAGGAATGACACATGGCACCCAGTTCATGCTCCTGAATTACAACCTTTAAAAGGCAGTACATATTCACAGAGGGATACATTTTGGCATCTAAGGAACTTTTATGGACCATTCTTTTACCTCAAATCAGAACCAAACCCCACCAAGATGAAGCATCTTGATGTCAACATACAGCTTTAACTAAAATATCAAAATCAAAAGTTTTGTGTTTTGCACCTATCTTGTGTTAGAATATTACTTTCTGTGGAAATACTGTTATTTCAATATGCTTCCCCAGGAGGAAAACATGGCAAAAGGACAGGATAAAACACTTGCTTGGGTACCACACGTAGAAAAAAGTGGCATCTTTTGTATGGACATATTATACCACTGTCTCACCTGCTTTTCAGATTTTTTATCTCATCTTCATTTTCACTTTCTTCATGTTCCTCATGACTTTCTTTGGGTGTCTCTTCATCTTCTTCCTTCAGTTCCTGAAGTTCTTTGGCCTTCTTCAAGGCTTCCTGATATCTTTATCAGATAAAACATTTTTTTCTTAGTGTAGGATGTATAAGCATGATCTTATTTAATGAAAAATTAGCTTTATGTTTTGTTACATGTAATAAAACACAAGTAGAAGTGTTGCAGCACCTGAATAAGAGTAAAAATTAGCTGAAGACCATGAATAAGGCACACAGACAGCCACTCTTCCTGAACAAAGGATTATATTAGACCTGATACCAAATTTATCACTTTGAACAAAAAAAGAGGTTGTTCTCCACAGAGAACAATTTCTGTCTATTGTAAAGGAGCCAGTAAACATTTCTCTATAGCTCTCCATTACTTTGAATATCCTCTAGATACTTCTTTTTTTCCTGGAGAATAAATGCAATTCAGTGCTAAAGTCAGATGGCATGCTAGATTCTGCAGGAGAGGATCAAAATTTGTCTCACTCTTCACATAATGCAAAGTTCTTTGCTTGACATTCAGAAACAGATCCCAAAGTTTTAAATTGCCCCAAAACATGTTCTGTGAAATATTTTGTGAGACCAACAACATAACTACTGTATTTAAAATTAAATTTTAAAAACACACGTCCTCATCTGGTAACACATATTTACAGATTTAGTTCACAAAAAATATTCCCACCCCTTGTTATATGCTTCCTCTTCTATCTTGGCCTTAGTTTCAGGACTGATCTCTTCCAACCCACTCTGTGTCAGCACAGAAGTTGAGGTTTCACAGTCAGGTTCTCCATTTGACTTCCCACTGCCAAGACAAAAGAAGCAGACAGATAAAGAATAACATCAGGGAAATGTGTTGTATTTGGAGTATGCTGCAATTTTGTGAGTCATGATTTGTCTTTTTTAATGTACATCAGAGAAATGAAGTGTCTTTCAAAAGAAAAAAAATGGAACACCAAGAAAAATATTCATTTCAGGATGTTGTGATTTATGAACAGTAATATTATGTTTCTAAGGTAAGAAAACTATCATTTTTATTCTTCTTTAAAAAAGAAAAGAGCCTTTCTTACCTGGCTCATCCATGACATTTATTTGCTATTCATGAAAACATTTCCCTCAACTTTCTAAAACTCATCTTAGAAATTGTAACCTGTCACATAAGAGGAACATAACAGAAGTAATGTCAAATACTAATTCAACAAAACATTGTTTTTATTTGCCTTCTAAGTATTCTCCTGTGTTGACTTTCTAGAACTTTTCTCAAGTAAAAGTTGGGAGCATTTAGCCTGAAGATAAGCTATTTTATGTTGCTGTCTTCCTGCAGTGCTCTCCTGTTACTTATTTTATCTGGGACAGAGAGTTTAAGTGATTGAGACATAGCAGATCTATCAAAGTCAAGGTTTAATAAGCTCAACAATGGATCCCATTTCACCTTCTGGAATCTCACCCTCTTCGCCTTCTATTCCTGGCACTAAAATAGTTCAGCCTGATAGACACAATCTGTGGGCAATGGATTTTCTCTCAATTCATATTAACAATAAACATTATTTTCACTTGGACTTTAAACAAACCATAAGTATAAGCTTGAGTGCTTAAACACACAAAACTGTGCTGGTCTGGGTAATTCTACACCAGTAGACCAGCTGGCCCATGCACACACACTTAGGCTCAAACTTGAATTTCAAGTTCCGCCTCTGTAACTTGGTAACATGATTTGTTTTCCTAGGTGTGAAATATTGATAAGGGTTTTTTTGGTTGTTGCATTTTCTCACAGAATTTCTGCACAATTTCAAAGGATGGTCTAGATCTTGCAGAGTTTTTTTGAATAGTAGCAGCCAGTGCTGTAGTTTCCCATTTTTGTTTTCTTGGTTGTTGCATACTTACATTCTTACTGAAGAACAAGGTAAAACAAGGACATAAATTTGTCCTGCCTCAGCACTAATCTAAAATACATGAAATTCAATATTTTGTAGTCATGTACACGTTGAAAGCTTTTAATTTGTCTGTTTAAAGCATTCTAACAAGTAGCAGGAATATCACAGTATTTCAAAATATGATTCTTTAAATTATCATTTAGTATTATCATTTAATAGTTACTGAGATGACCTAGACAAAACTCACTTTTCTAGAAGTGCTGGCAGAGCAGGAGTAGATGTTAGGTTGCTCCTTCCATTACTGGGTGATTCAGACTGTAAGTAAAACACAGCAATAAAAGTTATATTCATTAATTAGTTAACATTCGTGACTAAATAATTAAATACCAATTAAAATTCATTAATTAATTTCAAATGAGTGTTCAATAAAATAACAAAGGCAGTGTGCTGCTCAGTTTTCCTTCCCATATTCATAAGCAAAGTATCTTTAATGTGGTGCTTCCACACTGCTCCAATTAACCAGAGCAAACAATGGACTTGCACACTAAGAATTTTCTCTGACATTTCCTTCTACCCTGTTTATTTTTCCCCAGAAAATGTTCTCCTTCATATACTGATCACTGAACAGTAAAATTATTCTCTTGCTCTCTTGCTCCTCTCCTATTATCCTAAGAAGATGCATTTATTAGCTGAGATTTTAATGGGAAATTTTAAACAAAAATAATTCATAATAAACCATGGCAAACAAACAGACCTGGTTCCTGAAGCAATTGACTCTGAGTACCTAATCAATAAATTGCACAAACAGATGCTTTTCTTACAAGTAAAATAGATAAATAGATTTAGCTTCTCATCAAAACCCTCATTTAAATAACCCTATATTTTAACAGAAAACTCCATAACTTTAATGTTATTGTCCCATCTTAGCTCATCTCTGAACAGTATGTCTTGCAGGTTTTCTCCAAAGCATTTGTATGGATTTATTATGCTCAGATTAGAGTTTCATTTAATTTATTAAAGTTTAACCAAAAAAAATTCAACATAGAGGCTGATGGCTCCACTGATCCAAATCATCACAGAACCTCTGAATTGCTACCATATACATTTCTGTACATTAATTACATTTATTGCTGTTCAGTGGACTTCTGGACACAGTCCAGCTGTGTTTTGTGGTTTCTGGTTGAAATTTCTTTTCTACAGTGTACAGCTATTTTCATTATTTCTTTCCTGTGTGTTACTTCAGATTAAAAGGCAAATTTCCTCATCAATGTCCAGTGCCAGTGAATCATCAGCCTGCCCTCTTCAGTTCTTCCCAAAGGGATCATTCATGGAAGTAGATTGCAATATCCCCTTACACAATAGGAATTACCTCTGTCCATCCCCTTCAGGATGGAGTCAAAACAAGTTAAATCAATGAAAAACCTGTCATTCTACAGTAACTGTGGCTTGCCCCTATGCAAAAATAGTTTAGACAAAAACTGGTGACTTTAAAATGTGGGGTTTACTTACCAGGGATGGCATTGAAGGTATAGGTGAAGCTGTTGGTGACTGACCAGGAATGTTCAAGGAGTTAAATTTAGGAACAACTGCAACACTGACTCTCCTTCGAGGCATATTCTGGGAGAAACAACAATTATTTTTTCTACCGTACAACAAGACAGAACGAAGAACAATTCTGTGGGTTAATTTGTGGGGCAAAGATGTAGGTCAGTGTCTCCTTTGGGAAAAGGAGAGTTGGGAGCAAAAGTAAAATAAAAGGTCATGGTTTTCCCCAGAAATTCATCTTGTACTACCTGGTATGGTAAGTGCTTAATGTGAAATGAGGTGTGGCACAGAGATGCTGCTCTTTTCCCTCCATGCTGAAAGCCCAGTGTAAATCACACACCAGAAGTGTTCTGAGTTTGTATTGTCAGCTCTTATTATAGGCCTTTATCTTTGATAAGCAGATGCAAAATGATACTGGGGAAAGTGCCAGTGTCACAATGACTGGAAATAATGAAGTCACACATAAAACTTATCTTGCTATGTCCCTATTATGATATACTGTACCCACTACGATCTATTAATTACATGTAAACATATTATATGTTAGATAGCATCATGCAACACTGCATATATTTCCCAAAGACCATAAAAATTCTTTCTTATGACAACCACCTGCTAATTGTAACAATATATTCTAGCTCAAGTACAGATTATGTAAATTTTTTCTGCCATTTGGTAAGTAGCCAAACGCTTCATCTTGTAGCATCTATGTAAAATCTATGCTTGCAGCTAAGTAAAAACATCAAAACACTTACAGCATCCAACAGCTTTGTTTTAGTGCATATCCAAACACTTCTAAGATTCTGCTCTTTAGACAACTCTACAGGTAAGCAGTGAATACAGCTTTAGTGAATATTTAGGAGTCACTCCATGATTCTGATTCTAGACAAAACCAACCATACCTATTAATTAATGACAGTTTTATTTCATGTACTCCTGAAAAACTACTCTGGGAATGCCACAGTAGGCAGTCCATTCTAGTGTTTGGATTCTTTTTCTCCTTGTCTTTATTATTTGGACTCATCCCCATTAAATTTAGTCTTTTTTTGAGACCTCTGCTTCAACCTATGGGGTTCTCATTCTGAAATCCCATCTTGCCCTCTGCATGCTCTGTGCTGTAATTCTTTATACCCAACACTCAGAGGTGGCAGGAATAAACCAAACCTAAAGAACTACAATCTAATCAAATAAAAATATGAAAATAAACAGTAGAGTGAGTATAATGCACCTGGTCACCAAATTTCATAATGGTCATACTGGGACTCATGCCTCCCAAATCAGTGGTTGTTTTAGCAAGCTTTGTGATAGGGTTGATCTCCAGCACTTGTAAGTTTTGCAGAAATAAAAACCACGAGAGTTTCACATCAGGCACTACCATTATTGCACAAAGCCATACTAAGTCATGTATCCAAAATTGCAAAGCACATGCAAGAAATTGCATAAACGATATTGAGAATTGACCAGCACTGTTTGACCACAGCCAAAAGAACTGAGTATAGACAAAGAACTGAGTATATAGAAGAAGAAATTTTACTACATAAAATGTTAGCTTTCTTTATATTGCAGAAATACCTTTCCAACAGTGAGAGACATGGATCTAGATGAACGAGGAACCCCATCTTCTGCATAGGAACAAAGATAAAGAACAGTCTTAGAATATGAGAGTATATCTAAATAATATTAATATAACCCTTGCTAATATTTCAAACTCAGATATAGTATATTTACACAGGATCTGTAAGTGACCATGTATTTATTGTCATACAGTATTGCCATACAGCTGTCTTCTCAATCACACCTGCACAAGAAATTTTTTGAAATAATTGCAAATAACCAAATCAGTACTATTTTCACTGAATCAGGGAAAAATCCCACTATTGGCCTCCATATACAAGTTCTCACAAAGGAAAATCCTCATATTTCAGTTTCCAGCAAAGGAAAGAAGAGGTCATAAAAAAAAAAAGGGTTTTTAATAATGAAATTTTGCCTTCATCTGGACCTGAAAGGTAGTTGCATTAAAATGATGCAGAGTACATGGATTTGCAAGAGGCCATGAGGAAATATGATTGGATCTCATCAGAATTTGGCACGTGATAGTGATTCCAAATTACTGTACTATAGCATTAAGTATGGCTCATATGAAACATCTTATTTCTGTAACTTTTGAAAATCTGCTCCTGTAGATGAGAACTTATGAACAGGTTTCACAATATTTTACTTTAAATCATTAACAGCACCAACATCTCTCTGAATTAGAGGCAAGAAAAATCCTTAATTTTTTATTTTTCTTTACCAGATGCACCATAGGTTCTGCTAGAATTCTGATTGGCAAGTTTCTTGAACTCCATTAGTTCAGCATGATCCTTTTCATATGTCCTTTTCAGATTTTCCACATACTGCATCATTACTTCTGTTGCCTTTGACATACGCTTCTCCTAAGGAAGAAAAGAAGGAAATAGCCAGGTAACCTCTACACATCTCCAACAAATCATTTGCCTCTATGTGTATGCTCCATATTGGGGCTAAATCTGGAGCTGTTGTTCTTAAGGAAATATTAGTACCTCTGTGACCAAAAATTCCTAAGATAGTTAGAAGAAAATGCCAATTCAAATGCACTTCACAGAATATAGTACTTGATTTTGTCATATATTCAGACACCCTGCCTGTGTGCCTATCTGATTACTTATGTGGTATACCACATTTCTTTTCAAACCCTCAAAGGTCTTAGTCACTGGTATCAATCTGGTTACCTTAGAGGGCAGAGGGAACATTCTTAAATCTGGGAGGGTATTGATGTGTTCTTATTTATACTCACTCTGTTCTGATAGTCTTTGTAATTGACTGAGCTTTTGCCAAAGGCAAGTGACTGAATTAGATGAGGTTTTTGACCCAGATAACTTTTCTTTTTTTCTTAATATTTTTATTATGTGCTGCTCTGATTTGAAATTAGTTTCTTGTGATGCATCTGTAGCCCTGAATAAAATATATGCTCCTGTTGTACAGACATTAAATAGCTTAATGGGCAATCTTTCTGCCATTGGAGTTCTATTTCCAGGCTGCAGGGGTGTGTTACCTGACACTACAACGGACGTTTTTAATCTGTCAGAATGGCAAATAAAACTCAGAGGGTGAACACAGCCTCTAGCCCAGGCTGGCCAAGAGTGCACCTGTGGATCCAGGATGGAGTTAAACACTAAACACCGGGACGTCCTCACCTGGCGAACGGCTCCGACCATCTCTGCGCGGCTGGAGAGCCTGGCAGCCAAACGCCGCAGCACCGCGATGTCCTCCAGCAGCTTCTGGTAGGCTTCCCTGTGCTCATAGTGGTGCCACAGGTGAGCTGAAGACTGAAGCAAAAACACAGCAGCTTTATCAGCATGTTTTTAGTTCAAATGGAGCGGCCAGAGCCTCAAAATGGGGTATCAATGTCCAGGCAGAACTCCTCACGGAGAGATTAGCCCCAGAGGGGTGCCAGCACTGCCACCACACCCAGCTCAGAGTGCTGCTGCTGCCCTGGTGCTTCACTGCAAGCTGCAGCAACACAGTTTGAGGCATTAGAGAGGTCTCAGCACATTTGTGATACTTCCATTCTGAAATCTGTAGTGAAACATGCTCTGCTACCTGTGAACTCTACAAATGCCGAGTTCATTTCAACTAGCACTTAAAAATGATTGCTGAGGGACAAAGGACATCCTAATTTTCTGGGCACAAGTATTAAGAAGGCTACACGTGTTCTTTCAGTTCCATGATACTTCACTTGTTTGGAAAATAAGACATAGTCTCAAGAATTGCAATGCTACCTTGACAATAAATTGCAACCAAAATTTGACTGCAAGAATCAAAAAGAAATAAGGGAATATGTTTAGGAAAAATCATGCACAGAATTTCACAGTGTCCTTTTCTTTCTTGACAACTGTAACCTCCTTATTTTCTACAAAACATTGGAAATTCATGTAGATCAGCTTTTTCTTGAAATTAGGTTTCTGAATAACACATCAGTTAGCACAAGGCTGATTAAAAAAGTCAGAAAGACTGGTAAAACTGTCACTGAGCCATAAAATCTGTGCCTGTCCTACAGAAATGAAGATAACCTCTCAATGAGATTAGAACAAGTCTAGGTCTAATATGATAGAGATTTTACAGAAGCCATCACTGCTTTTAATCGCTTCTTAGTTTATTCCATTGTCCAGAGCAAAAGCTTTCATAGGGAAGGCAGTTTCCACTTTGTTATAAATCATGTAAAAAACCTTGTAAAAGCCAGACTGTAGCGTGTGAACTGCTTAAGGGAAGAAAATCCTCATCACATCCGTCCCATGCTGGCAACATGAACCTTAGTGCCTAATTAGAGACTCTTGACAGAAATACACAGCAAATCTAACAGACTTATTTCAGTCTGCAAACTCTGAGATTTTAATAGGCTGTTTCTGCTTGCTCTTTACACAGGGAACAGAGGGAAGAGCAGCAAAATAGTCTCAACTTTTTTTTTTTTAACAGAAACAATAATTTGAAAATGGAGATTTGGAATTCCAGATGAAAAGATGTGATCACAATCTTTCTTTAATTCTATATTTTCTTACCTGATGATATTCTTGATAAAGTAAATGGGAGAATCATATGTTCTCTTCACTATTCTCATGAGAATGGCAGCATCTCCCTGCAATAATGCATGCTGGGTCTAAGGCTATTTCCTTTATCAGCCTGGTGTGTAACCATGCCTTCCTTTATGCACAAAGACATGCACAGCACTTCAGTTGACACGTTGTAGCAATTTTTGTCGTTTCCTAGAGAAAGCTGGCAGGAAGGACTCAAACTACTGCTGTAAAGGAACACCAGGGACAGCGGGAATGAAAGTGTACTCAAAACCTGAGCCTGAGATTGTACCTATTCCTTAAGTATTCCTTGCTGTTTCCTTTCACACAGCCTGCCTTCTAGTATCTGCAGTTAAGAGGCCTTTCAAGTTACAGGTCTCAGGATTCAAGTTTCAAATAATTTTGGTATCTTTCATATCTGGACACTTCAAATTTACTGCTAAAGGTCTTGCTCAGGAGAGCATGGATTAGTGCTCCAACTGCAGTTCTGAATGCTCTTAGCTATGTCACAGGTTTATTTCAAGAACTGAACAGCAAATTCCTAGTATTTATTCCTGAAATCTGCTAGACCAGGGAAGCATGCCCTAGGCATTTCCAGTAATGCTGGCCCACTCTGGCAGAATATGCCCTCTCTCAGAGTAGTAGGCAGCTCATGGCAAGAAGTCTGAGCAGCAGAAAATGAAGTTTTGGGGCTGAATTTACAAGTCAAACACATTTGTGATGTTTGTGCACTTCCAGGTACATTACAGTTCAGGAAAAGAATTCCCATAGTTTCCTTACCGTAATGGCTGCTTTAAAGTTTTCCAGTTCCTTCTCAGCATTCTCTTCAGTAAGATTTCTCTCTCTCTCTGCCTGCTGAATTCTAGATTCCAATGTATAACTATCATTTCTAAAGGCCAAGGAGAGTTGTACAAATACATTCTGTTTGGATTAAAAAAAGGCATTTTCCACTAAGTCTCACAGTAATATAATTTTCAATAACAACTTATCAATAAAGTATATGTTTAACTGACTTTGCTGGTTAAATAAGGATTGCAACAGAAAATTGAAAGTATTTTAAAATTTGTTTTCTTTGAAAAATCCATTGAATTTCCACTGAAATAGGAATAATGAATGTGTTGCTGCCTCTTTTCCTGAATGTTTTTCTGGGAGCTCTGTGGGGCAGAGACAAAATGAAGGAAGCAGCCTACCAGAAGCACCAGAATCACAATGGATCTGTTTTCTAGCTGCACTTCCTCCAAGGGTCCCCAAGGTTTTTAAACAGATAGTCTGTGCAGAGGAAGTCCAGGGATGAGCTCACCATGAGCATTGTTTTATCTAAGGGATAAACACCTACCCCTGGAGCCAGCAAAAGATGAAGCGCTAACATTTTTATTCTCTTGCACCCTGCTTTTAAAGATTATTTCTTGCTTTACCAGAGTTTACTCATTTCTTAGGATTAATACTTTGCAAAGCACAAGGCACCAACAGCTCCAGTAGATTGCAGTGTTGTAAAAAACCATCTCTTTCTTGACTGGTATGTGATTTAAAAAATACAAGAACTAAATGCTACAAGCTAAATAGAGACCTGCAAAAAAAATTATTGGCTTGAACTGAGAAAGCAAAAATTATGCAAACTAACAGCAGGATATTATTAAAAAATGCCCCAAAGCTCATATTAGCCAATAAAAATGCAATTTAAATTGCTGAGTTTCTGGTCTTATTTAATCTCTTTTTTTTTTTTTTTACTACTTTAGAATATTAAAACTATTTCCAAAGTGAATTACTTTTTTATTATGAACAACACAAACAAATATTTTGCTTACTCCTACTCTGTTGTTTTACAGTTTCTATTGCCCACATTTCACAAAATTGTTATCTTGATGGAGTTCAATGTGTTTTGTTATTGTTTTTTTAATGAGAAATATATTTTGGGGGAAAAAATCATCCCATTACCTCATTCTAATAACCACACTTCGACTTAAAATAATCACTTAAAATTGGAACACATCTAAAATAATAGCATACTTACCTCAACTTCTTTTTCAGTGAGTGGTGGGGAGCTAGAAATAAAAGTAAAAAATTTCACATTTTAATGAGTTATTTTCTCTTAGAACAAAGCTATTCTAATACTTAACTGAACAACAAAATTATGTTTGAGTTTCCAGAGTTTTCCACTATTTTTCTGTATTGATTACAATCAAGCAATGGTCTCTCAGAAGTTCTTCACCTCATGCATTCATTTATACATAATAATGTATATAACAATTCATTCACCATAAATGTTAAATATTTATTTCACCTGCACAGAGAATCCTTATTGACAGTTCAGAAAACTGAAGGCTCTGGTGGTTTTGGTACATAACCATAACCATGTGGCTGAATGGAGGAATCATTTTTGGCTGAATAAGTTTGGGATTGTTTATTGTTTTAATGTCTCAGAAAGTGCAAATCAGTGAGTGCTTCAACTACATTTGCAAAATAAACTCAGTTTTCCTAAAAAATTGTCACCTGCAGAAAAACTGCAGAACTTTTACATGCCCAAATTCTACCATTGGAAAGCATCATCTGGCCTGATTATTTTCATGGGGGTGAGAAATAATATTTTCAATATGAGTACATATCTGCAGCAGCAGTCCTGGAAACCAGGAATGGAAAAATCTGTATAAAAATCTACCTGTAGCATGCAATTAAGGTTTAAGACTTTTTATGTAGAACTCAAACTAATTTTAAAAGTTGGCCAATTACTGGAAGCTGGCGCATTCCCCAGAAATTTTCAGTAAATCTAGGTTGCACATTTTAAGATGCAACAATTTGTCTCCCTATGAATGGAGGGAAGGGAAGTTGGCTGGAGACCATTAGTGTGCCTTCTCCTGGATGATGTGTTTCCACTTCTAATGAGCTTTTACCTTCCTGGAAGTGATTTGTGCACTCTCAGTTTTCGCAGCAATACATCAGGAATGCTGGGCATGACATCAGAGCTGCTCTTTGTCTCTTCCTCTTCGGTGGGGGAAGGGAGAGGTGAAGGGCCTAAAGACATTTTCAGATTAAAAAAATATTGTGTTACTTTACAAGTCACACATTCTTTTCAGGAATATTTTAGCTGAGATTTTGTAATAGAACACTGTCATTTTCTAAGGCTTTAAATGCCACCTGCCAAGATGAAGTGTAGTGTAATGTACCATACTGCAGATTTTGTACACCATTTATTGTTATAAATTACATCAGGTACCTGTTTGCACTGTATGGCAATTGAAACAGGATATCAAGGTTATACTTACATTCTCCAATTCTGTTACTTTCATAAGGACCAAGACATAACTAATATTTTTTTTATAATTCATGTTACTTAGCCTCGGTATTTTCATTTTATTTAATTTCACATATATTAGTTCCCTTATCTCCTTCTGTCTTACCAGAATTTCATGAAGGACTCTCCTGTAGGAAAGGCAGATTCCCCAGCCTGAATCCCAGACTTGGGAAGGAATCTTTGAACAGTTCTCCTGTTCAGAAGTTTAACAGAAGGATTCTTAGACTTGCCATGTAATTAGTGTGTAAATCTGGAGAGCATTAACATGAAAGATGGAACAGAAGGGGAGATTCTTTCCAGCTACATTTTAGTTCTGTGCATTTGCTTTATATTAAAAAATTCCAGCATTTACTTCAGAGCAGACACATGCATCCCCATAAAACCCAGCCTGACACCAGAATTAATGCATTCCACTTAGTGTAGATGCAGAGTTGTGTTTGCTCAGATGGTGACAGTAACTTGTCATTGATAAAAACCATGATGGAGACAGTACATTGGATTCATAACAGTAATAATGAAGTATCTATTTCCTATTGTTTAAGCAAAATTACCACTCCAGTTGAAAAGGTGGCTTCTCTGACAATGTAAGGAAGTAGGTCTCCCTAACAAATTAACTAAGAATTTGACCCCTTGCTTGTTTTCCCCACTGAGGACAAGGAGTTGACCCTTAAAGTTCTGGCTACCATTTAGATAACTTACTGGACTAGAAAAAGCTTGTGATATTCATGAGATCCATGTTGAGAAGCTGGATAAAATAATATTTATCTTATTCACAATGTTTTCCTCAAGACTTCCAAACCTGCCAAAATTACGTAGCAGGCTGGTAAATTGGCAACTATTTTATAGTTTCAAACAGAGCCTGCTAAATTATTTCTGGGAAATTATATATTAACAGAGTGACAGGAATAATAGCATTACATCTAAGAATTCAAAGATATAATCACTAAATATAGAGGACAAGAAGCCTTTTTCATCTTTATTCATTCACACTGAAAATGAATCCATTTCCAGACATAATGTGAAATGCAGTATCTTAACCTTCTCTCAGTGTAACAGGAACTTTAAGGCTGATGAGCTAGTCCCAGTGCAAATTCATGAATTAGTAAAATGTTCAGGATTTTAAAAAATTGTAATTTTCTTTGTATTAAATCTTGAACAATCAGTTTCAGCTCCTTTCATAATAACCATCTTCATTTCAGTTAATGTCACACTGAACAAGTTCTGAATTAACTACTTCCAAACAAATATATAGTTTCGGTTTGGATATTTAGGTTGATATATTTGGTTTAAATATTTTAGCTAAGCACTACTGCTATTTAATTCTCCCACATGTTGAATTATCCTCTGGTTCATATCTTTGCTCTTTACTCTCAATCTTTTTAGATGCAGCTACAAGCATCAAATCTTTTTTGCCTGTGTGAGACTGGAGAAAACATTTGGTGTCCAATTTCTTTTTCCTTAAAGAAGCATTTTCCTTTATTTTTCCTTAAAAATCACAGAAATTGAAGTTAAAAAAATCCTACTTACTGTAAGACATTTTTCCAATCCTTCAAACACCTTTATGACTCTTTTCTGGCCTTACATTTTCTCATTCACATTGACATGGAAATGTGGACCAGAAGTGAAAATGCCATTTCAATACTTGTCACACATACACTAAAATAATAATAATAAAGGAATAAAGTGTCCCATCTCCTATTTATACTCCCAGGGATCATATTCACCCTTATGACCACAATATCTTGCAGAAGTTACATCCATTGAATCCATCACTGCTGAAATGTTTTTACAGAAAGTTACTGAAACTTCAGTCCTACAGCTATTAGGTACAAGCCAGACTCCATTCCACATGTGCATCTTTTCCCTTGGTTATAACAATACCTACAGTATCTTCTTGGTTCAAATCATCAAGAAAATGAGGTACTTTCCATTATTGGTCTCTCTTATTCATCATTTATTACTGTTCTCCATGACTGCTTCAACTATTCTTGTGATTCAAGATTTTAAGCCTTTTTCTCCTCACTCCCACATAATAGTTATAAAAATCAGTATATACCAAACATTCTTTCCAGTTTTTATGATACTGCACCTTTTTCCTGTTCCGCTGCTTCACTAAGTTCAGGAAGTTTAAGTCCAACTAAATTTTGATTTCTCATCAAAATATGCTCCTGTGAAGAGAAACAATAATATTTCTAACTGAACTACAAATCTCAATTTAAATATCCCTGCCACATGTAAATAAAACACTTACTTTAGTTCACAAACATAATAGAGATATTTGCATTATATTATAGTCAGATGCTCCATAACAGAATACTCATAAATTCACACACACTCTAGAATATTACATATTTCAAATTTCATACAGGCATTATTTTGAAAAATTGCTGGTCATGCAAACAAAGATTTGTGAAATGTGCCCCTTATTCAAGTAGATATGTAGAGTTTTGGTGAGAGCTTTAGTAACTGACAATTAAAAAAGCAATTTTGATATAGCCACAGTAATAACTAAGTATCCCAGATAACAGGAGAAATGCAGAAAATCTACATATGAGACTTTGCCACTTTGACTTTATTAAGACCAGAGCTTGGGATGCTTCACTGTTACTGTGTTCTACCTCTATTCCTTGCAGGTAGGAAAAAATGCACTCTCAAGGATTAAACCTTGTTCTCTTATTTCTCCTTTTATCACCTCCTCATTTTCTTTCATATTCTCACATGTTTAAATTCACAAATACCTGTTTTTGTTTATGAGTAGACAATTCCTACTGGAGACAGAGCTCAAATCTTGCCTAACTGGAATTACAGATCATCTTGAAAATTTTTTGTTATTCCCTTATTTGTGCTTAACAGCTTCTGGGTCATTCAAAATGATAGAATTAAAGAACTATAGAATGGCTTGGGTTGAAAGGCACCTTAAAGATAATCTGGTTACAAACCCTCTGCCATGGGCAGAGACACCTTTCACTGTCCCAGGCTGCTCCAAGCCCCATCCAGCCTGGTCTTGGGCACTGCCAGGGACCCAGGGGCAGCCACAGCTGCTCTGAGCACCCTGTGCCAGGGCCTCAGCACCCTCACAGGGAAGAATTGCTTCTGTAATTATATGGGTCCCTATAATCAAAACTTCCAGTACATACACACTAAGAATGTGTGTTATATCAACAGGAAGAGATGAATAATGAAGCTGCCATTCCCAAACAATACAATGGGAATGAATTAACCAAAGTGCAGAATTGAGGTCCTCATCTGTCAGCCTTATATTCATCTTAAAATATTAACTACTGGGGGTTAAGGAAAATATCCTTATTAGGCTGTTCAGGAAAGTCCCTGCTGCTTTTTTTTCTTTCAAAAATCATTATTAGCAATAGAGACATGTTTACTGCTTTCTTTTGGTGGTCTATCATTTCATGAAATTTCTGCTTTTTTTCCTAGGATTTAATTACTTACTATTTAGGAATTTATTTAACAACAGATTACTCATTTAGAAGCTGACAGATTTGCAGCAGGTTATAATTAGGAACTGTAAATCTGGACATGCTTTACCTGCCCTTGCTGTCAGAGATGTCCAGTTCTACAGCTCTGAACACTTTGAGACATTTTCTGAGACAGTTCAATAATCAACTAATCATTACAAACCCATTTCCTGTCCTCTGAGATCTTGCAAATGTAAACATGCAAGAGGAGCACATGCATATGTATACCTTGAAGTACCACAGTGCACTTGATGCATACCTGAGGAAAACTAAGAGACAGAGTAATTCCATGGAATTTACTTACAGGTCACAATTTAGTCAAGTTGCAAAAGAAAGACATGATACAATTCTGTACTGATAATGCTGAAACTGTTTCCCATTTTATCACTGTATGTTTCTTGAAGTGATAAAAATAATACTAAACATGTTGAAATTTTAATAGGGTATGAAAAAGACTTTTTAAAACAGGATACAGCTGATGACAGGACTTACCTCTCTGAGCTTTGTCAGCTTCTGCATTCGAACTGGCTGAACTTGGATTTGAAGATCTTTGAATGCTTTTAATTGATTGCTGGATTTATTACCAAGAAAGCTTTTATCTTCCTCAGATGGTAATTTTAAAGGGGTTTTCTCTTTCTGTCCAGGCTCCAAGCTATCCCAGGACACAGCCCGTAATAGAGGGGGACGCAGTCCACACAGTTTAAATTCTGGTTTACATGGAACTTTATGATCCCTCATTTCTAGAACAGGAATTTTTAGCTTTGAGTCCATATTTCCTATTCCTGGTCCTGGTAGATGGGTTCTTAAAGGAACATCATTTTCTTTCGCTTTCTTGAGGAATGATTTTCCAAGTTCATTTTCACAAACATTCATGCAAGTATTAAGAGACATTCTGCCACCATCAGCAGCTGAAGGGGAGAATTTAGGTAAAGTATCCATATGTTTACGTGGATCAAAGTTTTCCTTTTGGTCTGAGAGCTTCTCTTTGGAGTTTTCAAAGCCAGCAGAACGAGGAACCAACCTTCCCTGAGAAATCTTTCTTTGATCATTCTGCCTTCGATCAGTTAATCCTTTTGCAGCATTCTGAAAGTACAGGGACACACATGAAACAGAGAATCAAGTCCAGATTGCTCTTTTCCCCTGCCCAAGGACAGATTTTCATTGTAAAAAGCCATTTCCTTTTCAGTGACATTTGCTTTTGGATATGTGCTGTTGACAAAAGAAATAATTTTTAAAAGGCACTTAAAGAATATTGACTTTGGAATCTCCTCTCTGAACTTTTGAGTTAACCTCTCCCATTCCAGAGTCCATTACATCAATCCTCCTAAAGCCAAGCTCCTCAGCATGTTAATGTCATGGAAAGTCTAAACCACTGACATACACCACAATGGCTATAGTAGATATTTTTACTTTAAAATTACTTAGTATATTGATTTTAATTGAGCTAGAGCAGGGGGCATGATAGGATGGAAAGATCAAGTGGTAAGCCCACTGTCCTACACTTCTTTTGCAGGTGCTTCATAATTTCTTAAAGTATTGTAATTTGCTTTTCACCAGTGAACAATCTTTCAGCATTTTCAGTCCCATCAATAAATCATATGTGTGCTAAGACAAACCAGCAGACTGTGTTCAGCTCTCAATGTGAAACACTTACCTCTGCAGTTTGCCTGTCATCCTCTTTCACAATTCTGTTATTCTAGCAAAAAAAAAAAAAAAAAAAGAAAAAGAAAAAACTGTTTTACAAGGTTATCTTTCACACCTATTCTACAAACATCATATTAATGGCTGAACGTTGAATCTCATTTTTTATATTACTAGTTGTATTTATTTATGAAATAACTTCAGGGATTAGCTTTTTCATAGATTAGGGTTATATTGCCTCTTTTTCTATTTTCTACACTTAACAAATCTTCATGAACTTTCAGGTCTTGTTACTGCATAGATTTCTGTCTTCAGACTAAATATTTAGCCCTTGCTGTACAGAGAAAGTACCAGTAATCCAATTTTGGTCTCTAAAATGGTATTCCAAACATACAATTTTTATCAGGGACTAAAAGGGCAGCATACTAAAATAGAGTACTGTAATAACCAGATTATTTCACAGACTATTCAGCTCTTACCTGCCCAGGAGATACTGACTCAATACTAGTGGTTGTGCATGCATCAGACCCTGAAATATACACATATAATTAGGGCATATCTTGATATTTTGCTCCAAACTTTTACTATTATAGCATTAACAAATACATATGTGCACAGTTTCCCATAATACATGAAGGACAAAAATTCAAATGCCAAAAATACTATTAAAAAAGAAAAAAAAAATCAAGCATATACCAAGTGAAAGATCATTAAATCCTCTCAAAACTCTGTTATTCATAAAATTTAAAAAATAGAACATGTGAACTTGTAACACCACAGGAATAAAAATATTATAAAATATCTATATGCAAAAAATACATTATGTATGCATTAAGGAACTTAACATATTCAGGACTAGATGCTTAAATCTACTCTTCTCAAGAAATACTAAACAAATACTTTTTTGGTGAGCTTTTATAAGTTAAAGTTTGAGCCTGCAAATGATTGGATTTGATGATCTTAGAGGTCTTTTTCCCCCTTGATTCATGATCATTTTACCTGATGGAAGTGGAGGAGTGAGAGAGCTGCTCCGAGATGCTATGGGTGAAACTTTAGGACTAAGAGTAGGGGAAACTGCTTCATTAGAACAAAGACATAAACAAAATGAAAAGGTGATTTTACTTTCTAGGCTTGTACCTTCTGTGTTTTTAGAATTCAGATGAGATTAAAACATCAATATCATAGTCATGTGTTTGTCCAGAACCTGACAAGTCATTTTAATTGCCAGGTTGTACTTGGCAATTAGGAGTTTAGAGCAATTAGGAGTAAAATGTACTTGGCAATTAGGAGTAAAAGACATGTTTCATGTCTTTTACTCATGAAAATTTGATAAATTTCTATTGATACAGGGAATACTTGCTCTCCTCAGTTTTTTGATACTGTAAGTACTGAGGGGAGACAGCACAAGAGAAGATTCATGAAGAATTTAGGATAAAAAAAGAGATGATATATAGTTGTGGGGGTTTTTTTCCCTCCAGAGAGTGTCAAGCCAATTGTAAGACAGAATTTTGTTTGAAATGGCATTTCAAAGCAAAATAAAAGTCCTATTTCATGGTAAAATGGCATTTTCTTCCAGTTTTAAAACACTTCACATAAAAGGAAAAGTAATTTTAATTGACATTCTAGAACAAAGCATTTTATTCTGCTGTTTTTAAAGGAGGATCTGAGCCATAAACTAAGGTAAAAGGACATGTTCAGGATATGAGGCAGTGTAATTGTGTCTGGAGGGAATGTTTTTTCAGCAGGATGAATCTAGCCACTAGAATTTCATTTAAACAACAATTTGTGACCATTTTTCACTTTTCAATAGAAATATTTCATGCCTTCTTGTTACACCATTTGCAGTGTAACTTTACAGCATTTTACCCTGACACATCTGGGTACATGGATGGGGCATTTCTGTTTTTGTGGAACCTTGTGGAGGACATGAGGGATTCTGGCCTTCAAATTAATCAAGTGCATGGCAACAGCAGCAATGTATAGATTACTGGAGATGTTTGCCTTTAGAGATGTTTGAAGGAGAATATAAAATATGGTTATCAAGATCTGCCCCTACCTGTGGGTGACTCTGAGAGGCTGCTTCTTGACTTTCTGCCTCTGCGTGTTAGGAACCTCTCACTCACTTTCTTTGCTTCTTCTAACAATTCAAGGTTCTTCTTTTTGTCTTCCTCTGATATTTTGACATCTGGTAGTGGATCATTCACCAGATCAATCACATGACCACTACTGTCTGTGTAGAAAATGTTAGAATTAGAGCTGGACCTTCCATTTCCAGGTATATTGTGGCATGTAAGAGCAACAAGTTCAAAACAAGCCTGTAAATTTATACCTATAAGTTTAGCTTTGAGCTTGCATGAAACAAAAAATTGTCTGCTCATTTCTTATGTTGTTACAATCTCAAGTTTAGAGCAAGTCCTCAAAACCACAGGTAATTCACTGTGATCAAAAATTCTCTGAATATGTGAAACTGGCTTTTCCAGCTGTGTCTCCAATGCAGTTTTTCTCATTTCTAAATAAAAGTGCCATTAGATCCATCTCAACTAACAATAATGGCATTTCTGTCGCAGACTGAGCTTCTACATGGAGTTCTCATGTTCAGTTTTTCATGGTTAAGACGTGACAAACTCAGCTAGCAAAGATTTATGCACAATAGTTTTAACAATTAATTTAACACTTCATTAATCTGTGGCATTTAAATTGGTTGAAAACACTAAAGTTTGAGCACCAATTTTTACAATTCTCCAGCCTATGATGCAGCAAAGAGAGCAGGCAGTTGTCAGAAAGGCCCTTTCTGAGTCAGTATAAATGGCTTTTATGAACATCTAAAGAACAGCTTGGGTGAGGGGGAGCAAAGACATCAGGCAATATGAGAAAAATATTTTAAAATTTGACAAGAGCCATTACAGAACCATCAGTTTTCAGAAAAGCTAAGGATTTAAGCAAGCAGCAAAAACTCAAGAGTTGTTTATTTGTGGATGTGGAGTTGTTTCACTATTGGTTTTTGATTTATTTTTTGAGAGGGAGAGAGAAGTCCTTTGGCTTTAATTTCCTTAAATTTAGTTCAATTTCAAGGATGTCAAAAACTATACTTACAGATTGAATATTCTAAAGCAATCTATTTTCAGTGAAATATCTGGTTTGGTTTAAACTCAAATTTGTGTGTTGGAAGTTTGAGAGACAAGACCTCCCATGACACTTTCCCTGGGCCAACAAAAGAGAAGCAAAACCAAGTATTTTGTATCCTACAAGAAATAAAGCATGTATATGTTAAGCCTTCTAAAGATGTTAAGCTAATGCACCAATTAACAACTTTCTGAAAGTAACAATGTGTGCATTTCCCTAAATTGGTCTGCCTGCAGTCCACTTATGAACTCATGATCATAATTCAACATCCCAGCAGCATTCCCTGTGTATGCATTACACAGTGTGCACAGAGAAAAAAATCGTGGTCAATACTGTCAGACTCTCTATATAGGTTTTCATTGCATGTTACATTTTCTGAGAATACATCCTAGCTGAAATGAATAATCACTTCTTACCAACAGAAGTCAGTGAACTTGTTGAATTCCTGGTGGCACGGTTGGAATGTCTCCTATGAGGACTCCGAGGCCTAGAGCGAAAAGTCAATACAAAAAAAGTTATGGAGTATGGCACCAAAAAGAGATCCTAATTACCTAATAAAAATTAATATTAAAAAGAAAGCCCTTTGATTTAAAAATTACAAAAAGCATTTATTGCAGTTTCTCTCACCTCCAAACAAATGGAAAATGGAGGAGATTGTGGAAAGAAGGAAAATTGCAGAAATTCATCTAACAAAGAAGTTCTAAAATTTGCTATTAATCTCATTCGCTGTGAACCTAATTTCTTAGGAAAAAACCTCTACATTTCTTTAGATTATTACCATCACTTAAAAATAATGTAAGAATGGCATATAGCAAAAAAACCCCACAAACCCAAGAAAAACAAACAAAAACCCCACCAAAAAAACCCCAAAAAACCCCACAAAAAACCAACCACCAAAAAAACCCCCAAAAGACTTAGTCTTTCTGAATTTTTACTGCTGCTTAAACTAAATTTTATGGCTAAAACAATTCCTTAGGCTCCCACATTGACACTCCCATACGATCTTTCTAAAGTGCAAACCAAGTAAAAGTCTCAAACAACTGCAGAAATGTAAATAGCAATCCTGCAAATAATTCTGTTTTGAAGGGCTGCAGATAAATTCTGATCTAAACTAATCTTGAAGTCTGGAGAAGCACACTTTTAAGAATACAAGCAAATTATAGATTTACAAAATATATTTTTGATATGTTTTTTCCCCATGTTTTAAGTTTAGTGGCAGGTCAATAAAATTAAAAAGCCCAGGTCAGGAAGTATGCTTTATCAGAGTAAATATAATAACTGAAAACTGAATTGAAGCTTTCAACTTCAAACAGGATTACTATTTCTATTCAATGACTTACTTTCACATATGCTTAACCTCAAGGTGGTATTCTTGTCCCATCTATGTGAATGGGCCCAAAACTTCTTCTAACCCCATTGTATTACAGTGCTCAAACTAGATAATTAAGTTGTCCAACTCAGTGAGTGGGGTTGTCAGGCTCAGTATTCTCTGTAACTCTACTCTTTTAGTCTCAATTATATTCTTGTTCCTCACCCCACATCCCAAACACCACCCTCAAAATGCAAAGGCAATATGACCAAATCACAGAAATGCAGCATTAATATTTTCATACAACATATATTTTGGAGCAATGTTTTAGAAACAGCCCCTGAAATTTATGGATGGATTTGTAATGTATTATACAGTACCTGTTAACCAGATTTTTATCAATTTCTACATCTGGAGTGACAGCATTCTCTGGAAGAACAATAGAAGGTGTGCTGCATGTTGTCCCTTCAACAGCTGTGTCCTGAATGGTGTGTGACAAATATAAAAATGTAGTTAAACAGAAATTCAAACCACTGAACATTGAGTCTGTGTGGAAAACAATGTGTATTTCTCAATTTACCTAAAAAAGAAAAAGTAATTGAAATAAGAGATAATTGGCTGTAATTTGACAAAAGAAATGTGAATTAGAGGCCTATACTTAAATTACTCAAAAGACATGGAATATCTGTTTTCTTTAAAAACTTTTAATGCATGCAAGCCAAATTCAATAAGCATGGAGCTAATGAGAAAGCTTTAAAAAGGCAGACAGTCTGGTTTTGCACACAGCAAACCATTCCTTTAGTCAAGTACATGTCCAAGAGTCCAGTGAATTTATGAGCTGAATGCAAGAGTGAAAAGCAGCTCTGTATAACAGGGCTAAATTAAGCAAACAAATGCTCCAAATGATAGTAATGTATAATGAAATCTTGAATAAACACAGTATTAAGTGTACACATGGTACCCAAAACTCAAAAAAATAATTTAAAATTATCTTGTTAAGAGCTCCACATGATTTTCCCTCAAATTACTTGGAAACCTATTTTTTAAAATATAATCTAAATATTTAATAAAATATAATTTTAAGTGCTAAAAGAAACTGGCAAGCTGGTACTGAATATTAATATGTGCTTGCCTGCTTAAATGTGAGACCTTGCCTCAAGAACTTAATCTCACACCTTCTGCATAATTATACCATTCAGCTGAAGAAAAATAATCCATTTCCTGTGAGACATCACAAGTGGAGATGCATCAAGTTGGCATAAATTAATGTGGATGTCTCATATGTGGTAAGAAAATGATTACTTCTACCCCAAGTACAGTGTTCTGATTAAAACCAGAAAACAGCTGAAGGGGAAGCTTCCCAGCAGAGGCAGTGGACTGCTGTCAAGTGACTTCTAAAATTTAAAGAATAATTTGTAAATTCTCAAATCCTAATTGCTTCTGCTAGGCACTGATATATATGAGAGTTTTGTTTTAGTTTGTTATTTGGAGTCTACAATTTCCTTGAAACTACATCCCAAAGCTTCACAAGAAATTCGTAAGGCAGGTAAGAAAAATCTGTTGCAATAGCACTAATTTAGGCATTAACAGAATGAATAAGTCACAGTTTAGTAAGTCAATTTTAGACTCTGGAAGTGTTCCAGAGGGAGGAAACTGGGTGGAGCTCTGAGCTACCTGCTCTAGCAGAAGGCCCCTGTCCATAACAGGGCAACTGGAACTGCATGACCTTAAAGGTCCCTTCCATCCTAAACCATTCTATTCTATTCCACAAGAAATATGATTGTTACTTGACTGCTAATTCCTGTCATTTACCGTAGAACTCCTTGCAACATCTCTCCCAGTGATGCATTTTATTCTTGTTGAAATAACATATTTTCTGATCAAGTAAAAGGACTCTAGAATACATGGGAAATGGTATAATATTAAAATACATAGCAAAACCCTTTTGCCTCTCAAAGGCAATGAAATATGCCTTGATTTGGACACCTGAGTTAGGATTCTTGATTCTACTGTAAATAGCATCGGGTTTTTTACTAAATTTTTTTTCAAGCAGCTTCACACTTCCATACTCATAATTCTCATATGAACCACCTTGGCAAGTTCACTTTGTCAGTCACAGGAGAGCAGGATGGGGAACATGCCAAAAAAACACTGTGAAGATTTAAATTTAGGAAAAATATCATTGCAATTCTGAAAATGTTAAAATCCCAAAGCATATGGGATTCAAATGCACAAGTGACATTTTATGACAATAGCTTGAAAGCAATTTTTAGTAATATCCTTAAAAATGTTAAAAAAATGACAATACATTTTGTAAGTCACAAAACTCAGTGACTCCCCTGCTTGTAGGGCAAAGCAGCTGAATACACATGCACACTGTTTTTACTAATCTCATGACTGCCAGAAAGCAAAAACTTCTGAATGATGTAACAACAGCCTTGAAGTCACTCAAGCCCATTTTAGGACTCTAAAAACAGCTCATTAAAAAAAAAAAAAAAAAAAAAAGAGTTTGCAGTCAAGGCTAGTTCAGGTCAGGTAGAAAACATTAATCCTGGTCAGCAGCTATAGGAGTTCAGCGTGTACACAAGTGAAACCTCATGGCCCCGTTGTTCAAACCTGCCTTGTCCAGGAGAGGGGCAGGAACAGCCAGAGCAGGAAGCTCTTTGCAGGGCCAGCTGGCTCCAATCAAAAGGAATTGTTACAGACTGAGGAGTGCTCAGGCTGCTCCACACAGGCCTTGGAAGAGAAGCTTTAACAGGAAGCTTAAGCTGCCTCACTACAGTGCAGCGTTGTACAACTGCACAGAGATGTCACAGAAGATTTCCATCACCTTCTTATTTGTGTGCCTTGAACTCTGCTCCCTTGGGAGCTTCCAGACCCATCTGCTCCTCAACTATTCCCAACGGTTACCTCATCTCCTGCTACCAGTGGTTCCCTGCTACTCAAGTCTATGCTTCCTTTTTGTCTCAAGCCCTCCCCCCCAAAAAAATTAGGGTAAAACTGAGGCCACCTCTGTGGCTCAGGTGGGATCTGCTCCACAAGGATGACCAGGAGCCATCCAGATTTGCAGGGAGGCATGTGGAGGGCTGAGAGGGTGGCAACAGAACAGAACAGCCATGAGGATCAGGGATGGAAGTAGAACCTCCAGACATTCTGGCTGTTAAGTTCTACCAGACCCTCACTAAACATACAGACAATGTACTTTTGAAATGTTTATAATCCAGACAAATTTAGATGAATTTTTACATTAATGGGATGGTGAGGGGAGAAGGAATACAAAGATATTCTGCTGAAAGACCTACCATGCCAGGCAGTCAGGTGGCAGAACTTTATTGTATAACACCTGAATTCTTTAAAGCACTGGGGAAAAAAACCAAAACAACAGAAAACCAGGAAACAGAAAACCCTCTGCAAACTGGCCATATTCTTAGATATGAATTAAAAGTCTAGACTGAACTTCAGAAAAACACAAGCTGCTGTAAGAAACACTGAAATGAAAACCCACATTTGTTTTCTCAAAATGAATTTGAGACATAGAACCCAGATCTCCCCATCATGCAAAAGCATGATCATACTTGAAGCATGCAGAAAGCTACATGTGATGTAAGGTTCACTTTCTTTTTGTCAGAACTGTTTTGCAATCTGTGTGCATTTGGGCATGCAGGGAAAAGGTGGGGAAGAATCTCCTGAAACACAACAAGGAAGTTGATAGACACCAGGCAGCACTCTAGATGAGATGAAATTCTAGACTTGGAAAATTTTGTTGAGTGGCAGAAAACAAATTCACCAGCTTTCAGCTCCTTCTGATGCCCTCTCCTTGCTTGCAAGTCCTTATGTCACAATAAGCTGTTTTACTTAGAGTGACTTACAGTCAGGCTGTAGAACTTGACCTGCAGCAAGAGCCAAGAGTGACAACAGCTATGAGCAAGATCAAATTTTCACAACATTGGCTAGTGGCAAACCTTAAGTAGACTTATGAGCAGTGTTTTGGTTAAAATCACTCCACTGCAATTTTGTGCCTGAAAATAATCACTTATCTAAAATGAAGCATTTTGCACAGTGACCTGATTCATGAACTATCCATCACCACAGTCCTTTTAAGACCTACATCTAAAAAGCCTGGAAAATGTGTTAAAAACTTAATGCTTTGATATTAGGAGGTTGGAAATTTTCATTTCTCCCACTTGACAAGCACATTCAGGATTAGAATCACTGATGTTTGCTAGATTTTCATATTTTTCATCTCTAAATAGGTTTTATACAGCAAGTCTTTTGAACTAAAATACATTTCGCATAGGTGAGTTTAAAAAGCCCCAATAAAATCATCTTCAGCTAATAGATGTTATCAGATGGTAGTCTTGATGAACTTGTATCCAACTGGGCTGTTTCTCTTAAGGCAGGAAATTAACACTCAGCACCATGTGCAGCTTAGATGGAAGGCAGGACAAATGAGTGCAGAGCTCACTGCTGACTGTATTTTCCAACCATGTTAAAGTAGTGGATGTTTTCACCCAAAGTCTGGAATGTAGTGTCCCCAAACCCAATGACAGTGTCACATCTTTAACTGAGGATGTGCCAGACTATAAATCCTCTCTTTCTTTACACCAGTTTGCATAAAAACTAATGATTTGGATAGCCTGTGATTTCTTAATCCCAGTAAGGTTCTTTACTTCAGCTAAGCTAACAACTAAAAAAATCCAACCGCAGTTTATTAAAGCATGAAGCTACTTTTTATCTGTGGTATAGATTACTGAAAATAGGGAAGACCCGTCTGTTATTGATTTTTCATATTTACCTGGAATGAAAACATGTCAAGACATGTAGATGCCACACAAATTTGAAGCAAACTGATGAAATGCCTGAGGAACACCCACCTGCCTCTCACTAGTTTCAATGTATGATCATCTACTGCTGTGGCAAATAAAGCACTGAGAAAGACTGAAAACCAAAAAAGCCCATTTCCATCTTTCACACACACGAGTTGCATAACATCCTCTATATCTCAAAAAGCAACACTAGCTGTTGAAATGCAAGCCTAAATTCTGTTCTCAAAGTTTAAAGTTTTCTTTAATAACATCACAAAGGTCATTTTTGGACAGCTTTGATATATGTCTGTCTGTTCTGAAGCATTTATAAGACTCCAGTTCAAAATGATAAACAACTGCTTGAGAAATTTAAGTTCTCATCCCTTAGGCTATAAAATATTTGAGGAACTCAAAGGATTTCAGCTGGAGGATCATTCATAGCTTCATCAATTAAGCAAAACACCCTAATACAGAGCAACAAATAGATTTGATTTCATAAACCCCTAAATATACACAAACATGTTTCAGCCTCAGGTTTCCAGCAAGTGTCAGAAAACACCTTTGTAAGTAAGAGAGCTTACTTTGGCTGGAGGAGAGCTGTTGTGCTGGGCCTCTTTTGCTTGTCCCTTGTCTTCAGGTAAGGTTGGCATGGTGGGCAGCGTGAAGCACGTGGAGCTGCAAGGTTGACTAAGAGGACCATGCACTGCTGGCAGTATCTGTTTCAAGTTAGCCTGAAGGCATAAGCTCTGCGAGGCCTCGTGATCTGCAGGCTGGGTTAGATGCCAAAAATACAAATCAAATCCATTTAAAACTCTATGCTCCAAAACTGAGATCACTTTACAATAACAAACAGTATTAAGGTTTAAATTAAAAATGCTATCTTGTGTTTTAGTAACTAAAGCTTTCAAGGTCAAGTATAACTTAGCAAATGCATTCAAAACAGACAACCTTCTGTTCTTGTTGGCATTTCCATCTCTTTCCTCCATTTTACAATTTTCATTTTGTCACTATGATGTGATCAAACTGCCTTCTCTAAATATCCTCTAAGAAGTAAACAGCATCCTGTTATCATATCCTGGATATCACAGAACAGCAGAATGGTTCAGGTTGGAAGGGACCACAGTGGTCATCTGGTCCAACCTCCCTGCTCAAGCTGGGTCATCCCAGAGCTCATGGAACAGAATTGCATCCAGAAAGTTCCTGAATATCTCCAGTGAGGGAGACTCCACAGCCTCTCTGGACAATCTGTTCCAGTGCAATCTGCTCAGAAGTTCTTCCTCATGTTCACGTGGAACTTCTGTGCATCAATTTCTGCCCTTGCCTCTTCTCCTATTGCTCAGCACCACCAAGCAGAGTCTGGATCCATCCTCTGACACTTCCATCCAGATACTGACAGACATTGCTAGGGTCCCCTCTCAGTCATCTCTTCCATAATATGTCTTTAGTAACTAATAGCCTTAATGCTACAGAGCATGATCTCTGATCTCAGAGGACCAAAACTGGAGCCCTAGAGGGTGGCACTTCTCCTTTGAGCAAGGTGAATTGTGAAAAGACTTGGTGTACCTCTGCACAAGACAAAAAGTGTAAGACACTTCCAAAGCAAAACAGCAGAAATGCCCAAAGAAGGAAAAAAAAAAAAATCACTGCCTATTAGGTGAGAAAATTCTCATTATTAGTATCAAGGGGAGGCAATGCATTCACAAGGGTAACATCAGCATGAAAGCCTGTACCAAAGTCTGAGGATCAGCAGTGCAAAGCACAAATCAGTCCTTGGAGTGGCAGTGGATGGGTTGAAATACTTACTGTGACGCCTGCCCAGGAATCAGGGAGCTGTCCTCGTCAGTGTCCTCATGAATGCATCACTGCATTCCCCGGCGGTGCCTGCAGGACACACACACAGCTGAGGCCACCTGGTGCCCACACTGTGTCTCCACCAGGAACTGCTGACTGCTGCACTGGAAATGAACCTGCTACAGTTTCCCTTTCAGTTTCAGGGGTGGGCTAAGAAATGTACTCATGAACAAGCTGGTTTATTGAGGTTGCCAAGTTCATTTGTCAAAATACATCTGTTGCTTTAAAATTAAGGCAAAAAGAGGCAAAACCATTCACAAGAAACACTGAAGCAGTTCTCACTAGTGACAGGTGCCTCACCTCAGCTCTCACAGAAGAAAATCTGTGTTGTAACACCTACAGAATGTGTGAAAACTTTGGACTACAGAAGCAACTAAGACCCATGCTTTTATTATGTTCATTTCACATTATGTTGGAAACTTAATTTTCTCTTTCACTAGAAGAGGAATACAAGGCCATCTCACATGATAATGCAGAATGAACAGATAGTAAAAATGATCCTACATAAGTATTGGTGTGTTCAAGTAAAAGCAATTATCTATCATTGCAGTTCCTCAATTACAGCTCTGAAAGAGATGCAGCACATGTAACATCGTTATGAAGACCAAGATACAGATTCTTTTTGAACAGTGGGCATAAAGATTTTTCAGAGCAGGGCATGCTGTAGGGACAGCATGTTTCATGCTTTTCTAGACATGTACCTGTTACAGGTGATTTTCTAACTCTACAAAAGGGTAGTTCATGTTTGTATCATGATTTTACCCACCTGTGACTTCAAATAAGAGTAAACTTTCTAGGAATAAAATCTTTTAAAATGGCTATTAAGGCAAAACAATAAAGTCCCTAACAGGATGGAAAAGACATATTTATGATTATGCACAATTTAATAAATCCACAGGTTAGACAGATACTGAACAGCTGTATGTTTCAACAATTAAGTTTTTTTTTGTATCAAACCCAGTCACCAACTATCTGCAACACATGAAACTGAGATGGAAACAAGGTAACTAAAAAAAGGGACACAGATTTACTTTTCATCTCTGTAACAAAATCCTGCCCTCTTGCACAACTTCTGAGTTTGCAAGAACTCAAATTCAAATTAAAAAAAAAAAAGAGGGAGAGACAAAAAAATATAAATCTGGCTATTTATTTAATCCCTATTAGTGTTTCCCTTATTAATTTATTACGATTCTGATACATTCAACCCAATGCTGGGCCTGAAAAATCAGGAATTTCAAGTCATGGCCAAAGCATGCTTGCAGTCCTACATAGAATTGTAGAAGCTATTGCACCAAAGTGGCTTATTAACAGTCTAAACTGAGTTCTTAGTACATACTAAACTTAAAGTAATGCAACTTATCTTGAAACAAGAAAGAGCTATTAAGCACATCAAGTTTCAGTTCGTTTTTCAGATTTAAAAAGCAAAAAAACTTTAAAAGAAAAAGAAATAAATCACCAGGCTTGTCTAAGAATAGAAAGGGACAAATCCCAAGCTGTGTTGTCCTAGAGATGCAGCACAGAAAGTACAGCCAAGGGAAAACAGAGGGTAGAAAGATGAATTTATGCCACCTTAACAACCCCCAGATTTGGAATGGACTGAGTTCAGGCTGTCTCCGACACAATTAGAACCCTACTCCAATTTCCTTCCAGAGATACCTTGCAAATAGGAATAAGCTTCAAATCTCTGTGCTGATCAGTAGTAAAATTTCTTCTTCTGAGTTTCCATTTTTTCCTAGTACCCCTCTAGAAAACCCCAGTGCTGAGGACTGTATTGGAGCAGTGAAAGCTTGCACATAATTTTTCATATTCTAGGATTCCTGAATCAAACACCATCTCTGCGCACCTTAACTGCATTGCTGCAGTCCACTACACTGCCAAAGTGAGGGGTACTGCTTTTTGGTATTTCAGTATAAGGATGTAGTTCAATTAATAAACTATATGATTTAGAACTCCAAAATCATTAACTTCCAGCCTAAAAGCTTAATTTTAACCTGTGCAGTGTTCTTAAAGAAAGTAACCCATATTTTTTAAAGACTATGATGCTTACCCAGCACAAACATCTTATATTGTAAATGCAAGTGGATATACCATGCTCTGCAAGGAGTTCTGCCATTTTCTAGTCAATTCTGGTCATTTTTTGCCTTCTGATTCTGGTAGGCAAAGATTTAGAAATTATGGAAACTTAATATTAGTGAATAAATGTTCTTCCATCACTGCTGAAGTGACCTTATGCCCCTTTAGCTGGGCAATGAAAACAGCCACAGTAAGTGTCACATGGAGTCAAAATGCACAGAAACAGGGAGTTTTGTGATAACACTCTCCAAGAATTAGAGGAGCTTATCTGCATCTCAAAAATGTAGATAGAAGATAAAGAAATGTCTTTGGAAAATTTATGTCACTGGAAGGTAGTTTTTTTTTTTCCAGCATTTTCCAGAGCATTAGGGCAAAGTGCAGCCTTGGAGCTTACAGAAATTCACACCTCTATTTACAAAACCAGCTGACAGCCTTACTGAACCCTGAGCTAGAGCGTGTAGAGCTTGACTAGCCTGCTTCTAAGCCTGGCTCACCTGCCAGCTGAACAGCCTTTGGAACCATGCTACCATGAGCTTTGCCAGCTTTGCCTCCTTTCCACAAGAACAAACATGTTCCAGTCAAGGAAGGATATGATGTTAACAATATGCGCAATTCTGTGAGGGACCAACTGAAACACCTGTATTTATTGGCCCTGAAGACACTGAAAAGAGAGATTAAAAATGCACTGCACTTTGAAAACAGTTAAGGTGCATGAACACATACTAGCATCCTAAGCAATGAGATAATTTCAAGATCCTCTTATTGCTATTGATTTTTTTTCTTCATTGATCAAGCTCTGTCTGGCCTGCCTCTATCTCATCAAAGGATATAATTAGATTACTCTAGTGTTTTATCAAAGTAAATGATCTCCCCCAAAACTCAATTCTTTCAGAAATGACAAAAGCTTCAAAATTATCTTTTAAAATTAAATACTTGTAGAGATTAACTCACATGTCACAGGCAGAGTGGACGTGGGTGAAGATCTACAATTTCAGTATGCACGAGCCTTGTGCTCCTACAAAATGAGTTAAAAAAACACAAATTACCTATCCAGTTCACAAAATTCTGCTCATTCCCACACTAAGAGGAGACAATCTAAAGAAAAAAAGTAAGAAAAAGAAATAAGAGAGGATGGAGTGCTTTTAACATTTTGGTCTGTTATTATAAACTTACTGCTTAAAATAGTTCGGAAAAAAATTATACCCTGAGCTCAAATTTGTAGTAAGATACAGATCAGTGAATGCAGAGAACTTTCTTTTACCACTGTGTAGACTTGAGTACAATCTCCAGGAAACGGAGATCTGGGAGCTCTATTCCATAAAAGGGAAAAGTATTTAGAGGCCCTTGGCTTTCAGTGTGTTCTCTCTGCAACTTATTTTACCATAGCAGAGAAAGTTAAGTATAATCAGTTCACTTCCCCTGGCTGAGTCATGGCTGAGTCCATGTCAGCAAGGGCTCAGAGAAAGGTGCTTTACTCCATCCCCACTGATAGCTGGGCACCTGACCCCAAATGCTCTGTCACATCTTAACTAGGGACACATAAAAAAAAGAGCAGAAATAACCACTTAAGAAAGCATTTTGTTAATATTTCTTGACCTCATGCTGCCTGTGGTCAAGTCTCATTTGTCAAGAGCTGCTTGCTCTTGGTGCAGCAGCTGAACTGCACAATTCTGAGTGGCTTTTTGCAACTTTTTTCTTTGTTGTCCTGTACAGTGGTTGTAAAATG